CTTACCCGGACGAAACTGCACTGCGGCGACTGTCTCCATAGTTGGAGCTGTCTCAGCAACTGCAGCAGAACCGTCGGAGTAAGAGCACTGAGCAGGGGCACAGCCCTGAAAGATAGAGACTGGCATGGTACCGCTAGACTGGACGATAGAGCGCTGACGGGTCTCTATGGCAGACAGGGTGTCGACAAAGTCAGTGAGGGTGAGGTCAGCGGGGTGGAGACTAAGGAAGTGATCGCGTGCGGGGGCAAGGCGGTCAGGGAGGCGGGTGGCAAGCAGGTAGAGGGTAGAACAGATGGGGGGCCGAAACACACGAAGCTGAGCCTCAGTGCAGGCAGCGCGCCAGGTCGTGTCTAGCGTGCGCAGGTGGGCGGCTAGGTCAGCGACAGTGGGGAAAGACGCAAGGTCAGGAAAGAGCATTGGCAGGATCGGGCGACCTACAGAGGCAGAGGGCGGGGTGGAATAGCGCGCAACAACAGCCTCTAGCGCGCAACAACAACGGCGGCGAGGCGTCTAGAAGACGGGGCTGCGGGCGGCAAGGCGATGGGGCCGGCAAAGAGGCGGGGCCAGCAGGGAGACGGGGCCGGCTGGGCGACGAGGCCGGCTAGGAGGCGGGGCTGGCTGGGAGGGGGGGGGGCGGCTAGGAGGAAGGGCCGCGAGGTGACGGGGCCGCGGGGCCGCGAGGGGACGGAGCCGCGGGGCCGCTAGGGGACGGGGCCGCGGGGCCGCTAGGTGACGGGGCCGCGGGGCCGCAAGGTGACGGGGCCGCGGGTCCGCTAGGGGACGGGGCCGGGGGGCGACGAGGCGGCTAGGACCTAGGGCGGAAGTGCTGGGGGGGGGGGGACCTACCTACTCATGATACAATGTTCAAGTGAAAGAATGTCTAGAACAAGGTATACAAGGGAATATAACCTAATGGATTGTACTCCCTAAGGCACAACCCTATATAGTATACAGAATCATACAATATATTTTTGACACTCGTGTCATCCCAACGTCTGGTCATCATTTGCCAGCATTTCGGAATCTCGGGTCTTCCGGAATGGGGCAAATGATGACCAGAATGTCAAATGTAACTTAGGTCATTACTGTAGACTATACTAGATTGTGCCTTAGAGGGTACTAGACTGGGGCCCAGCCCCGGTCCATGGGCCGCGTCGCGAGCGCTTCTTCCTAGTGCTTGTCGACGACTTCACGCGCTACACCACCGTCTTCCCCCTGGAGCGGAAGGCCGACGTGCCTGACGTTCTCATCCCCTGGCTTGTCTCTGCTCGTGTCCACCGCGGTCTCCCTACCTTGCGCCTTCACTCCGACCGGGGTGGCGAGTTTGCCTCAGGTGTCCTTGGTCGCTTCTGTCGTGCGGAGGGCATCACCCAGACGTTTACCCTGCCGGACTCCTCGCAGCAGAATGGGGTCGCTGAGCGACGCATCGGTTTGGTCATGGAGGTGGCTCGCACCTCCATGATCCACGCCGGTGCACCCCATTTTCTGTGGCCGTTCGCCGTGCGCTACGCCGCTCACCAGCTTAACCTGTGGCCGCACCCCCAGCGGCCGCAGGTTTCGCCGACCCTTCTGTGGACCGGGTCCCCTGGTGACGCGTCTGCGTTCCGCGTCTGGGGCTGCCTTGCTCACGTTCGTGCCTCTGGCACGGACAAGCTCACTGCCCGCACCCTCCCCTGCGTCTTCCTCGGTTTCCCCCTTGACGCGTCCGACTGGCACTTCTACCACCCGCCGTCTCACCGCTTCTTTCACTCTCGCGACGTCACCTTTGACGAGTCCGTCTCCTTCTACCGCCGCTTTCCCCACCGTGGTCCCCCGGTTACTCCCCCCCTTTTCCTGGTTCCTCCCTCCCTGGTGGTCCCTGCCCCTCCCCCCCCCCGCCCCCCCGTCCGGCCCCCTCTGGTGTGTCTCACGTCACCCCCCTCCCGTCGGTCGTCCCGGTCGACGAGTCTTCTGACTCTGGTAGTCCTCCGGCGCAGTCCTCGCCGTCTGTCCCTCCCCCGGTGTCTCCTCCTCCACCGCCTCCGCAGCCGCCGTCGCCGCAGCTGCTGCAGCCGTCGTCTCCACCGCCGCAGCCGTTGCAGCCGTCGTCTCCGCCGCCGCCGCCGTCGCAGCCGTCGCTGCAGCCGCCGCCGCCGCCGCCGCCGTCGTCGCTGCCGCCGTTTGTGGACTCTGGGGGTGTCCCTTCTGGGGGTGCAGGTGTGGAGGGTTCGGGAGGTAGCCGTCGCGCAGCTTGTGGCCCTGGTGTTGGTGTTGTGTCGCCGCAGCAGCAGTCCCCGCCTGTGTCCGCCCTCCGTCTGCTCGGCCTTCCGTCTCCTGACCCTGCGCCTGTTCCTCTCCTGCCGTCTCCCCCTCTTCCCGTCTACGGCCCCGTGTTCCCTCTGCCAGACTCGTCCCCGGCTCGTCTTCCCCCTCGTTCCCCTCCTGTGTCCCCTCCTCTGTCTCCTGACCCGACGCCGCCCTCACACGTCTGGTCTCGCCGCCCCTCTCGTGCTCGTCCTGTCTCACCTGTCCCGCGCTCTCACCCTATGTTGCTCCGTTCCCACGCGTCTCGACCTCCCCTCCTCCCGTCTCCTCCTCCGTCTTCTCTTGTCGTTGCGTCTCCTCCTCTGTCCGACTTCTTTCGTGCCGCTCGTCCTCTTGTTCCTCGGGTCCTTGCCTCTCTCGTTACCGACCCGTCTGTTCCCGTGTCGAGTCTTGACGCCCTCGTCGCTGCGGTCGCTGACTTCGCCTCTACCCGCCGCCTTGACTACGCCACCGCTCTGGTCTCTCACCCTGCCTGTCCTCCGTCTGTCGGGGGTGCTCCTGCCCTCGGCAGTGACGTCCTGGAGGACCGCCAGTTTGAGCTTGCTTTCCTGTCCGAGGCTGCTCCCCATCTCTGTTCCATGCTGCTAGTCCCTGAGGGTGACCCAGACGCTTTCGACATCCCGACCCCTTGTACTTACGCTGAGGCGGTTTCGGGACCCTGGGCCTCTCAGTGGATAGCTGCCATGGAGCAGGAGATGGCATCTTGGAGATCCACCGGCACCTTCGTCGACGCAGTTCCCCCACCTGGGGTGAACGTGGTCGATGGCCGTTGGCTCTTCAAGGTGAAGCGCCCTCCTGGAGAGCCGCCTGTGTTCAAGGCGCGCTACGTGGCTAGAGGCTTCAGTCAGCGCGAGGGGGTGGACTTCTTTCAGACTTTCGCTCCTACCCCGAAGATGACTACTCTTCGGGTGCTGCTACACGTAGCGGCTCAGCGTGACTACGAGCTTCACTCCCTCGACTTCTCCACTGCCTTTCTTCAGGGCAGCCTTCACGAGCAGGTCTACCTGCGTCGCCCTCAGGGCTTTACTGGCACCTTCCCCCCTGGGACCCAGTGGCTTCTGCGGCGGCCAGTCTACGGCCTGCGCCAGGCGCCTCGTGAGTGGCACGACACTTTGCGTGCTACCCTTGCTGACCTGCAGTTCTTTCCGTCCTCTGCAGACCCCTCGCTCTTCGTTCGTGCTGGCTCGACTCCGTTCTACATCCTCGTCTACGTAGACGACCTGGTCTTTGCCACTGCTGACAGGGACGCACTGGCCTCCGTGAAGGCAGAGCTGCTGAAGAGACACACCTGCACTGACCTTGGAGAGCTGCGCCGTTACCTTGGCTTGCAGATCTCCAGGGACAGAGCCGCGCGCACCATCACCCTGACTCAGTCACACTTGGTGCGCCAGGTCCTTCAGAGGTTCGGCCTTCAGTTCTCCTCCGCACAGCCCACCCCTCTTCCTCTGGACCACAGACTCTCCGCTCCAGTTCCTGAGGAGTCGGTAGATCCCAGTGGTCCTTACGCTGAGCTAGTGGGTTGCCTCATGTACCTGATGACTTGCACTCGCCCAGATCTCGCATACCCTCTCAGCATCCTGGCTCGTTTCGTGGCCACAGGCAGGCACCGACCTCAGCACTGGTCTGCCGCTAAGAGGGTTTTGCGTTATCTTGCAAGTACATCGGGCATGGGGTTAGTGCTAGGCGGACGCAGGCCAGTGGTCCTTACTGGACACACAGACGCTTCTTGGGCAGACGACGCCGAGACGCTCAGGTCTTCCCAGGGCTACTGCTTTAGCCTTGGTTCAGGTGTTGTCTCGTGGAGAGCTACCCGCTCTTCGTCTGTTGCCCAGTCCAGCTGTGAGGCCGAGATCTACGCCGGTGCCATGGCGGCACAGGAGCTCCGCTGGCTGACCTTCTTGCTCACTGACTTAGGTGAGCGGCCTAGCTCTGCCCCGGTCCTGTACGCTGACAACAGGGCCATGATCCTCCTGTGTCAGGAGCCTCGACTCGAGGGCAGAGCGAAGCACATCCAGCTGCGGTACTTCCTCCTGCGTGAGCTACAGCAGCGTCGCCAGGCTCGCGTAGTACACTTAGCCTCCGGTGCCAACACAGCTGATATCTTTACGAAGGCGCTTGCGCCTAAAGATCATCAGCGGCACTGTGTACAGCTTGGTCTGGTTCCTGTAGTCTCTCACTTACTCGGGCCTTGACTCTGTACTGTCCTATATATCTGTGTGTACACTCAGACTGGACTTGTGTCCTCTTACAGTGGTTGGACTAGTAGTGCCGCCCTGTACTAGTTCTTGCCTTGCCTGTACTCCTTCTGACTGGTCTTTTAGACCCTTGTCTCAGAGGCTGGACTAGTAGTGCCACCCTGAGCTGCTTGTCTAGAACATTCCCCTATGCAGTCCAGGGGGTGTGTCAAACATGTTTAGTTATCATGCTTGTATAGACTGTATAGGGTCATCTTCTAGAGAGTACAACAGTTAGGTATATGTTTGTGTACTCTCTCTCTCTATTCATCAATTTCACTGTTTGTTATACAACACCCTAGTCCAGACAACTCGAGCCCGGAATGTCCGAGTTGTGACAGTACTGCTGTTCGGAGTGTACATTCCCAGAATGCGTGGTACCTGTACAATGCACAATTCTCGCAAGCCTAATTGTGCATTGTCAAAACTGCTGTGCGAATCAAACGTTAGAGTTTGGATATCGATAAGTTTGTTTGTTCATTGTGGGAGCTTAGCCCAAAATATTCTTATGGACGACGATTCGTTCGCTCAAAGCCCTGCAAAACCAGGCTTTCCTGGTCCTGGCCTATCCAAGGAGGGTGAACTAGCATTTATCAGAGGATGTTCCCTAGAAGGCTCAGAGTAACTAAACTTGAAGAGGGGCCCTGCCGACAGACTGCCCCCCCCCCCCCCCCCAATACGCTGCCACACACCTACAGCTTCTCTTAGAGGAAACTAGCCAAGGCCAAAGGGCCACCGTGTCATGCCTACTGCTACTGCTGCTGTGAGAGGAGCATCCATCATTCACTGCCGTGCACTACCTTGCACTACCGTGCACTACCGTGCACTACCTTCCACTACCTTGCACTACCTTGCACTACCTTGCACTACCTTGCACTACCTTGCACTGCCTTGCACTACCTTGCACTAACGTGCACTACCGTGCACTACCTTGCACCACCTTGCACCACCTTGCACTACCTTGCACTACCTTGCACTACCTTGCACTACCTTGCACTACCTTGCACCACCTTGCACTACCTTGCACTACCTTGCACTACCTTGCATTACCTTGCACTACCTTGCACTGCCATGCACGCCTGCAGCTGGTGCTAGAGACAAAGACCGAGTGACTACAACTGCAGCAATTGAGACAAAATAGGAAGTGGCACACGTGCCATGGCGGCTTGGAACAGCTGCTCCCCGTGCACGCCTGCAGCTTCGCCTTGAGAAACGGACTGAAACCCCTTGTGTACCATCCCTACAGCTGCTGCAATTGAGAGACGATGGGAGGTGGTACTCGAGCCATGGCAGCTTGAAACAGCTGCTCCCCGTGAACTACCATGCATGCCTGCAGCTTCTCCTTGAGAAACGGACCAAAAGCGACCCGGTGAACGGGGTCTATGGACGCCACCTGGCGCCTCCTCAGTGCCTCACACTCCACTGGGGCGCCCTCGCCCCCTTGAATGGAGTCTGACACCGATGCATAGTCGTAGCTGCAAGGAAGAGAAGGGCCAAGGGAGATGATTGGAAGAGGGAGGGAGGGGGGGGGAGGGAGGAAAGATATAGGAGGGGACCCAGTGAACAGGGTCGATGGAAACAATTTGGCGCCTCTTCAACGCCTCACACTCCACTGCGGCGCCTTTGCCCCCTTGGATGGATTCTGACACCGATGCAAAGTCGTAGCTGCAGCGCGCGGAAACAACGGAGGGGACAAGGGTTGTGAAAGGGGCGGGCGAATATAGGATACAATACTCCAGCAGCCAATGAACAGGGTCTATGGACGCCACCTGCTGCATCCTAATGCCTCACACTCCACAGAACCAGTGCCCCAGACGAGAGAGTGAGGTCCAGCAACTCCAGCTAGTGCATTTTGAGTCAACTCAGAAGTCACTCCACAGCGCCCCAGACGAGAGAGTGAGGTACAGCAAACCCAGCTAGTGGGACCTGGAAGGCTGGTCAGCCGCCAAGCAGCGGATCATCCAACTGTGCTACAGATTGGTGAACCAACAAGAAGCAGCAGCAACTCACCCCACAGTGGAGATGTCCGGCAGCAGCGGCGTGTTGTTAGGGCTGTCCTCCGCAAGGGAACCGGTGCTCACACTGAGAATGAGGTCCAGTCTCTCCAGTATGCGGGGCTCTGTGAGAGGTCCGAGGTTGGTCCGTCAGCCAAGCAGCAAAGCAACTCACCCCACAGTGGAGATGTCTGGGAGGAGTGGCGTGTTGTCAGGGCTGTCCTCCGCAAGGGAACCCGAGCACACACTGAGAATGAGGTCCAGTCTCTCCAGTATCTGGGGCTCCGGCATCGTCAGCAGCACCGCTAGGGCCAGGGAGGAGAGCTTGCGCTTGGCTGGCACTGACACAGAGTCAACCTTATGGGGGGGAGGGAGAGAAGAGGAGGGGAGAGGAGAGGGGAGGGGAAGAGCAGCGGTGCGGACACTGAGAATGAGATGTAGGATCTCCAGTATATGGGGCTCCTGCATCGTGCATCGTGCATCGTGCGTCGTGCATATGGGGCTCCTGCATCGTGCGCAGCACTGTTAAAGCCAGGGAGGAGAGCTTGCACTTGGCCGGGACAGACACAGAGTCGACCAGAGGGAGAGGGGGAGAGGAGAGGCAGGGATGAGCCAATGATGGAAGCTGGGAAGTTGTTAGCCATGATAGAAGGGAGCAGCAGTGTAATCGAAACTATTAGCAAAGGAGTAAGAAGGGAAAAGGAAGGGAAAAGGAAGGGAAGAGGAGTCGGCAGCAAGGAAGAGCTCTGCTAGGGCCCACCTTATCCAGCCAGGCATCAAGGCAGTCTATTTTTTAGACGCCTCAAATCAAGACATAGGGGGAGAGGAGGAGCATTCCCCTTTGCTGCAGACTGTTGCTGCAGCAGCTGGCGTGCCAGCTAGAAGGAACACAAGCGGCACCTGAGGCACCAGAGGCACCTGAGGCACCAGAGGCACCCGAGGCACCTGAGGCACCTTAAATGGTACCTCAGAAGAACGTGTGAGGGTCTGTGAACGCACCTCATCCAACCAGGAACCAAGGAAGAGGTCGAGAGGAGGTGCGTTCCCCTTCGCTGCTGACTGAAGCTGCAGCAGCTGCCGACTGAAGCTGCAGCAGCTGCCGAGTCGACTCGGCGGATGTAAACTGGGCGAAATAAGCGCTGCTCTGGAGCACCGCCCGTGCCAGCACTGCTGTGCGACCCACCTACCTGATTTTTGAGTCGACTAAAAAATCACCCGTGCCAGCACTGCTGTGCGACCCACCTACCTTATCCAGCCACGCATCTAGAAAGAGGGCGAGAGGGGGGGCGTTCCCCTTTGCTGTGGACTGCTGCTGCAGCAACTGGCGAGTCGATTCGGCGGATATGAATTGAGCGAAATAGGAGCTGTTCTGGAGCACCACCCTCGCGAGCACTGTAGCGGATGTTCCTCTAACGAGATCGGAGTATTCTGTTGGGCCGACGATCATCACCAGGAGTTTCTGTAACGAGGAGTTAAAGGACGGAAGGATCAAAAGCGGACGAAAGAGTGAAGGGGAGTCTATTTTTGAGGCGAATAAAAAATAGACTCAACGAGGATTTGAAGGACGAAAGGATCAAAAGCGGACAAAAGGATCAAAAGCGGCCTAAATGATGAAGGGTGTGTCGGAAAATGAAGGAATGATGAGGGAGGGGGAGGAGAGGGAGGGATTGGCAGCTGAAGAACAATGCAACAGTATGACTGCTCTAGGGAAGTGAAAAATTGCTTAAAACAATGCGAGAAAATAAGCTTGCTCGTTATTGTAGGATTGATGTAATAGGATGCATAATTTCAGGTGTGCTGTTGCCTGTTCACTGCTGATCATCACCTGGAGGACGGACTCGAGCGCCGGAGGCGCCTCTGCTGGATAGCACTGCGGAACCATGTGCAAAGGAAGAAGAAAAAGGAAGAAGAAAAAAGAAGAAAAATCATGGAGGTGCACGGTGCACATTCGGATTCCAGGGCCGGAGGTGCCTCTGCTGGATAGCACTGCAGAAACGTTCTTTTATGGGCAAAGAGGAAACATAAAAGAACGGGGATCGTATGGACGGATTTGCGCAAACGAAGTCGACTGCAAAAGATGCCTCTGCTGGATAGCACTGCACAGAGCACGAGTGGACGGTGGACGGTGGACGGTGGACGGTGGGCGGTGGGCGGCGGTGGGCGGTGGGCGGTGGGCGGTGGGCGGTGGGCGGTGGACGGTGGACGGTGGACGGTGTCCACCGGTGGACGGTGGACGGTGGACGATGGACGGTGGACGGTTTAATCACGAGGAGAACAAGGGGGGTGCAGTAAGGAAAGTGATGGGGGGAATTGTGGACAAGGGCAGACAAAAACAGCTGTATTAATATGCAGGTGCATGGAGGAAACGACATGTGAGGGGTTGGATGGACACATAATGCATCCAGTGGGAGGGAAGGAAGGGTCTATTATTGAGGCGCCTAAAAAGATTGCATGCATCCAGTGGGATGCAGGCAAAGACACATAAGTGGATGGATGGACGGATGGATGGATGGATGGTCGAGGCACATGCATGCAGTGGGAGGGACAGAAGGGACGATGATGCCATGCGCTGAAATGTATGCTGGTTGAGGGAGGGAGACGTAGTCCTGAACTGATCTGAACGAGAGGGGCAGAGGTATGCTGGTTGAGCATAATCCCGCTGGTAGCCTCATTGGACAAAGCTGACCTAAATGATCACGTCAATGAGCCCTATGACCAGCAGCATCGCCTTCTCCTTCACATTCCCAACCACTGCATCCATCATTACCACTATGCCATGCTAAGGCGCCACCTGTAGGGCTGCAAATCTGTAGAGCATCTCGCCTGTAGGACAGCTCACCTGTATGATCACGTCAACGAGCCCTATCACCAGCAGCATGGCTTTTTCCTTCACATTCCCCACCACCGCATCGATCATTCTCACGAGGCTCCCCGCATGCTGCTGCAGGAACGCAGGGCCCCCCACCAGCACGTAGCTCTCCATAATGGCTGTTGCTACCTGGTGATGGAGTGACAGGCATGAAGAGAAAGACGCATCACATGGTACAGGGCAGGAAATATCGAGTGCTGCTCCAGAAACGCTGGCAAACAACAAGCACAGAGCTCTGCATGATTGCTGCTGCAACGTGGTAGTGAGTAAAGGAAACAGGACAATATTGAAACTACATGATGGCTTGTGAGACGAGCGCGCCCTAGTGGGACCAAGCACGCCCTAGTGAGGCGAGCGTGCCCTAATCATACGAGTGACCTTTAATGAGACGAGCGCACCCTAAATGTGACGAGCGCGCCCTAATGAGACGAGGGCACCCTAGTGAGACGAGCGCGCCCTAGTGAGACGAGCGCGCCCTGGTGAGATGAGCGCGCCCTAATGAGACGAGCGCGCCCTAGTGAGACGAGGGCGCCCTAATGAGACGAGCGTGCCCTAGTGAGACGAGCGCGACCTAGTGAGACGAGCGCGCCGTAGTGAGACGAAGGCACCCTAGCGAGACGAGCGCGCCCTAATGAGACGAGCGCGACCTAGTGAGACGAGCGCGACCTAGTGAGACGAGCGCGCCCTAGTGAGACGAGCGCGACCTGGTGAGACGAGCGCGGCCTAGCGAGACGAGCGCCCTAAAGTGAGACAAGGGCACCCTAGAGAGACGAGGGCACCCTAGTGAGACGAGCGTGCCCTAATGAGACGAGCGCAGCCTAGTGAGACGAGCGCGCCGTAGTGAGACGAGGGCACCCTAGCGAGACGAGGGCACCCTAGTGAGATGCGCGCGCCCTAATGAACCTAGTGAGACGAGCGCGACCTAGTGAGACGAGCGCGCCGTAGTGAGACGAAGGCACCCTAGCGAGACGAGCGCGCCCTAATGAGACGAGCGCGACCTAGTGAGACGAGCGCGCCCTAGTGAGACGAGCGCGACCTGGTGAGACGAGCGCGGCCTAGCGAGACGAGCGCCCTAAAGTGAGACAAGGGCACCCTAGAGAGACGAGGGCACCCTAGTGAGACGAGCGTGCCCTAATGAGACGAGCGCAGCCTAGTGAGACGAGCGCGCCGTAGTGAGACGAGGGCACCCTAGCGAGACGAGGGCACCCTAGTGAGATGCGCGCGCCCTAATGAACCTAGTGAGACGAGCGCGACCTAGTGAGACGAGCGCGCCGTAGTGAGACGAAGGCACCCTAGCGAGACGAGCGCGCCCTAATGAGACGAGCGCGACCTAGTGAGACGAGCGCGCCCTAGTGAGACGAGCGTGCCCTAGTGAGACGAGCGCGCCCTGGTGAGATGAGCGCGCCCTAATGAGACGAGCGCGCCCTAGTGAGACGAGGGCGCCCTAATGAGACGAGCGTGCCCTAGTGAGACGAGCGCGACCTAGTGAGACGAGCGCGCCGTAGTGAGACGAAGGCACCCTAGCGAGACGAGCGCGCCCTAATGAGACGAGCGCGACCTAGTGAGACGAGCGCGACCTAGTGAGACGAGCGCGCCCTAGTGAGACGAGCGCGACCTGGTGAGACGAGCGCGGCCTAGCGAGACGAGCGCCCTAAAGTGAGACAAGGGCACCCTAGAGAGACGAGGGCACCCTAGTGAGACGAGCGTGCCCTAATGAGACGAGCGCAGCCTAGTGAGACGAGCGCGCCGTAGTGAGACGAGGGCACCCTAGCGAGACGAGGGCACCCTAGTGAGATGCGCGCGCCCTAATGAACCTAGTGAGACGAGCGCGACCTAGTGAGACGAGCGCGCCGTAGTGAGACGAAGGCACCCTAGCGAGACGAGCGCGCCCTAATGAGACGAGCGCGACCTAGTGAGACGAGCGCGCCCTAGTGAGACGAGCGCGACCTGGTGAGACGAGCGCGGCCTAGCGAGACAAGCGCCCTAAAGTGAGACAAGGGCACCCTAGAGAGACGAGGGCACCCTAGTGAGACGAGCGTGCCCTAATGAGACGAGCGCAGCCTAGTGAGACGAGCGCGCCGTAGTGAGACGAGGGCACCCTAGCGAGACGAGGGCACCCTAGTGAGATGCGCGCGCCCTAATGAACTTAGTGAGACGAGCGCGACCTAGTGAGACGAGCGCGCCGTAGTGAGACGAGGGCACCCTAGCGAGACGAGGGCACCCTAGTGAGACGAGCGCGACCTAGTGAGACGAGCGCGACCTAGTGAGACGAGCGCGCCCTAGTGAGACGAGCGCGACCTGGTGAGACGAGCGCGGCCTAGCGAGACGAGCGCCCTAAAGTGAGACAAGGGCACCCTAGAGAGACGAGGGCACCCTAGTGAGACGAGCGTGCCCTAATGAGACGAGCGCAGCCTAGTGAGACGAGCGCGCCGTAGTGAGACGAGGGCACCCTAGCGAGACGAGGGCACCCTAGTGAGATGCGCGCGCCCTAATGAACCTAGTGAGACGAGCGCGACCTAGTGAGACGAGCGCGCCGTAGTGAGACGAGGGCACCCTAGCGAGACGAGGGCACCCTAGTGAGATGCGCGCGCCCTAATGAACCTAGTGAGACGAGCGCGACCTAGTGAGACGAGCGCGCCGTAGTGAGACGAAGGCACCCTAGCGAGACGAGCACGCCCTAATGAGACGAGCGCGACCTAGTGAGACGAGCGCGACCTAGTGAGACGAGCGCGCCCTAGTGAGACGAGCGCGACCTGGTGAGACGAGCGCGGCCTAGCAAGACGAGCGCCCTAAAGTGAGACAAGGGCACCCTAGAGAGACGAGGGCACCCTAGTGAGACGAGCGTGCCCTAATGAGACAAGCGCAGCCTAGTGAGACGAGCGCGCCGTAGTGAGACGAGGGCACCCTAGCGAGACGAGGGCACCCTAGTGAGATGCGCGCGCCCTAATGAACCTAGTGAGACGAGCGCGACCTAGTGAGACGAGCGCGCCGTAGTGAGACGAGGGCACCCTAGCGAGACGAGGGCACCCTAGTGAGATGCGCGCGCCCTAATGAACCTAGTGAGACGAGCGCGACCTAGTGAGACGAGCGCGCCGTAGTGAGACGAAGGCACCCTAGCGAGACGAGCACGCCCTAATGAGACGAGCGCGACCTAGTGAGACGAGCGCGACCTAGTGAGACGAGCGCGCCCTAGTGAGACGAGCGCGACCTGGTGAGACGAGCGCGGCCTAGCAAGACGAGCGCCCTAAAGTGAGACAAGGGCACCCTAGAGAGACGAGGGCACCCTAGTGAGACGAGCGTGCCCTAATGAGACAAGCGCAGCCTAGTGAGACGAGCGCGCCGTAGTGAGACGAGGGCACCCTAGCGAGACGAGGGCACCCTAGTGAGATGCGCGCGCCCTAATGAACCTAGTGAGACGAGCGCGACCTAGTGAGACGAGCGCGCCGTAGTGAGACGAGGGCACCCTAGCGAGACGAGGGCACCCTAGTGAGATGCGCGCGCCCTAATGAACCTAGTGAGACGAGCGCGACCTAGTGAGACGAGCGCGCCGTAGTGAGACGAGGGCACCCTAGCGAGACGAGGGCACCCTAGTGAGATGCGCGCGCCCTAATGAACCTAGTGAGACGAGCGCGACCTAGTGAGACGAGCGCGCCGTAGTGAGACGAGGGCACCCTAGCGAGACGAGGGCACCCTAGTGAGATGCGCGCGCCCTAATGAACCTAGTGAGACGAGCGCGACCTAGTGAGACGAGCGCGCCGTAGTGAGACGAGGGCACCCTAGCGAGACGAGGGCACCCTAGTGAGATGCGCGCGCCCTAATGAACCTAGTGAGACGAGCGCGACCTAGTGAGACGAGCGCGCCCTAGTGAGACGAGGGCACCCTAGCGAGACGAGGGCACCCTAGTGAGATGCGCGCGCCCTAATGAACCTAGTGAGACGAGCGCGACCTAGTGAGACGAGCGCGCCCTAGTGAGACGAGGGCACCCTAGCGAGACGAGGGCACCCTAGTGAGATGCGCGCGCCCTAATGAACCTAGTGAGACGAGCGCGACCTAGTGAGACGAGCGCGCCGTAGTGAGACGAGGGCACCCTAGCGAGACGAGGGCACCCTAGTGAGATGCGCGCGCCCTAATGAACCTAGTGAGACGAGCGCGACCTAGTGAGACGAGCGCGCCGTAGTGAGACGAGGGCACCCTAGCGAGACGAGGGCACCCTAGTGAGATGCGCGCGCCCTAATGAACCTAGTGAGACGAGCGCGACCTAGTGAGACGAGCGCGCCGTAGTGAGACGAGGGCACCCTAGCGAGACGAGGGCACCCTAGTGAGATGCGCGCGCCCTAATGAACCTAGTGAGACGAGCGCGACCTAGTGAGACGAGCGCGCCGTAGTGAGACGAGGGCACCCTAGCGAGACGAGGGCACCCTAGTGAGATGCGCGCGCCCTAATGAACCTAGTGAGACGAGCGCGACCTAGTGAGAGGAGCGTCCCCTAGTGAGACGAGCGTCCCCTAGTGAGACGAGCACGTCCAAGTGAGACGAGCGCGACCTAGTGAGAGGAGCGCGGCCTAGTGAGAGGAGCGCGGCCTAGTGAGAGGAGCGCGACCTAGTGAGAGGAGCGCGGCCTAGTGAGAGGAGCGCGGCCTAGTGAGAGGAGCGCGACCTAGTGAGAGGAGCGCGACCTAGTGAGAGGAGCGCGGCCTAGTGAGAGGAGCGCGGCCTAGTGAGAGGAGCGCGACCTAGTGAGAGGAGCGCGGCCTAGTGAGAGGAGCGCGGCCTAGTGAGAGGAGCGCGACCTAGTGAGAGGAGCGCGACCTAGTGAGAGGAGCGCGACCTAGTGAGAGGAGCGCGGCCTAGTGAGAGGAGCGCGGCCTAGTGAGACGAGCGCGACCTAGTGAGAGGAGCGCGGCCTAGTGAGAGGAGCGCGGCCTAGTGAGAGGAGCGCGACCTAGTGAGAGGAGCGCGGCCTAGTGAGAGGAGCGCGGCCTAGTGAGAGGAGCGCGACCTAGTGAGAGGAGCGCGACCTAGTGAGAGGAGCGCGACCTAGTGAGAGGAGCGCGGCCTAGTGAGAGGAGCGCGGCCTAGTTAGAGGAGCGCGGCCTAGTGAGAGGAGCGCGACCTAGTGAGAGGAGCGCGACCTAGTGAGAGGAGCGCGGCCTAGTGAGAGGAGCGCGGCCTAGTGAGAGGAGCGCGACCTAGTGAGAGGAGCGCGGCCTAGTGAGAGGAGCGCGGCCTAGTGAGAGGAGCGCGACCTAGTGAGAGGAGCGCGACCTAGTGAGAGGAGCGCGACCTAGTGAGAGGAGCGCGGCCTAGTGAGAGGAGCGCGGCCTAGTGAGAGGAGCGCGACCTAGTGAGAGGAGCGCGACCTAGTGAGAGGAGCGCGACCTAGTGAGAGGAGCGCGGCCTAGTGAGAGGAGCGCGGCCTAGTGAGAGGAGCGCGGCCTAGTGAGAGGAGCGCGACCTAGTGAGAGGAGCGCGACCTAGTGAGAGGAGCGCGACCTAGTGAGACGAGCATGCCCTAATGAGACAAGCGCGCCCTAATGAGACGAGCACGCCCTAATGAGACGAGCGCTCCCTAATGAGACGAGCGCACCCTCATGAGATGAGGTTGGAGACGGTCGCCATGAGATCAGAAAGCGGTATAAAGTCTTGTTCCCTTCATCTCCCCTCGCGATCTAGCTCTCTCTCTCACTCCACCTTTTGAGTTGACTCATAAGTCACCTTTTGAGTCGACTCATAAGTCTTGTTCCCCTCATCTCCCCTCGCGATCTAGCTCTCTCTCTCTCACTCCACCTCCTTACTAGCAACGTCCAGAGCTAACAGGCAGGTGCTCAAAGCTTCTAGCCATGATGGGAACGAGGTTGGAGAAGAGGACAATCAAGTCAGAACCGCTTTGGTCCCTTCACTCCCTCTCACTCAACCTCCTTACAAGCAGGTACTTCAGGCTTACTGGTAAGTGCTCGAAGCTTCTGTCCATGGTGGGAACGAGGTTGGAGAAGAGAGCCATGAGGTCAGGGACCATGGCAGGGGCATGGCGCAACGTGGCTTGCCACAGCTGAGAGGCGGAGCGGAGACAGGGGTATGAGAAGGCAGAGACAGGAAGAAGGTAATAAAAAAAGGGTCGAGCTACTGGTACTAGAGAGGGCCATGAGGACAAGGACCATAGCAGGGGCATGGCGCAGCATGGCTTGCCATGGCTGAGAAGAGGGGTACGAGGAGAGGGAAGTACAGGAGGAGAGAGGGGAAGAAGCTGTTAGAACAGCACCGGTGGAACGAGCTACTTGTTCTAGAGAGAGGCACGAGGTGAGGAACCATGGCTGGCGCATCGGGCGGCGTGGCTTGCCATAGAGAAAAGAAAGGGAGAGTGAGATGGGAAGATGAGGTGGAGGCAAGGGTGTGCTGTGAATCATAGGAGGATTGGGAGGAGAAGAGGTTAGGAGGACACATATGTGCCAATTGAGTCGACTCAAGAGACAGAGGGAGGGAAGGAATGGGGGAGAGGAGAACGACTTCGAGCACGTTGAGCTCAAAGATGAGAGTTGTCGGTGCTTTACCGCAGGGTAATTTGAGAATTCTCAAATATACGGCAGGATGGGGAAGAGACGTTAGTCCTGCACTACACATGTCCTTTGAGTCGATTCAAGCGACACAGGGAAGGGGCGAGGGCGAGCAGGAGTTAGGGAGGAGGGTATGCGAAAGATTGGCTGTACCTGAAGCCCATCTTCCAGCATGTTGAGTTTTGAGTCGACTCAAAAGGCGCAGGGAAGGATACCTGAAGGGAGGGTACCTGCAGCCCGTCTTCCAGCATGTTGAGCTCATCGGGTTGAGAGATGTCGGTGCTATAGCGCAGGATGGGGAAGAGCAGCGGGTAATACGGTCGACTCAAAAGGCACAGGGAAGGGGACGAGAGCAGGGGGTAGAGAGGGTACCTGCAGCCCGTCTTCCAGCATGTTGAGTTTTGAGTCGACTCAAAAGGCGCAGGGAAGGATACCTGAAGGGAGGGTACCTGCAGCCCGTCTTCCAGCATGTTGAGCTCGTCGGGTTGAGAGATGTCGGTGCTATAGCGCAGGATGGGGAAGAGCAGCGGGTACGACAGCGGGGACTGCGGCCCCAGGGACACTATGAGGCGCTGCAGCGCCTGCATCACCTGGATGCGCAGCAAGGGTTGGCCCTCTGATTGCTCCCACACCTGGTGTGAGCACATTGGGTGAAGTGGTGAGAAAGTACAGCAGACGAACGGAAGGGGCAAGGCGTTAAGAGCAGGACTGCCGCCCCGGCAGCAGTGTGAGGTGCTGCAGCGCCTGCACTGCATCACTTGGATCCGCAACAAGGGCTTCCCCTCCGACCGACTGCTCCCACACCTAGAGAACAGGGGCGCGTGTGAGGTGAGAGGAAGAGAACACGGGGGAAGAGAAAGGCGATATAGAAGAGATCAGTTGTCATGGAAGAGTAGCAGCAGCGTATGAAGGTCGCGTTAGCAAAAAACTGACGGTTAGAAAAAAACTTGTACCCTCAGAAAATAGGTGAACTCGAAAAAAACTTGTACCCTCAGAAAATAGGTGAACTCGAAATAGGTGTACGCGGGTGAGGTGAGAGGAAGAGAACACGGGGGAAGAGAAAGGCGATATAGCAGAGCAGAGGGTACGACACGGGTGACTGTGGGCCGAGCGATACAGTGACACCACGTTCACCACCTGCAGCTGCGAGTCAAACTCGCCCTCAAACCCTCGCAAACCCTCGCAAACCCTCCTACCTACTCACACTCACTTGTGGCAAGCATGAAAGGATCTTGTCAGCCAGGGGGACGATCTTCTCCCCCATGCGCTCGATGGTCAACGAAACCACATTGACCATCTGCAGCTGAGAGTCAAACTCCGTCACCTGCTGCTGCAGGCCAGCCGCGGCCCGCGTGCTCTCTCCGATCTCTCTCTCTCTAAGTTCACTTACTTGAGGCAAGGGGTACAGGATCTTGTCAGCCAGGGGCACAATCTTCTCCCCCAGGAGCGACACCACGTTGACCACCTGCAGCTGAGAGCCTCTTGAAACCCCCACCCCCCCCCCCCCCCACCCCTCTCTCTCTTCACTACTCACCTGAGGCAAACAGGACAATATCTTGTCAGCCAGGGGGACGATCTTCTCCCCCATGCGCTCGATGATGAGTGACACCACGTTGACCACCTGCAGCTGGGAGTCAAACTCCGACACCTGCTGCAGGCAGCAGAAGAGCAGCTGCACCGCCGTGTCGAGGAACGGAGCAAACTGGTCCTCGTAGAAGTGCACATCGTCTATGAGAGAGCGCAGGGAGGCGACTGCTGTGAGCTGGCGGATGGAGGGGGGGGGAAGGGGGGGTTGTTGGGGGGAGGAGAGGAAGAATGAAAAGAGGGGAAGGGAGCAAACTGGTTATGGACGTCACTATCAGGCCGAGGAGCGAGGAGATCGCTGTGAGACAGCACTGAACCGCAATGCACCGCAGTGAACCCTATCTCACCTGGACCACTAGGTCTTCATCCGCCAGCAGAGAGATGAGCGCCTGGTAGGCTGGCACACACAGGTCGCCCTCCACCTTGCTCACCCACTGCCCCACCATCCACGCCACCCTCCTGGTGCTGCAGACACCACCGCACTGAACCGCAATGCACCACATCTATACCCCATTGCACTGCACTGAACCGCACTGAATCGCACTGAACCCTATCTCACCTGGACGACTAGGTCTGCATCTGCCAGCAGCGAGATGAGCGCCTGGTAGGCTGGCACGCACAGGTCGCCCTCCACCTTGCTCACCCACTGCCCCACCATCCACGCCGCCCGTCTGCGCAGTATGCGAGCATTGGGGTGGCGGCACGCCATGTCCGGTAGGAGGGCCGAGGTGAACCTGAAGGGGTGAAGGGGATGGTGAAGGGGATGGCGGACAGAGAGCAATGGGGAGAGCGATGGAGTTCATTAAATCCGGCGATGTTGGGATGGCGATTTATGGGCGTTGGGATGGCGGACAGAGAGCATCCATTAAATCCGGGGATTCATGGGCGTTGGGATGGCGGTGCGCCATGTTTGGGAAGAGGGCTGAGGTGAATCTGAAGAGGAAGGGGAGGGAAGGGGGCAAACGGAATAGATTGACAATTGGGTCTCACCTCATGCAAGGGTCTCACCTCATGCAAGCGTCTCACGTCATGATGGGGGCTAAAAAGTCTCTCACCAGGACTTGAAGTCCACCACGTCGTGCAGATCGTAGCACGCCACGCCCACAGCATCGTAGCATGCGTCCTTCAGCAGCAGAGCTGGGGTCACAGGCACGTCGGCGTCAGGGGAAGCAGGGGGGGGGCTCGCCTCTATGCACTGCCGTAGCATGTCTATCAACGCAGGGGATAGCACCTGAATGGTGAGGGGAGTTGAATGTGTGAGAAGGGCAGAGGTTATAACACTGTTGCATCATGTGCCTCTATGCACAGGCATAGCATGTCAATCAACGCAGGGGAGAGCACCTGAATGGGTGAGATGGTGGGGGAGGGGGAGGGGAAACAAGGAGGGTCTCAGCAGCAGTGCCCGGGTCACAGACTCACAGGTGACTTTTGAGTCGACTCAAAAGTCACCTCGTGGGGTAGGGGGAAACAAGGAGGGTCTCAGCAGCAGTGCCCGGGTCACAGACTCACAGGTGACTTTTGAGTCGACTCAAAAGTCACCTCGTGGGGTAGGGGGAAACAAGGAGGGTCTCAGCAGCAGTGCCCGGGTCACAGACTCACAGGTGACTTTTGAGTCGACTCAAAAGACACCTCGTGGGGTAGGGGGAAACAAGGAGGGTCTCAGCAGCAGTGCCCGGGTCACAGACTCACAGGTGCATCTGCATCCGAGAAAGACGACGAGGAGTTTGCCTCTAGGTACTGCCTAGATCTAGGTACTGCCTAGAGAAGGAGATAGATGGATGGATGGAGGGCTGGCTGGGTGACAAAACGGAAGAGAGATGATAACGACATGTTTGGTTGCTCTTTGGAAGTCTGTAAGTGAGAGCTAAACCACTAAATGTTCGTTGGCGGCAGCAGCAGCAGCAGCAGCAGCAGCAGCAGCAGCAGCAGCAGCAGCAGCAGCAGCAGCAGCAGCAGCAGCAGCAGCAGCAGCAGCAGCAGCAGCAGCAGCAGCAGCAGCAGCAGCAGCAGCAGCAGCAGCAGCAGCAGCAGCAGCAGCAGCGCAGCAGCAGCAGCAGCAGCAGCAGCAGCAGCAGCAGCAGCAGCAGCAGCAGCAGCAGCAGCAGCAGCAGCAGCAGCAGCAGCAGCAGCAGCAGCAGCAGCAGCAGCAGCAGCAGCAGCAGCAGCAGCAGCAGCAGCAGCAGCAGCAGCAGCAGCAGCAGCAGCAGCAGCAGCAGCAGCAGCAGCAGCAGCAGCAGCAGCAGCAGCAGCAGCAGCAGCAGCAGCAGCAGCAGCAGCAGCAGCAGCAGCAGCAGCAGCAGCAGCAGCAGCAGCAGCAGCAGCAGCAGCAGCAGCAGCAGCAGCAGCAGCAGCAGCAGCAGCAGCAGCAGCAGCAGCAGCAGCAGCAGCAGCAGCAGCAGCAGCAGCAGCAGCAGCAGCAGCAGCAGCAGCAGCAGCAGCAGCAGCAGCAGCAGCAGCAGCAGCAGCAGCAGCAGCAGCAGCAGCAGCAGCAGCAGCAGCAGCAGCAGCAGCAGCAGCAGCAGCAGCAGCAGCAGCAGCAGCAGCAGCAGCAGCAGCAGCAGCAGCAGCAGCAGCAGCAGCAGCAGCAGCAGCAGCAGCAGCAGCAGCAGCAGCAGCAGCAGCAGCAGCAGCAGCAGCAGCAGCAGCAGCAGCAGCAGCAGCAGCAGCAGCAGCAGCAGCAGCAGCAGCAGCAGCAGCAGCAGCAGCAGCAGCAGCAGCAGCAGCAGCAGCAGCAGCAGCAGCAGCAGCAGCAGCAGCAGCAGCAGCAGCAGCAGCAGCAGCAGCAGCAGCAGCAGCAGCAGCAGCAGCAGCAGCAGCAGCAGCAGCAGCAGCAGCAGCAGCAGCAGCAGCAGCAGCAGCAGCAGCAGCAGCAGCAGCAGCAGCAGCAGCAGCAGCAGCAGCAGCAGCAGCAGCAGCAGCAGCAGCAGCAGCAGCAGCAGCAGCAGCAGCAGCAGCAGCAGCAGCAGCAGCAGCAGCAGCAGCAGCAGCAGCAGCAGCAGCAGCAGCAGCAGCAGCAGCAGCAGCAGCAGCAGCAGCAGCAGCAGCAGCAGCAGCAGCAGCAGCAGCAGCAGCAGCAGCAGCAGCAGCAGCAGCAGCAGCAGCAGCAGCAGCAGCAGCAGCAGCAGCAGCAGCAGCAGCAGCAGCAGCAGCAGCAGCAGCAGCAGCAGCAGCAGCAGCAGCAGCAGCAGCAGCAGCAGCAGCAGCAGCAGCAGCAGCAGCAGCAGCAGCAGCAGCAGCAGCAGCAGCAGCAGCAGCAGCAGCAGCAGCAGCAGCAGCAGCAGCAGCAGCAGCAGCAGCAGCAGCAGCAGCAGCAGCAGCAGCAGCAGCAGCAGCAGCAGCAGCAGCAGCAGCAGCAGCAGCAGCAGCAGCAGCAGCAGCAGCAGCAGCAGCAGCAGCAGCAGCAGCAGCAGCAGCAGCAGCAGCAGCAGCAGCAGCAGCAGCAGCAGCAGCAGCAGCAGCAGCAGCAGCAGCAGCAGCAGCAGCAGCAGCAGCAGCAGCAGCAGCAGCAGCAGCAGCAGCAGCAGCAGCAGCAGCAGCAGCAGCAGCAGCAGCAGCAGCAGCAGCAGCAGCAGCAGCAGCAGCAGCAGCAGCCAGCAGCAGCAGCAGCAGCAGCAGCAGCAGCAGCAGCAGCAGCAGCAGCACAGCAGCAGCAGCAGCAGCAGCAGCAGCAGCAGCAGCAGCAGCAGCAGCAGCAGCAGCAGCAGCAGCAGCAGCAGCAGCAGCAGCAGCAGCAGCAGCAGCAGCAGCAGCAGCAGCAGCAGCAGCAGCAGCAGCAGCAGCAGCAGCAGCAGCAGCAGCAGCAGCAGCAGCAGCAGCACCACCACCACCACACCACCACACCACCACCACCACCACCACCACCACCACCACCACCACCACCACCACCACCACCACCACCACCACCACCCCCCACCACCCACCACCACCACCACCACCACCACCACCACCACCACCACCACCACCACCACCACCACCACCACCACCACCACCACCACCACCCCCCCCACCACCACCACCACCACCACCATACCTCTTTGAACTGTTCAAACAGCAGCAGCAGCAGCGCCTCGGCACACGGCCGGAGCTTGTCCTTCCATTGAACCGCCCCCTGCTCGTGGTAGAACACCTCAGGATCCGACCCCCACTCCTCCAGGTCCGCTGCTGTGAGCACCAGGTAGCTGGAGGATAAGATCAGGATTGCGGGGAGAAGGAAGAGAGGTAGAGGTGACGAGGGTGGCCTCAGCTTGTTCTTCCACAGAAATCCCCCCCGCTAGTGGTAGAACACCTCACGATTCGACCCCCACTCCTCCAGGTCCGCTGCTGTGAGCACCAGGTAGCTGGAGGATAAGATCAGGATTGCGGAGATTGCGTTGATCAAACAGCCCCTTGCTCGTGGTAGAACACCTCAGAGTCCGATGCTGTGAGGACCAGGTAGCTGAGAGGAGGGGAGCAAGAAAGGGGAGAACAGGGGGCGGTCCGTGTGTAACTAAGTTGGTTCCTTACGTTACGTTTACGTACGTGTACGCTTACGTTTACGTACGTTTACGCGATTCTGGTTTTAGGCCTGAATGTACGGGCAGTCTAAAATTTTTTTGGCTGCCCAAGGGAAAAAAAAAGGGGGGATGGAACGCCGACTTTTGTAAAAACGTTTGTAGGTTTTGATCTTCTAGTAGAAGATTATCACGAGTGGGGTGCGACGAAAGTCACAAATTGTTTAGCGAAATTCCGCACGCGCGAAATCTCGTCGCTGGTGCGCGTCAAATTTGGTGCCCCGGCAATCCAACCCGTCAATGAACAACCCCTACCTAACCCAACCCAACCCCCCTCGACATGTGATTCTCCTTCCTCCCTCGACAAATGCCAATCGCTAACCTTACTCCAGCGACAATCAAGTCTAGACTAAGTAGCATCTTACGACTAGGAGGAGCGCGCATACTATCAGCGCAACAAATTTCGTTGCGACTTAGATTGATGGGGTAGATCAGTGCGGAGCATAGGCATTAGCCGTAGCCTAGCCCTGAACAGCCTAGTAGTAGTTGTAAATCGCGTTTTCTTAGGGTGAAAATTTTGCCCGGGAAAATTTTTTGAGGCCTGCCCGGCGACGTACACGTAACGTACGCGTAACGTAACGTACACGTAAAGTTACGCGTACTTTACGTGTACGTGGGCTAAAGTCACGTAAGGTACCAACTTAGGTGTGTAATGAGTCGATTTTTGAGTCGACTCAGAAAGGGGAGAACAGGGGGCGGTCCGTGTGTAATGAGTCGATTTTTGAGTCGACTCAGAAAGGGGAGAACAGGGGGCGGTCCGTGTGTAATGAGTCGATTTTTGAGTCGACTCAGAAAGGGGAGAACAGGGGGCGGTCCGTGTGTAATGAGTCGATTTTTGAGTCGACTCAGAAAGGGGAGAACAGGGGGCGGTCCGTGTGTAATGAGTCGATTTTTGAGTCGACTCAGAAAGGGGAGAACAGGGGGCGGTCCGTGTGTAATGAGTCGATTTTTGAGTCGACTCAGAAAGGGGAGAACAGGGGGCGGTCCGTGTGTAATGAGTCGATTTTTGAGTCGACTCAGAAAGGGGAGAACAGGGGGCGGTCCGTGTGTAATGAGTCGATTTTTGAGTCGACTCAGAAAGGGGAGAACAGGGGGCGGTCCGTGTGTAATGAGTCGATTTTTGAGTCGACTCAGAAAGGGGAGAACAGGGGGCGGTCCGTGTGTAATGAGTCGATTTTTGAGTCGACTCAGAAAGGGGAGAACAGGGGGCGGTCCGTGTGTAATGAGTCGATTTTTGAGTCGACTCAGAAAGGGGAGAACAGGGGGCGGTCCGTGTGTAATGAGTCGATTTTTGAGTCGACTCAGAAAGGGGAGAACAGGGGGCGGTCCGTGTGTAATGAGTCGATTTTTGAGTCGACTCAGAAAGGGGAGAACAGGGGGCGGTCCGTGTGTAATGAGTCGATTTTTTAGTCGACTCAGAAAGGGGAGAACAGGGGGCGGTCCGTGTGTAATGAGTCGATTTTTGAGTCGACTCAGAAAGGGGAGAACAGGGGGCGGTTGAGGTGTCTAGGGTGGCATGAGCTGAGCTTGTCTTGAAGAAGCAGCTCTACTCACAATGCTCCCATTCAGGATACCCAACCGCAGTGAGGCGCCTCCAAAAATGAGGCGCCTAAAAAATAGCATGCCGCCATTCAGCATACCCAACCGCAAGACGAACACAGAAGAAGTTACCGACTGTTGCACGAGTACCCTTTCTCGCCGCTGCACGAGCACGCTCCCCAGCACAACCACCTTCTCCTGCGACAAGAAGCTCTGCAGCTCCTGGGGTCCTGCTTGCTGTGGGTCTAGGAAATGTAGAAACGCAGAGAGAGCAAAGGGACACTCACCGTTGCACGAGCACGCTCCCCAGCACCACCACCTTCTCTTGGGAAAAGAAGCTCTGCAGCTGCTGCCGCGCCATCCCTGACAGCTTCCCCCGCATCTCCTCCATTGACGGCTGCGCCGCGCCCACCACGTGGCCTGTGGCGTTCTGCTTGTAGGCCACACAGCGCAGCACACTCTGCAGAAACAGCATGCACTCGATGAGGAAGAGGCTGTGGGCAGATGCGGAGGGGGAGGCGGGGGTGTCAGCAGCACCAGGCGCAGCAGCGGCAGCAGCGGCAGCAGGGGAGCTTTGTGCAGCAGGGGTGGAGGGGGAGGGTGAGGAGGAGGCAGGGGGGGAGGTGGGGTCGGTGGTGGTAACCTGATTGTAACAGAAGTTGAGGGTGGGCAGGAGGACGGACTTGGAGGCGAAGGAGAAGGGGTGCAGCTCGTGAGAGGCGACGAGGGTTTTGAGGAGCTTGACTGAGGCGCGGGAGAGGAAGGTGCGGAGGGGCTGCAGGGCTGGGTTGACCTGAGAGAGAGTGCCTGTAATAGGGGATTAAAAGTGGGGAAAAAGCGGGGCAAATGCGGAGGGTAACGAGGTAAGCTCAGGAGAAAGGGTGGAGCTCGTGAGAGATGACGAGCTTGACTGAGGCGCGGGAGACGAAAGTGAGGAGGGGCTGCAGGGCTGGGTTGACCAGGGACACAGTGCCTGTTTGGGACGGTGGAAGCAGGGTGAGGAGGGGCTGCAGGGCTGGGTTGAACAGGGACACAGTGCCTGTTTGAGACGGTGGAAGCAGGGTGAGGAGCGGCAGTTGGGGAGTCTCAAGTCATCGTAAAGGTGTGGGAGGGGAGGGGTATGCGAGAGCCATCAGCGAAGAACAGGGAGATTGGTTCGAGAATAAAGAACAATGCGAAGTGGTTTGAGTGGGTGGAGATGTGGCTTACGGAAGTTGAGGAGCGATTGAGCTGCTTCAAGAAACGCAGGCACGACTTGTTCCAACACTGGAACCTCCTGTAAAGGGGACGTGCACATCAAGTTGAGGCGCTTTAGAAGGGGTGATGTGATCAGCAGGGCAAGAGCGAGTGCTCCAAAGTGTTCGCTTTCGAGAGCAGAAGGCCGAAACAAAACAGGATTGCAGAAAACCAGACTATGCTGCAGCAGCAATGCAGGAAATACGAAACAAGGTAGGTGGTGACATGTGCTGAAACCACGATGCAGCGACTTACTTGCCTGAACGGATTTGAAGTCGGACGGAAAGCCAAACACGAGCATACGACGGAGGGTCTTCACACACAGCAGCCACCGCTCGCACAGCAGCATCAGCGCCCCTGCTGCCGCTGCTGCTGCTGCTTGATCGGATCCTGCGTCACCAAGGGCTTTAAGGCCTTGCAGCAGCGACCCTGTGTCCTGCACCCAGTGCGCCCAGGTGGGCTCAAACAGCTGGCTGGTCACCTGAGCAATGAGGGGCAGGGGCAGGAGGAAACTGACTGAGGGTTATTCATCCCTGCACCAAAACCCCCTGTGATCTGATCCGCCCGCAGTGTTTGTTACGCCTTGCAGCAGCGACCCTGTGTCCTGCACCCAGTGCGCCCAGGTGGGCTCAAACAGCTGGCTGGTCACCTGAGCAATGAGGGGCAGGGGCAGGAGGAAGCTGACTGAGGGGAGGGTTATTCATCCCTGCACCAAAACACCCTGTGATCAGATCCCCTGCCCTCAACGGCTGTTAAACCTTGCAGCAGAGACCCTGTGTCGCGCACCCAGTGCGCCCAGGTGGGCTCAAACAGCTGGCTGGTCACCTGAGCAATGAGGGGCAGGGGCAGGAGGAAGCTGACTGAGGGGAGGGTTATTCATCCCTGCACCAAAACACCCTGTGATCAGATCCCCTGCCCTCGACGGCTGTTAAACCTTGCAGCAGAGACCCTGTGTCGCGCACCCAGTGCGCCCAGGTGGGCTCAAACAGCTGGCTGGTCACCTGAGCAATGAGGGGCAGGGGCAGGAGGAAGCTGACTGAGGGGAGGGTTATTCATCCCTGCACCAAAACACCCTGTGATCAGATCCCCTGCCCTCAACGGCTGTTAAACCTTGCAGCAGAGACCCTGTGTCGCGCACCCAGTGCGCCCAGGTGGGCTCAAACAGCTGGCTGGTCACCTGAGCAATGAGGGGCAGGGGCAGGAGGAAGCTGACTGAGGGTTATTCATCCCTGCACCAAAACCCCCTGTGATCTGATCCGCCCGCAGTGTTTGTTACGCCTTGCAGCAGCGACCCTGTGTCCTGCACCCAGTGCGCCCAGGTGGGCTCAAACAGCTGGCTGGTCACCTGAGCAATGAGGGGCAGGGGCAGGAGGAAGCTGACTGAGGGGAGGGTTATTCATCCCTGCACCAAAACACCCTGTGATCAGATCCCCTGCCCTCAACGGCTGTTAAACCTTGCAGCAGAGACCCTGTGTCGCGCACCCAGTGCGCCCAGGTGGGCTCAAACAGCTGGCTGGTCACCTGAGCAATGAGGGGCAGGGGCAGGAGGAAGCTGACTGAGGGGAGGGTTATTCATCCCTGCACCAAAACACCCTGTGATCAGATCCCCTGCCCTCGACGGCTGTTAAACCTTGCAGCAGAGACCCTGTGTCGCGCACCCAGTGCGCCCAGGTGGGCTCAAACAGCTGGCTGGTCACCTGAGCAATGAGGGGCAGGGGCAGGAGGAAGCTGACTGAGGGGAGGGTTATTCATCCCTGCACCAAAACACCCTGTGATCAGATCCCCTGCCCTCGACGGCTGTTAAACCTTGCAGCAGAGACCCTGTGCCGCGCACCCAGTGCGCCCAGGTGGGCTCAAACAGCTGGCTGGTCACCTGAGCAATGAGGGGCAGGGGCAGGAGGAAGCTGACTGAGGGGAGGGTTATTCATCCCTGCACCAAAACACCCTGTGATCAGATCCCCTGCCCTCGACGGCTGTTAAACCTTGCAGCAGAGACCCTGTGTCGCGCACCCAGTGCGCCCAGGTGGGCTCAAACAGCTGGCTGGTCACCTGAGCAATGAGGGGCAGGGGCAGGAGGAAGCTGACTGAGGGGAGGGTTATTCATCCCTGCACCAAAACACCCTGTGATCAGATCCCCTGCCCTCGACGGCTGTTAAACCTTGCAGCAGAGACCCTGTGCCGCGCACCCAGTGCGCCCAGGTGGGCTCAAACAGCTGGCTGGTCACCTGAGCAATGAGGGGCAGGGGCAGGAGGAAGCTGACTGAGGGGAGGGTTATTCATCCCTGCACCAAAACACCCTGTGATCAGATCCCCTGCCCTCGACGGCTGTTAAACCTTGCAGCAGAGACCCTGTGCCGCGCACCCAGTGCGCCCAGGTGGGCTCAAACAGCTGGCTGGTCACCTGAGCAATGAGGGGCAGGGGCAGGAGGAAGCTGACTGAGGGGAGGGTTATTCATCCCTGCACCAAAACACCCTGTGATCAGATCCCCTGCCCTCGACGGCTGTTAAACCTTGCAGCAGAGACCCTGTGCCGCGCACCCAGTGCGCCCAGGTGGGCTCAAACAGCTGGCTGGTCACCTGAGCAATGAGGGGCAGGGGCAGGAGGAAGCTGACTGAGGGGAGGGTTATTCATCCCTGCACCAAAACACCCTGTGATCAGATCCCCTGCCCTCGACGGCTGTTAAACCTTGCAGCAGAGACCCTGTGTCGCGCACCCAGTGCGCCCAGGTGGGCTCAAACAGCTGGCTGGTCACCTGAGCAATGAGGGGCAGGGGCAGGAGGAAGCTGACTGAGGGGAGGGTTATTCATCCCTGCACCAAAACACCCTGTGATCAGATCCCCTGCCCTCGACGGCTGTTAAACCTTGCAGCAGAGACCCTGTGCCGCGCACCCAGTGCGCCCAGGTGGGCTCAAACAGCTGGCTGGTCACCTGAGCAATGAGGGGCAGGGGCAGGAGGAAGCTGACTGAGGGGAGGGTTATTCATCCCTGAACCAAAACCCCCTGTGATCAGATCCCCTGCCCTCGACGGCTGTTAAACCTTGCAGCAGAGACCCTGTGTCGCGCACCCAGTGCGCCCAGGTGGGCTCAAACAGCTGGCTGGTCACCTGAGAAAAACATGGTTGGTTGAGAGTTCCTTGAGCGGATGGCTGAGGAGAACTAGATAGATGCTTGCACCGAGTGAACAGAACATTCGAAGTATGTGAGCAGACGACAAAATCTGGACCTCTACTTTTGAATCGACTTAAAGCAGAACATTCTGAGTATCTAGACAGATGCCGGTATCTGGCCCTCACTTACCTGTGCAAAGGGGCGTTGATCAACGCTTCGTCACTTAGCTGAGAGCTGTTTGAGAGCTCTAATCAAGCACATGGTTGAGAGCCCCAGGCGTTTAGGCAGGTACCAGCACCTAATTTCTCACCTGAGCGAAGGTGCGTTGATCCACGCTGAGGCGCTTAGTTGAGAGTTCCTTAAGCACGTGATTGAGGACCAGATAGGCGCGCTGTGTGAGCAGAGGATCTTGAGTCTGTAGCTTTTGCACGAGAGTGGGGAACAGCTCCGGCCTGGCAGCACATGCCATGACATTCCACCACATCCCACCACATCCCATCACATGCCATCACATCCCACCACATCCCATCACATGCCACCACATGCCATCACATGCCATCGCATGCCATCACATGCCACCACATGCCATCGCATGCCATCACATGCCACCACATGCCATCACATGCCATCACATGCCATCACATGCCACCACATGCCATCACATGCCACTGGTGTGAAGTGAATGCATGGACGAATACTGTAGCACGACAAACGCGAATGGTCGCGACTCCTGAAAATGGATGCACAAAGTCAAGTGGCAAATCGAAACGTACTGATGTGCCATCTCCCACCATTCACGCCCATGCCTCACCATTCGCGCCCATCCCTCACCATTCGCGCCCATCCCTCAGAGATCTAATGGCTTCTGGAACATGCATAAGCCAAGGGAGGACAGAGCAAGGCTTATCCCTCACCATTCCCTGGGGTAGTCAATGCGGGCGATCTTAGCCACAAGCACCGCCAGCTGGACGGCCACTTGGCTGTTCTCGTCTGCTATCAGGTCCAGCAGCCGCGCTCTCAGCACCGGCTTTTCTTCGTCTGATATCCCTCTGTATGGGTAAAGATGGCACAGGAAAGAAGGGCAACGTGTGAGTTGAATAGAGGATGCATGCATGCAGGCTGCACGACCACTTGGCTGTTCTCATCTGCTACCAGGTCCAGCAGCAACTCGTCTGGCGCGCATAACTGCATAACTCGTCTGGCGCGCCAGTACCGGTTGATGCTGATCTTGAAATACACCGCCGCCAGCCACCAGTATCTAATCCTGTGTATTCTGCAGTGCTTATATGTGCGTATATGCGAGTGTGACTCACTGTGTCTCCCGTCTAGCGCGCCAGTATCGGTTGATGCTGTTTTTGAAGTAGACTGCTGCCAGCCACCTGGCTCCGCCCTTCTGGTCCAACTCCTTGCGCGCTATGATCTCCTGCGCAGCACCAGAAAAACAAGAAGGGGAGAAGATGGGAGGGAGAAGGAACAAGAAGGAGCAAGAAGGGAGAAGGCAGGGGAATGCTTTTGAGTCGACTCAGGCGCACACCTGGCTCCGCCCTTCTGCTCCAACTCCTTGCGCGCTTTGATCTCCTGCCACCCACCTGGCTCCGCCCTTCTGCTCCAACTCCTTGCGCGCTTTGATCTCCTGCCACCCACCTGGCTCCGCCCTTCTGCTCCAACTCCTTGCGCGCTTTGATCTCCTGCCACCCACCTGGCTCCGCCCTTCTGCTCCAACTCCTTGCGCGCTATGATCTCCTGCGGAGTTCGAGAGGGAATGGGAATGGGAATGTAGAGAGAACGCGGGAAGGAGGGGGAGCGGACAGTAGTCCGCTGCCACCCACCTGGCTCCGCCCTTCCGGTCCAACTCCTTGCGCGCTATGATCTCCTGCAGAGAGCGAGAGGAAAAAGAAGTGGGAAGGTAGGGGGGGCGGGGGAAGGACGGGAAGGTGGGGGGGAGGAGGAGGAGGAGGAGGAGGAGGAGGAGGAGGAGGAGGAGGAGGAGGAGGAGGAGGAGGAGGAGGAGGAGGAGGAGGAGGAGGAGGAGGAGGAGGAGGAGGGGGAGGAGGAGGAGGAGGGGGAGGAATGGGGGAGGGGGGGGGGGGTGGGGGGAGGGGAGAAGGGGAGGGGAGAAGGGGAGGGGAGAAGGGGAGGGGAGAAGGGGAGGGGAGAAGGGGAGGGGAGAAGGGGAGGGGAGAAGGGGAGGGGAGAAGGGGAGGGGAGAAGGGGAGGGGAGAAGGGGAGGGGAGAAGGGGAGGGGAGAAGGGGAGGGGAGAAGGGGAGGGGAGAAGGGGAGGGGAGAAGGGGAGGGGAGAAGGGGAGGGGAGAAGGGGGGACATAAGGGGACAGAGCAGTGTGGGGAGTTAGAGGCAGCGGTATAATGAGGGAGAAATGGCACAGGTGAGTGGGATAATAACGCGGGAGACTGTGTTTATGCAACGGCTAAGGGGAGGAATGAAGATGAAACGCCGCAAACGAGGAACGGAGGTACAGACGGAATGCGGCACACGTCTGCCGTACCAGAAGGCATGAGCAGAAACCCACGCGGGTCTCATACGCGCTAAGAGCCTGCTCCGCCTCCTTCCTTGTAGCCTCGTTCAGGGCTGCTTCTAACAGGTTGTAGATCGGCCCCGCGTCTGCTGCTGTCAGCGCCATGGCTGCTGTCTGCTCCGAAAGGCGTTTGGAACGGGAACGGAAAAAGTCCCTGTGGAGTAACGGCCTCTAGAGATTACGAATCTGATGAAGACGTGAGGTGAGCGCGAGTAGCTTCCGAATCTAGCACCGTCAGGGGCTATGCAATGGCTCACACGACCGGATTCAGTCCTAATTGCGATGCGATGGCAACGTATGGATACTAACGCGCTTTATATCCGGCGGCGGAACGATAGAAACGGAGATTAGAAGTGAAGGACCTCTAGGTTCTTCTCATGGTGACCATGGGATTAGGAATATGGTACCTGAAGGGGGTTACCATCTGCATGTATGCCTGCCCAACCATGGGGATATGTTCGGGGCAAAAATTGCGCACATTTCGTAGTGTTGTTTCGTACACCCGAGGGGAGGTTTCTCAACCCCATTGCATTGTGGGATGCACGCCGGCTTATATGGAGGAGACTGTTCGCACACTTACTGGCTCGGTGACGAAGCTAGCCCAAACCGCTGACCTCGCAGAACGAAGATTGGTTGGGAGCGATACATACCATGCCTGGTTTGGTTTGGGTGCGAATGTGATTGTGCACAACAGTATGTTGGGTGAGCCGTGGGGCCCAGCCCGACCCGGGCAAAACCGATATCTACAGACCGTCAAGAAACCCCGTTTCTATACGATTTTATCTCAATACCCTACTCAACCGTTATCTGAACCAGATAGAGCATCTCATCCAACCGCAGTCAAACGTACGCGCGGTCACATGCCCTTATGGCGTGTGACGTGAGAGTTTATTTGTTGTTCGTACAACACCGTGAAAATAGGCGAATTTCCATACGCAATTGCTGTGCTGTCAGGACCCAATTTGGAAGTTTGATTGTTCGAACGATTGCGACAACATGCGACGCAACTCCCTTGGAATCGTGTGGGCGCCCGAGGCACATTTAAGAGTTCGCAGATGTTCGTCAGTGTTTTGTAACGCGGGAGGGAGCACCGTTCGAACGGTGCATGCCTGACCGTTCGAATGCCGCCATTCGAACGGTCTGTGTCCTCGCATTTGAGGTTTTCCGCTTTTTTTCGCGACACATTCGCGATTCTTTCACGACATTCGCGAGAGTTGTAACCTGCCGTTCTGTTCGGATTCTGGCGTTGTTCGTACTGAGAGGTCACACGCCCTAATGTTCACTTCCTCCGAACCTAATGGCACACTCCCAGCTGGGATGAACAGTGAGGCTTGTATCGAGTAGGTTGAACAGCGCGTCAAGGTTTGACGTCAAGTTACCGCTTCCAAACCCACAGCAAACTTTCTTATCTATTGTAAAGACACTGTACCGCACTGTGGCTCAGGTGACGTCGTTTTCCCTACAGGTGTTACGCACGTGATGATTCGGTTTGTCTTTGGTTCGGTATGGTTGAGTACGATGCAGTGCAGCCGCAAATAAGTGGCGCGCATTCAACGACACCCTCAGGGAGGCCTTAGGCCAAAGTCTAAGCAAGAATCCACCTAGAGCATCTAACTGGCGTCGAAGGGTAATATATACAGCGCAATAGAGTTCATTTGGCGCGGAGATTACAGTCCAGACAATGCGGAGTACTCACAGCTTTTCCGCGCCTCCGTAGCAGTTCAAATGCTGTCATGTTACGGCTCGTCGTATTCCCCTGAAGCCAATTCCCGTCTGTTGCGAGTTTCGAATATTAATCGGCAAGGCGCGGAGTCCACGGGGGGTGTCTAAGCGATGGAGTCGCAGGTAAGCTGGCGAAGGCAGCGTAATAAGGCGCGTGGTTCCGTTACAGTCACAGAGCTGCTCGAAAACTCTTCATAGGAAGGTGAGGTTCGTCAGGGAGGGGAGGACTTACCAGCGCGAAAAGCGGTGAGCAACGTGAGAAGACCAGCGAATTGGACGGAGCCCGAGAAATGCAGATGCGTAGTAGAGTCGCACGCGTAGGACGCGGCGTAGCACGCGGCGTCGATACCTAAGGTGTCCGTATCCCTCATTTTCTCCAGGCCCAGCCAAGCCCGTCAATCCCTGCATGCGATGTCCGCTTAAGCCGCGCTGTGCTTTGCGCTCTGGTGCACTGTTGTGAGCAGGAGGGGCAGGAGGAGGGCAAATCGACGGGCAAGAAGCACAAGGATGGGAAGAAGAGCCATCGGGTCCGTCCACGTGGCCTCGCATTTCCCCCCACTGCACTTTCCGTTCCGTCTCCGTTCCCTCGTGTCTTTAATCGATTCCCTTCCCTCGTGTCTTTACTCGATTCCCTTCCCTCGTGTCTTGACTCGATTCCCTTCCCTCATGTCAATTCCATGACGCCAAATTTACTGCTCGAAAATCTCGAGCCCATTCCCACTCCTCCTCATTGAACCTGCCACTACCCTACATATTGATGCATCCCCCCTCCCCTTCCCTCCTCCCCCTCTCAGCTCTCTTCCCCCCGCCCCCTTACCCTGTGCCACATCCCTATCACCCTCATACCGACCCCATCTATCCCATCCGCCTACCTCCCACAGAAAGAGGCAATGGAGGAGATGCGGGGGGATGTAGAGCGGTTGAAAGGCGAACTCCAACAGGCAGGGGAGCAGCTTGCAGAGGCAGAAAGGAGCAAGGCTGATCTGTGGGTGAAGCATGGAGTGCTTGAAAGGGAGAAGGTTGATTTGGAGGGGCGATTGGGGGAGAGTGAGAGGAAGAGCGTGGAGTTGGTTGGGAGGTTGGAGGAGTGTGAGAGGAGAGTGAGGGAGGAAGAGGAGGGGAGGAGAGAAGAGAAGCAGAAACGGAAAGAAGAGAAGGAGAAGAGGAAGGAGGAGGAGGGGAAGAGAAAGGAGGAGAAGAAGAGGAGGAAAGAAGCAGAGGAGGAGAAGGAGAGGGTAGAGGAGGAACTGAGACTTGTGAGGCAGCGATTGGAGGAAATAGAGGCTAAGGGTGGGAGGATGGAGGGGGGAACCGTTGAGGTGAGAGGGTCTGCTAATGCAGAGGACAGGAGGAGCGATTCAGTATATAGAAGGAATAGTGAGGGGGGGGACGGGAGCAGTTTAGCGGATGACAGGAGCATTGGGGCGGATGGAAGGAGCAATGGGTGTGATGGTGAAAGCGAGTTAAGTGCGCGGTTGGCAACGCTTGAACTGCGAACCTGTAAAGCAGAGGGAGAGGCGGAGTGTTTGAGACGTGAGCTGGAAGAAGCAAAAGCCACGCTGGCTGATACAAGTGGTAAGCTGGCAGTTTCGGAAGCAAGGCTGACAGACGCGCAGGCATGCTTGGATGAGGTCAGAGCAGAGAGAGTGAAGGAGGAGGGAAGCGGGGAGGAGGGTAGCAGAGAGGAGGCAGAGCAGAAGCTGAAAGAAGTAGAGCACAGGTTGAAAGAGGCAGAGCAGAGGTTAAGAGCGGTAGAAGCCGAGAGAGACGTGGCTGAGAGACAGAGGGAGGAGGCAGAAAGGCGATGGGAGGAGGCGGAGAGGCGATGGGAAGAAGCGGAGAAAGGGAGAGAGGTGGCGGAGGAGAGTGTGAAGGGCCTTGTGAGCCGACTGACAGCTGCAGAGGAGGCAGCAGGGAACTCCAACGGGGAGGAGAGCAGGGAGGAGAGGAGGGAGGAGAGGAGGGAGGAGAGGAGGGAGGAGAGCAGTGAGGCTTCTGAGCAGCTGAAGCAGCAAGGGGGGGATGCAAGTCAAGCGAGACCAGAAGGAGAGGCGTGTGATGAGTCTCAAAAGACCGAAGCGTTTCCTCTTAGCAAGACGGATATGGAGGTAGAGGTTGAGTTTCTTGAGGTTGAGGGGCCGCCAAAGACAGAAGCGCCACTTCCAAAGACGGATATGGAGGCCGAGCTTGAGTTTCTGCGCAACCTGAGAGAAGACCTGGAGCGTGAACTGGACTCTCTTCGATACCAGCTAGACTTGAAAACACCTGCCCAGCCTGTTGCCGAACCTGCTTCCAAGCTTGTGTCTCCGCCTGGTTCCGAGCCTGGTGGTGCCGAGCCTGCTGTTGCTGATGTGGATACGACTGAATCGAAGGAGGCTGGGAGTTGCCAGAGCAAGTGCGAACCTGGCAACAGCAACTGCTGCTGCACCTGCTGTAGCAGCTGTAGCTGCAGCTGTAGTTCCAAGGGCAATGGCAGCAGCACTAACCACACAAACAACACCAGCAGCTGCATCACTGGCAGCAGCAGGAGCATCGCAGAAGCAGAAGCAGAGATAGCGCAGCTGCAAGCTGTGAAAGCGGACCTAGAGCGGGAACTAGAAGACCTCTACCTAGAGGTTCAGCGGGAGCAGGAACTCTCAGCCGAAGCCAGTCTGTTGGCTGAGAAGGAGTGGGAGCGGCGCCAGGAGGCAGTGTCTATGCTGTCGCAGCTTGAGAGGCAGCTGGCGGAGGCGTTTGGAGGGGGGGTGGCCGAAGGGGGGGTGGTGGTAGATGCGGCTGGAAGGCCCATGTCGCCCTTAGTGGGGAGTTTGAGTGGGTCGGGAGGGCGGGGAAGGGAAGGGAGTGGAGGGGTAGAAGGGTTGGGGAGGAAAGGTGGGGGAGGGAGCGTGGGACGGGTGTTTGCGTCGCCACTTGGCGAGTCTAGATTGGAGGATTCTGGTGGGAGGGATAGCTGGCCGTATTTAAGCGGTGATGAGGTGGAGGAAGGAGCAAATGTGGGAGATGAGGGGGGAGAGATGGGAGGAACGAGGAGGATGTTGTTTGGAATAGAGGAGCATGGAGAGGAGGAGGAGAGTGCAGCAGCATGGGAGGAAGAACGGGCTTCTGCCCTTGCCGCACCGGCCACAGCAGCAACTGTGGACCGGCTGTGCCTAGAGAGGGAAGAAGGGGCGGAGGAGGGAGAGCAGTGGAAGGAAGAGGATGGGGATCGGGTTGGAAATGGGAGAGAAGAGGAGCACAAGCGCGTGGTGACGCGTGGAGTAGGAGAGAGGGAGCAAGGGGAGGAGGGGGAGGAAGGGGAGAGAGGAAAGAGGGAGGCGGGTGAGGGTGAGGGGGAGCAAGGGGGCGTGGAGCACTCTTGGCGGATAGATTGGCCCAGGTCACAGACGGACAGTAGAGTGGTTATTGAAAACCGGGCATATTCAGATGACCATCCACAAGCACATACACAGGACCAAGCCAGTGCACCTACCGATGCCGCCCATCCCACCTCAACCAATCCCAACCGTCCGGAGCGAGTGAGCAGTGCGCCCAGCACCCGCCCCCTCCTGCGCATCCGGCCGCCCCCTCGCACGCTCTCCAGAGCCACGTCCGATTTAGTCACATACGTGAGGGACGCCAAGACCGCCCTGCGACTGCCATCCTCTCCTGGGGAAGACGAGTTCTTCAGCACCAAGTTACCCGAGCTGAGGAGGCGCATGGGCAGTATGCTCTCGCCTCTGCACTCCCCCCTGGGTGGGTTGAAAGGGGTGCAGCTGGATGGCGGGGAAAAAGTTGAGGTGCCGGCGGTACCTGGTAATGGTGTTGCTGGTGGGGGTGTGAGTGGGGGAGCTGGAGATGGTTCGGGTGCTTCTGTTGCTTCAGGTGCGACGTCAGGTGAAGGCAACGCACCTGGATCGCACCTGAAGTCACGCCTGGCCAGTGTGGCTGAGTGCAATGGTGATAAGCATGAGGAGGAGAGGGGGGAGGAGGAGGAGGGGGAGAGTAAGGGGCTGGCGCAATGGGGTGGAGAGGAGCAAGGGAATGGAAGCGGGGCGTGCAGAAGCACCTTGGTTCCACCAGATACAGCAGCAGCAGGAGCAGCAGCAGCAGAAGCGGAAGCAGAAGCACCACCGCTGGTGGAAGCTGAGAAACCAGCGCTTGATCATGGCCTTGCCACACCACGAACAGTTATCAACGATGACTCTGAAGGCTTCACTGCACCCACACAAGGCTTCACTGCACCCACAGAAGGTTTCACTGCACCCACAGAAGGCTTCACTGCACCCACTGCATCCCACAATGACTCTGACGCTCTAGATACGCCTGTTGAGCCGCCTCACACCACTCCACGCACGGCTCCAGACATCACTGTTCCAATGACTTACACTGCTTTCTCCTTCCCCGCCCCTGCCAGCCCTCACCCCGGCCACATTGGCTCCTCTCTAGACAAGGCCTTTCGCCGTGCTGCCACCTACTCTGGCCGAGCCTTCCCTCAAGCCCAGTCTGCTTCCACTGCCCCCTTCCCCTCCTCCTACTCTGCCCTTGTGCGTTCCTACACGGGCCCTTCCTCTCCCACCACCAATGGCAGCAGTGGCCCCTCACTGCTCACCACCTCTTCTTCCAAGGGTGGTACACTTGAAGATTCCTCTGCCACTAGTATTCTTCTTTCTCACACCAGCGTCCTTTCCTCCCCTAGCTCAGCCAGCACAGTGTCTTACTCAGGCCAATCCTTTTCGTATGCCAGTCAGATATCAACTGCACCAGGTGAAGCCCGGGATAAACCCTTCAACAGAGCGGTTTCCTACACAGGGGGTTTCAACAGAGCAGACTCGCACTCAGGTGCTTTCAACAGAACGGGCTCTTACACAGGTGGTTTTGACAGAGCTGGTCCGGATGCGGAACTGCTGACCCTAAGCAAACTTTCTGGGAGGGAGTTTGCAGCAGCAGAGGCAGCAACAGGGGGAAAAGACGGGGGGGAAATCTTGGAAATTTTTGGGGAAGGAGAGGAGGATGAGTTAGTAGATGTCGGGTTGGCTGATGACGGCCGAAACTGGGCTGGCTCCATGCACAGTAAGCAGCAGCTCTTAGCTAAGCACCAGAGTGAGTTCCTCCATACCTTGCTGCAGATGCTACAGCTGGCGGTGGTGAAAAGGGAAAGCGAGTCCGCAGCAGCGACTGCCGCCGCTACAGCTGCTGCTACAGCCGTCTCGGCTGCAGAGAGGGAGAAAGCGGAGTGGGAAGTGGAGCAGGTTATATCCGCAATTTTCAAGGAAGTACATAACGTATTGCATGTGAATGGTGTTGGCAGGGCGAGGAGGAAATTCAGAGGGGTGGCGAAGGAAGGGAAAGCGGCGGCCATGGCTGCAGCAGCAGTTAGAGAAGATCTCGAGCTTTTGGTCCGGGCAGTTGAAGCAAAGGCGCGGGCAGCAATGAGAAAGAATGTAGCAGGCCTGGTTCCCCCTGCACCAAGAAGACTCGTGAAGGATGGTAGTGGTGGGAGCAATGCTGGTGGTGGTGGTGTGAGTAGGGGGGGAAGAGGAGGAGAGAAGGGAGGGGGTGGGTGGGGGAGTAGCAGCAACGGCATGTGGGGTATCAGTCAGGGTCTTCAGTCCGCCGCTCTGGCTATAGCTGGCTCTCCCTCACCCTCTGTTGCCAGCACACCCCCCGTTAGTAGAACGCCATCGGGTGCAGAAGCACCTTCGGTTATAGGCATGCATAATCACACACTGGCTATCTACCGGACTGCTTCAGCAGCCACTGACATATCCACTGATGGTAACACTCCCGTCGCTGCTGCGGTTACCATCGCCCGAACCTCATCTGTACCCACGGAAACGTCCACTGCTGGTAACACGCCTGTAGCAAGAGCTGTAGGTGGCTCGTCTGCAACGGCTCAGATGGGTATGGCAAACGCCCTGACTATCTACAGGACGCCGTCTATGGCTGAGCTGTCCACTGCGGGTAACACTCCTGTTGCGCATGCAGTCACCATGGCATTTGCCAGTGGGTTAAATGCCTCAGGGCTCCTAGGGATTGCTTCTGCAAGGCTAGCTGCTGCTGCTGCTGCTGCGCCTGGTACTTCGTCTACCACTGGCAACACGCCTGCTGCTTCCACTGCTGGTAACACGCCCATCGCACATGCCTTGGGTAGTCCGAACCAGTTTGCTGTTAGCCGCGGTTCGCACATAGCGACAGATGCGTCGACTGGTGGTAACACGCCTGTTGCACAGGTGGTTACCGCAAGCAGTGGTAACACTCCTACTGCACGACCTGTAACACTAAGGGGAGAAGAGAGGGCGGAGCGGGTAAGGGAGGCAGAGGAGGAGAAGGAGGGGGCATGTAGAGAGGGGGAGCAAGGGGAGGAGAGAGGGGAAGAGAAGGAGAGGGAGGAGGTTTTGTATGTGCGGGAAGTCGTAGCGGGTGACTTGGTGGTTCACCACCACGTGGACACCCTTGCTCGCCCCCTCACCCCTGCGAGCTCGAATGCCTTCGAGCTGGCTCGAGAATCGCCCAGTGTGCTGGCAGTTGTGAGTAGGGAGGAGAGGGCACAGGCCAGGACACAGGAGCAATTGGTGGGCAAGCTGGGATATGAAGGGCGGGAGAGACAGAGACGTGAGCCGACAGCACTCGAGCCTGTGAGGCACGATCCGTGGAGAGACCAAAGCCTGGAGGGTTACTACCAGCCCTTAGTTTCTCGCCCCTTTGCTGCTGCTCGGCCCATGACCGCCCAGCCTTCAGGCAGGCAGCATCGGCACATATCGGGGGGCCATCAGCAGCATCAGCAGCAGTGGCAGGGGCGACAGCAGAAGCACGAGGATGGGGGTGTGGGAAGGGATGGGCGTGATGTTAGTAGCACCGGCACCGGCACCGGCACCGGCACCGGCACCGGCACCGGCACCGGCACCGGCACCGGCACCGGCACCAGCACCGGCACCGGCACGAGCAGCACCGTTGGCAGCAGGGGGTATGGACAGCAGGCGGAGCGATGGGGCCTGTGGACGTCGAGAGCCAGTGGGACAGAACCTGCTTCTGAGGCGTCTCAAAGGGAGCCTGCTTTTGAGGCGCCTCAAAAGCAATACGGGCAGCAGACGGAGCGATGGGGCCTCTGGACGTCGAGAGCCAGTGGGGCGGAGCGGCACACCTCTTTCCGGCGTAACGGGGCTGCTGGTAGGGAGGCCACAGGTGCTGGCCCCAGCGGTGGCAGGGGTGCTAGTGGTATGGCTGCTGGCAGTGCTGGCAGTGGGAGACCTAGTGCACTGCTGTACAGACCAGGGAGCTCGAAGGGCGGAGCGGGAGGGAGAGGAGGAAGAGGAAGGGGAGGAGGGGGTGGAGGACTGGCTGATAGACGGGTGGAGGAGCACAGCACAGGATGTGAACGCCTTGGAAGAGGGACCGACCAAGCTGTTATGAACCAAGACTCTGCCATACCTGACCAAGTGGCTCCAGATGGGAACGAGCCTGGTGGTTTGGCTCGGGAACAGGACGTTCGGCAAGGCAGTGTAATGCAGACTCTGCTTTCCGAAGCTGCTGCTGTCAGAAACACTGTCACATCCTGGGCGGCAGCTACTGTAGCAGCACATAGCACTGTAGCAGACACTGGTACTGTAGCAGACCGTTACACTGTAGCACCAAGAAAGGATACTGTAACGCTGCCACGGAGGCCAGCCACAGCCGCAGCGGGCGGCAGAGTTCGTCCTGTCAGTGGTTCGCAGATGAGAGGGAGTGGAGAGGGGTGGGGTAGAGTGGGGATGGGTGAGAAGGGGGGAAGCAGAGAGGAGCCATGGGGAAGGACCCAGATTAGTGAGGCAGGATGGAGGGCAGGAGGCGAGCGACCTTGGGCAGAGATGGGTGGAGGACGGGCAGAGAAGAGCGGTGATGAGAATGTGTGGAGTCTTGAAGAGGAAGAGGAGGAGGAGGGGAGGGAGGAGGGTGGAGAGGAGGGTGGAGAGGAGGGTGGAGAGGAGGGTGGGAAGAGGGTACTTGTGAAGCATGAGGGGAGACCGGGGAGTGGAGAGGGTGTGGAGGGTAGGAGCAAGCAGGATGGTCGTATGGAGATTGAGGAGGAGGACTCCACCATTGAGAATGCTCCACTGTTGCAGCTTAGCCACCGGAATCGGCAGCAGCAGCAGGGGGCGAATCAGAAAGCAGCCCCTGCAGCGGCTCCCTCGTCCTCTTCTGCCTCTCCTGGACTTTTTGCGAGTCTCCTGCCCAAGTCAGCATCTGTGAATCACGTGCGGCGGGCCAGCATTCAGATATTTGATTCCCTCACTCACCTCACTTTTGGCCCGTCTGCCGCTGTAGCCGCTGCTACAACTGCTGCCACAGCTGCTGTTTCAACTGCTGCTTCAACTGCAGTTGCAGCAGCAGCCACGGCAGTTACGGCGGCTGCTGCTGCTGCTGCTGCGAACGTCGCAGCCGCAGAAAGTGACACAGCTGAGTTTTTACACTCCCCGTTGCTTAGCCCGTCCAAGGTTGTAGCAGCTGTGGCAAGTGCTGCTACAGGCCTGGCGGCAGCTACAGGTGTTGGCACTGGTGCTGGTGCTGGTGCTGGTGCTGCTCTAGGCAGGTATGGGACTGTTGCTTCCCCTACGCATCGCAGCATACTGCCAGTGGGAAGCTTTGATGAGGCAGAGTCAGGAGCGGCTTTGGCGGCAGAATGGCTAGCAGATAAGATGGATAGATTGACAGGGGCGGGGCAGAGGAAGGGAGAGGAGGAGAGGAGGGCGGTGATGGAGTGGACTAAGGAGCTCGAGGAGGAAGGGGAGGAGGAGGAGAGGGAGTGGAGGGAGAGAGAAAGGGAGAGGAGGGAGGAAGAGAGGAGGGAGAGGGATAGAGAGGAGGAGAGGAGGAGGAGGGTGGAGGAGGTGAGGAGGAAGATTGAGGCTGCTAGTGAGGAGAGGAGGAGGAGGGAGGAGCGGGAGCAAGGAAGGGAGAAGAAAGAAAGGGCTGCAGGCGAGCAGAGAGGTGCTGCTCGTGAACGGATGGAAGGAGGAAAGAGTCCTGAAAAGCCTGCAGGCGAGCAGAGAGGTGCTGCTGGTGGGGGGAATGATGGGGGTGAGATTTGGGAAAAGGCTGCAGGGGAGCAGAGAGGTGCTGCTGCTTGTGAAAGGATTGAAGGAGGCGAGAGTTGTGAAAAGCCTGCTACAGGGATCTTAGTGGAGAGAGAAATTGAGTCAACTTTGGGGAGGCCTGGCGTGCAGGGGGGAATGGTGACGGTGAAGGGAGGTCTGATGAAAGGGGAGGCGAGGGAGAGTGCGAGCTCGAGTGAACTGGTTTTTGATAATTCCCAGAAACCAACTGGTGTGCTGGAGGTGATGGAGGGAGGCTTGGCGAAATGGGAAGCGAGGGAGAGTGAGAGCTCAAGTGAGGGAGAAGAAGGGTGGAGTGATATGGAGGAGGAGGAAGAGGAGGGTGAGGAGGATGACGAAGAATCATGGAGCGATGATGACAGTAGTGATGATGCTAATGACGAGGATGTGGATGCTGGTACTGATAACGAGGAGGCAGGGAAGGAGGAGAAGGAGGAGGGACTAGAGGGGGTTGAGCATGAAGCTGCGGAGAGAGAGGGTGACACACCTGATAGTCTGCCAGAGGGGGGTGGAGGGGGGACGGAGAAAATGGAAGTAGAGGGGGTTGAGCATGAAGCCGCGGAGAGAGAGGACGCCACACATGACAGTATTCTGCCAGTAGTTGAGGGAGGGGGGAAGGTGGATGAGGGGGTTGAGCACGTGGAGGTGGAGAGAGAGGTCTACGCACTTGATAGTCTGCCAGCAGGAGAGGGAGGGGGGAAGGGTAAGGAGGGAGTAGAGGGGGTTGAGCACGTTGTGATACCGAGAGTGGATGACACACGTGATAATAATCTGCCAGCAGTGGGTAAGGTGGATGAGGGCGTTGAGAAAGCGGTGGTGGAGAGAGAGGGTGGCACAACTGGTAGTTTGCCAGAAGGGCAGGGAGGGGGGAAGGATAAGGAGGAAGTAGAGGGGGTTGATGAGCGTGTGGTGGCGGAGAGAGAGGGTGGAACAACTGGTGGTCTGCCAGAGGGGGAGAGAGGGGGGATGGAAGGAGGTACAGGGGGCAGAGGGGTTTTTGAGGCGACTGCTGAGTCTGCCAGAAGGAGAATCGCTGAGGATGGTACCTGTGAGGGAGAAGGAGATCAGAGTTCTGCCCGTGTGAATCGTGACGAGGTTGCTGGGTCACAAGCAAGGGTTGGTGGTCTTGATGGTGATGGTAATACTGTGCTAAGTCGAAATGGTGGTGATGGTGATGGTGGTGATGGTGGTGATGGTGGTGATGGTGGTGATGGTGATGGTGGTGTTGATGACATATGGAGTGATGTCGACGACATTGACGATGAGAGTGATATAGGCACTGAGGAGGAGGGAGAGAAAGAGGAGGGAGAGGCGGAAGCAGATGGAGATGGGGTGAAGGAGAGAGGAAGAGAATCCACGGGAGTGGAGGGTCCTGCCGGGGAAGAGGGGGGGGCATTGGAAGCAGCTGGAGAAGCACCATCAGATGCATTTCTTCTCATGTCTTGTAGCATGGAAGGCCCTCCCTTGGCAGAGGCACAGGCTGGAAGCGATGTGGAGGAAGGAAAAGGGCAAGAGGAGGCGAAGGGGAAGGTGGGGAGGGATGAGGAGGAGTGGAGTGGGATAGATGAGGATGATGAGGAGAGGGATGATTTTGACTCTGATGATAGCCTGGGGAGTGAAGGGGAGGGGAAGGAGGAGGAGGACGGGAGTAGTGAAGAAGACGGAGAGAGCGAGATGAGTAATGAGGTGGATAGTGAGAGTGGGAGTGAGAGTGGGAGTGCGAGTGGGAGTGGAAAGGAGGGAGGGAGTGCCAGTGGTTCGGGGGAGAGCTCACTAGACATGAGCAGTGTTGGTACCGCGGAACTGACAGAAGAGAGTGAAATGGACGAAAGTGAGGAGCGAGAAAGTGAGAAGAGAGAGAGTGATGGGGGAGAGAGTAAGACGCAACAGGAGCAAGAGGGCGAGGAGGGGGAGTGGAGCGAGCAGGATGACGTCAGCAATGATAGCATCGAGATGGGCAGGGCCAATGGAGGAGGGGAAGAGGGGGATGGTGTTAGCGAGGATGGTATGAGGATTGGCACAACCAGCGATGGAGGAGGAGAGCGGGATGACCCCAGGGATGGTGCTATTACTGTTGTTAGCACAGCCGACATAGGAGGAGGAGAGGGGGGTGGTGTCAGTGAGGATGGTACCAGGACTAGCACAGCCAACGAAGGAGGGGGAGAGCAGGATGATCCCAGGGGTGATGATGTCAGTGTTGTTGGCACAGCCAAAGAAGGAGGCGGAGTGGTGAATGGTGTCAGCGATGACGGTGGTGCCTCCCCCAGAACAGCTGTGCCAGAGCCTGCAGCTGACATGGCAGATCGGGTCGCTGATGTGGCAGATCCGGTTGCTGATGTGGCTGAAGCGACTGCTGTTGATGCAATAGCTGTTGTGGCTGTGGCTGGTAACGGTTCTGAGGAAGGTGGTGGAGATGGAGATGGCATGGGAACAGAGACCATAGCAGTGGGGGAAAGGGATAAGGGATTGGGAATTGAGAGATCAGCGGAGGGCTGTGAAGGGGAACGCCTGAATGAGTGTTTGAGAGAGGAGGACGCAAGAGAGGATGTGGATGAGGGAATTCTGGTCCTGCAGGAGGGGGAGGAAGTGGGTGCGGGTAAGAGTGTGGCGCAGCGGGAGGAAGGGGGAGAAAAGGGGAGGAGGAGAGAGGGGGATGCAGGAGAGGATGCGGATGAGGGAATCATGGTCCTACCTGCAGCAGGAGGAAGAAGTTGGTGAGGGTATGAGTGCGGTGAAGCGGGAGGAAAAGGAAGCGATGAGGACGAGGAGGAGAGAGGGGGATGCGGGAGAGGGTGTGGATGAGGGAGCTATGGTCCTGCAGCAGGAGGAAGATGTGGGTGAGGGTAAGAGTGTGGCGAAGGGGGAGGAAGGGGGGAGCGAGGGGGATGAGGAGCATGGCCTTCAAGATGTGTAGATGGAGGAGCATGACTCATGAGGGGCCACGAGGTTGAAGCGGAAATGAGTCTGCAGGAAATCTGCACACAAATCATTCATGTTACAGTGAATCACTTCCAAGACAAAATCCAGCTTATGGTACGGTACCTTTCTTCTGTGAATGCTTTTCCTTACTGGGCATCATGAACCCTGGGTAGAACGTAGACAGAAGCGAGGCTATTCATTATGAGCAAATGTATTGTAGGTGTAGAAAGCAGCAGCACATGCTGTCCCAACTAGAGGAGCCTACACTTCCAGCAGTGACTGCTTGGTGGTACTCCTGCTGGCCTTGTTATTGTCATTGTTTATTTGAAGGGCAATCCCTGTAGTGCTTATAAGACGGAACCCGTTGTAAATTGTTGTTGGTTCATTCTGCAGTAACTGCAGACACAGTTAGCATTTACGTAATGGAGCAACATTGAACCTGGAATGGCAGCATTGAATGGTTCTGCCAAAACCTTCTCTTTCTTGCCAAAACCTTGCAGGTTGTCTCTTGGCAAATGAGTCGATTCAGCCTGCATCATTTCGAATGATTGCTGCCTTCAATGTCAGCGCCTCGTTTTCTTGGATAACCAGCTGATGCTGCTGCTTCAGGAAGCCATTGTGGGATGGTAAGGCCATTTGATCGTCCTAAGTCTTCTTGGCGGTTGCATCTTCTGCTAGCAAATATGGCAGGAAGATCTCCCCTTTATATCAATATGCTTATGTAATGACCTTGACTGTTGAGTCGACTCAAAAGTCCGCTTCATGTAATGACCTTGACTTTTCCGGTTGGCATGCGGAGTACCAGCTTGGTCTTCATGACAGTGTCTTGTTTCCGTTATTATAAACGGCAGAAGAAAAAATATCGTTGGTTAAAAAAAGGGGTTCCAAAACAGCTTCGCTCTGATGCTTGCTTGTTTATTGAACGAGCAGGTCTCGATGGTGTTTCAGTCCTGCATTGGCGTTCGCCATCACTGAATTAGTCCTCGGTCACCAAAAACACGCATGAACCATTAGGTATTCGGCTACCAGTCGGGTCTTCCCTTTGGGAATGTTTCTGAGAGTCGATTCAGTGTGATCCTACGCATACCACGGCGAGATAAAGAGCGCTGACGAATTTCATAATGTGGATGGCTATGGTGGTACAGGCTTCTGGAAAGTGAGAAACTTGAAAGTTGACAGACGAGAATCGAGAAACATGGGAAGACGGAGATTTTGAAACGAAATGGGGAGAAATCGAGGAAGGGGAGAAAGCAAACGCGCGAAATTCCTTGAGCGAAAAGAATCTCCCCCTTGCGACACGAGTTTGTTTCGTTAAAGTAACTGTTCTCGGCGAACTTCTTCCTTTACTAAATTTCGCCAGCACCTCCAATTCCTGCGCGAACCAGCTTATTCTAATTAGAGGGTTTTTTTATAACCAGACGTAGCAAACCCGTTCTGCTACAGAACAGCACATTTCAAATTTCGCTCCTCCTGATTCCTGAAGATTTCTTACAGGGCAAGGGGCCTGAAGATTTTGTAATTGACCAGCCGGCCCAATCAACGTCACAACAGCCGTGAACTTTCCACCGTTGCCGGAGACACTTCGCGCCTTTGGGGACGGGTTGCGTGCGGCATCTTGCGTGTTCTCCGCGTGGCCTGCGCGCACTTCAGAGTGTGCTCCGCGTGACTTGTCCGCGCGGGTTGCGCCATGGCGGAACAGGCAGGAGTTCGCCTCCCCGCGCGGTCCACGCGCGGAAAGCGGTGAGGCGACAGGGGGAGAGGGGGACAGAGTGATATTTGGTTTTTGATCGCGTGTACAGAATCGGCGGGGGAGGACCTAGATGCCAGCATTAGCTTCCCCTTATCTCCCTCCCCTTATCATCCTCCCCTTGACCTCTTCTTCCCCTTCTCGTCTTCCCTTATCCTGCACCAATCAGAATGTCCGAGCTGGTGGGGGAGGATTTAGATGCGGATGAGGAGTTTTGGAATCAGAAGGCATTTCAGGAGGTAAAATGGTGCATGGGCCTGCTGCTGACCTGGATCTTGTCAACCACTCACGTTAGGTAAATGGGTATTTGGTATATGGTAGATGTACTCGTTTAGAACAGATGGTACACTTTGTCTTTTGTTTTTTAACGACCTTAAACTCACTCTCCTTTCCACTCACTTTCTCTTTCCTCCCTTTCTCATGGACCGCCAGCCTGGCCTGGCATGTGTTGGCATGGCATATGGCATGGTATGGCACGGCATGGCTTGTGTTGGTATGGCATATGGCATATGGCATGGTATGGCATGGCATGGCAGGAGACGGAGGATGTGGAGTATGCGATGGAGGGGGAGATGGAAGATGTATTCGACAGCGACTTTGATGACGATGTGGGTATGATGGGCATGACAAGCATGATGCTCGTACGGGGATGTGGTAACATGACTCCACTGTTTGATCTGCGCCCGGATGGTAGAGTTATGCATGCCGCATGAGACGATGGTTGAGCGTATGATGGGATGTGGTAAGGTGACTCCAATGTTGATCTGCACTTGATTTGCGCCTTGATGGTAGAGCCATGCATGCCACATGAGATGATAGTGTAAGAATGTAGATGTGGATGATAATGTTGCCGATCCTACTTGCTCTCATGCAGTTATCGCGTCATAGCAAGCCACACTGTGACCTTTGTCAGACCAGGCTCCGTTCGTCTCCAAACCACATTTCGTTTTCAAAAGGAAACATGGTTTTGAAAACGAACGGAGCCTGGTCATTCATGTGCCCTTTGTCCGTCCAGGCTCCGTTCGTTTTCAAAAGAGAAGCTACATCTCGCGAGCACCTGTGTGTCGCACCTCCTTTTCACACACACCCCTTTTTTGTCACCCCTCTTTTGTCACCCCTCTTTTGTCGCCCCTCTTTTGTCGCCCCTCTTTCTACACGGTGCGCTTGCCTGGCAGGAGGCGGACAATGAGGAGGCGGAAGCCAGTGCAGAAGTGAAAGAAAGGCCCGACTTTGAGGTGCCTCAAAAATAGACACCTCTTTTATCACACCTCTTTCTCTCACACCGTGCGTTTGCATGGCAGGAGCCAGACAATGAGGAGGGGGAAGCCAGTGCAGAAGTGAAAGAAAGGTCCGACTTTCCCCTTATCCTCTCTCCTACCTCATCCTCTCCTCCGTCTCTTTCCATGCCCCTTTCAATCTCTCTGCCTCGTTGACAATCATGTTTGCACCTCTCGTCTCACCTGCCGTCAACATGCCTTGCCTGCAGTTCCTGGGTCTTTATCCAACGCCTTATGTCTACCACTCACATGTCTCCCTGCATGCATGTCTGCAGGCCTGCCAGGCAATGTTTTCCGCCTCCAGATGCCAAGATGGAGGTTACGGGGCGTGTTTCGTGGTGCCTCTAAGCCACACTCTTAATGAATTGAGCCGCCCGTGCCTCCCCTACCTGCAGGCCTGCCAAGCGCCGTCTTCTGCCTCCAGGGGCCAAGAAGAAGGCCAAGAAGCCAGCAAAGGCGGCAAAGAAGGGAGCAGGAGGGAAGAAGGCTGGCGTGGAGAAGGAGACAGCTGGAGTGGAGGAGGAGAGGGGGGGTTCTGAGAGAGGGGAGAGCGCAAAGAGTAAAGCTGGGAAGAAGAGTGGGCCTAGCAAGAATAAGCAGAGTCGCGAGCTGGCGATGCTTAGGCTGGGTCGATTGAAAAAGGAGGGAGAGGGGGGAGAGAAGGGAGAGGACGGACAAGGGGAAGAGCTGACTGGTATTGAAGAAATTGCCGGCGATGCGGCTGTGGATTTGACAGAGGAGAACTGGGAAGCGGGAGGGGGGAGAGGGGGAGGGGGAGTGGAGAGGAGGAAGTCGACACGGACAGCGGTGGTCGTGAGGGACATGGAGCGGCAGGCCATGCGGGCTGCTAGGGAGGGCGCGCCTAAGGTGGTGAGGAGAAAGAAGGAGGGCGAGAGGCGGTGGACGCAGGAAGAGATGCTGCTAGAGGCAGCACAGACAGGTCCGTTAAGGATTGGGGTTTGGGGCTTCCTATGTGTGCTCAGGGTATAGGGGCACTGACGGCTGCTAGGGAGGGCGCGCCTAAGGTTGTGAGGAGAAAGAAGGAGGGCGAGAGGCGGTGGACGCAGGAAGAGATGCTGCTAGAGGCCGCCCAGACAGGTGCGCAGGCTAGGGGTGTTGTGTGACATGGGGTTTTGGATTTAGATGGGTGAAGAAGAGGCGGTGGGCACAGGAGGAGATGCTTCTAGAGGCAGCCCAGACAGGTGCGTGGAGGTTTGGGATTTTGTGTGACATGGGGTTTTAGCTGTAGATGGCGAGGAGGAAGGAGGAGAGAGAGAGGCGGTGGACACAGGAGGAGATGCCGCCAGAGGAATCCCAGACAGGTGAGCGCGGGCTAGGGTATAAGGCTTTGAGGAAGGCACTCCACTCCTCCACCCCTTCACTCAACCCCCTTAACACACACCCCGCCTGCCCCTGACTAGATGGGATATTCTGAACCGAGAGGCACTGGAGGTGATGCTGGCACGAGGGGAGGAGGTTATGACGTGGAAGGCACTCCGCTCCTCGACCCTCTCCACTCGACCCCCTTCACGCACACTCCCCCCCTCCCCGCCCCTGACTTGATCAGAGATTCTCAACCGAGAGGCCCTGGAGGTGATGCTCGCCAGGGAGGAGGAGGTGAAGCGGAAAGCGGTTGTTGAGAAGGCGATATTTGGCGGGCCGCAGATCCGATTCCATTCAAAGGATGGTGAGCTGAGATCAAAACACAGGATGACGACCTAGTAGCATCGCATAATATGCTTTGAATAATTATGCTTTGAAGCCTAGACTTCTGGTTATTGCAGATGTTGTTAGATTTTATATTGCAAATCTGTACAGCTTTTGGAGAGAAAGGCGCTGTTTGGCAGCCTGCACATCTCTTTCGCTCGACGCACTGACTGCAGGTTTTTCTTTCCCCCTTTTCGCTTGCCCCCCCTGAGCACACTCGAATTCACCCTTCCCTACCCACTCCCCTGTCAAACCCCCCCGCCCCACCCCCCCACTTCTTCCCCCTCCTCCTCCCGGCCCTCCTAAAATCTATTCCCAGGGAAAAACACGCTCGAATTCACTAAGGTGACGGCCATGCCTCCTGAGATTAACGCAAAAGCGCCCCCCTGTACGTCTCCAGAAGGGCCCCTTTTCAATGGTCACTGTTCCATTGGTGTGGCCCTCCTTGCGTGTTAGAGGTGCATCCCTGTATGTTCGCATTTGTCCTGAATCAACCGTACCATATGATTCCTTTGCCGTATGAGTGATAAAGAGCATTTGCTAGGTTTGGTTCTTGAACCTTTTGTTTTTTAGAATTCTGTCAAGCCTAGCACAGTCTTTGTGCGGCTGTTCTGAGAAGCTTGACGCCACCCAACTTTCTTCTCATCCCGCTGCCCTATCTTCCTGCCCCCTTCTCCTTTCTCCTTGCTCTTCCCACAGACCCTGCCAAACCCACCTGTGCTATCACAGGTCTACCAGCAAAGTAGGTTTCCGTTGCCCCTGGGCCGTCTCCCTCCGCTGCTATTTTGTAGAATATTTCTTCCACCAAAAACGTCCAAAGCCCTGCCAAACCCGCATGTGCTATCACAGGCCTACCGGCAAAGTGAGTTCCCATAGCTCTACTGTGGTCTGCTTCCCTCGACTGCTAGCGGCTCGTCTGTTTCCATGGCTATTTTCTAGAATACTGGTACCAGCAAAACCGTCCTCCTTAACGTCCAAATCCATCCTCCTGAAGTCCTCACACTGTTCACACTGTTATCACTTGGCTCTTCAGGTACAGAGACCCACTGACAGGCCAGCCATACGCGACTGTGGAGGCCTTCAAAGTCCTCCGGCAAATGTCAGTGGCACCTTCCATTATACTTCTTTCTCCCCTCGCTGACTGCGTTGTCCTGCTACGTTGCCAGGTAGAATATGTGTGATTTTTGAGGCGCCTAGTTTTGAGGCGCCTCAAAACCAGAATGTGTGTGATTTTTGAGGCGCCTAAAAAATTGACTGCGTTGTCCTGCTACGTTGCCAGGCAGAATGTGTGTGCCAGCATGTGCATTCTGCTGCTCTGAATTCCCTGTGCTTCTCAGATCCTTGTGCTTCTTATACCTAGTAATGTGCTTCTTATACACATCAAATCGTGCTTCTCATACACCTAAAACTTCGGCCCATATATCAGCGTCCTGTCACTCACCTAGAAGTGTGGTGAAGCCATGCACAGACCCTCTTCTTCCAACCTTGGTCTGCTTCCTTTATCACACTGTCAACTTGGCTAGTGCATTGGCCGTCCCTGCCAGGGACACTATCCCCCGGGGACACTACCCCCCAGGGACACTACCCCCCGGGACTGTAACCCCCAGGACTGTAACCCCCGGGACACTACCCCCTGGGACACTACCCCCCGGAACACTACCCCCCGGAACACTACCCCCCAGAACACTACCCCCCCGGGACACTACCCCCCGGGACACTACCCCCCGGGGACACACTATCCCCGGGGGACACTACCTCTTCGGGACACTACCCCCCAGGACGCTACCCCCCTTGGGATACTACCCCCAGTGACACTACCCCCCAGGGACACTACCCCCCGGGACGCTACCCCCCTTGGGATACTACCCCCGGTGACACTACCCCCCAGGGACACTACCCCCTGGGACACTACCTCTTCGGGACACTACCCCCCGGGACGCTACCCCCCTGGGGACACTACCTCTTCGGGACACTACCCCCCTGACGCTACCCCCCAGGGATACTACTCCCCTTTGGACACTACCCCCCTTGGGACACTACCCCCCGGGAAACTACCCCCCAGGACACTACCCCCAGGGACACTACCCCCCAGGACACTACCCCCCGGGGACACTACCTCCCCGGGACACTACCCCCCTTGGGATACTACCCCCTGGGACACTGCCCCCCCCCAAAACTAGCCCCCTTGGGACACAACCCCCCGGGAAACTACCCCCCGGGAAACTACCCCCCAGGACACTATCCCCTGGGACACAACCCCCTTGGGACCCCACCCTCCTAATGCTCTTTTCTCCTTGTCCATTCCTTATTATTGGGGTCCAGATGGCAAGAAGACCAAGCAACGAAGAGGAAGCTGAAGAAAGCAGCAAAGGCAGAGGCCAGATTGAAATCAAAGGCAGGAGGAATGGATGGGAAGGGACATCAAGACACTGATGATAGACCAATGCCAGGGACCCAGCAGTTTTCCACTAGCAAGGGACGAATTGTGTTGGGTAACGCTCGTGCGCTGCCTGCTTCTAGCACGCATGTTGCTCGCATTCCAGGGAGCAAACAGAGGACAAGCTTGTAGCCAGGATTGCAGGATTATGGAGCTGATGTGACCCGATCGCATCAGCTTGTAGCCAGGATTTTGTACATAATCTGGCATGGAGCTGATGTGACGGCGTTACGAATTGCAGCATGATTATATCAGCTCTGTCATATCAGTTCTGTTATATCGGCTCTGTTACCGTATATCAGCTCTGTTTTGAACGGTTTCAGAGTCTTGGGATTGGGAGAACTGTCGTGAAACTTATCCAGGGCTTACAAGGAGAACGGTTCAGTATAGATGTTCTTTTGTGTCGGAACACACAAAAACAGACGCACACATATGGTACAAAACACATGCGCACCTATGCACCCACAATAATTCACACCCCTAGAATAATCAAACACACGCATATGAGAAGCAGCACAGCAGAGGCTAGTTGGTTGAGGAAGAGAAGAAGCAGCATCCCCATAGAGCAGCAGCAGCATCAGCGGCAGCAGCAGCAGCAGCAGCAGCAGCACAGGCTCTCATTCCTTCTCCTGCAGCAGCAGCTCCAGGCTTACTTCACTGGACCGCTCAAGGCGGGAGGGAGGATGAGGAGGGCAGGGAGGAACGAGAGGCGGGGAAACAGGAGGAGCACCGGTGTCATGGCACTCCTCTACGCTTCCCTGCCCTGGCCGTGATAAGCCATGGCCATTTTCCGTCACTGACTCATGCTGCTCCGGCTGCAATAAGTAATGGTCACGACTTGATAAGTCGTGGTCTCGCCGCGATAAGTTGGTGTTCAGATCGAAGAGGTCCAGCAGGGCGTGATGGGCGGCGGATGCCGACTGCTTATTGCAGAGAGATTGGCCCTGGAGCAGGGCGTTTGGGTGACTGTACAGGGGGAGGGCGGACTGGTGGAGGGAGGACTGGGGAAGAGATGACTGTGAACGGGCACAGGCTAGTTCTGGGGGTAGAGAATGGCCACCATGCATGTGGGAAGTGAGGTCGGAGTTGTGATGCGGAATCAGAGGGGTGGCACACAGAGGGGTGATAGCCCCATAGATGTGCCTCGCTTCGGCTGAACTTAACGAATCGATCCGCTGCTGCCCTTTGCCATAGCCTGACGAGCCAGCATACCCCCCCCCTGTAGCCCATCCCCCCCCAGCAGACTTCCCCTTGTCACACACCCCCGTGTCACACCCGGTCTTGCCCTGGCCATTCCCACTTGTCCCATCAGTCTCCTTCCCATCAGCCTCCTTCTCACGACGTATGGGCATGGCGTTGTTGGTTCGTCCATCAGGATTCAATTCGCAGTGCGGCTCCTCTAAACCTGCCTGCACTATTGCAGTAGTTGGGGATCCTAGCGGGAATGCTTGTAACGGGGATGCTACTAACGGGGATGACCCTAGAGGGGAAGCTGCTGATACGCCGTTGTGGCTGTCATGCCCCACCCACCAGTCCTGGCCCTCCCCATGCACCACCGCAACAGTCGCAGCTGGTACAGATGCAGATGCTACAGCAAGGGATGGTTCAGCGGAAGCAGGATCAGAAGCAGCAGCAGGAGCGGGAGCAGAGGCAGGAGCGGGGATAGAGGCAGGAGCGGGGGCAGAGGCAGGAGCGGGGGCAGAGGCAGGAGCGGGGGCAGAGGCAGGAGCGGGGGCAGCAGCAGGAGCGGGAGCAGAGGCAGGAGCGGGGGCAGAGACAGGAGTTGAGGAAGGAGCGGGAGCAGGAGCAGAAACGGCAGCAGCAAGAGTCGGTGCAGTTCTCTCAGCTGTTGGTGGTGCGGCCGGTGCAGATGCTGACGTCACGAGCACCTGAGAGGGACGCGAAAGGTCCGCCCGACCAACACTTGCCAGCCCCTCTCCACCAACAGCTAACATCCCACCGCCTGACATCCCACCGCATGTTGCCATCCCACCAGCACCACCAGCAGGTGCTATCAACCCGCAACCAGTGAAACCTGAAAGGTCAACTGCTGCCATCCCTCCCAACCCCCCGCCTCCCATTCCTCCTGCCGTCCCCCCTCCTCCCATTCCTCCTACCATCTCCCCTCCTCCTCCCAATCCTCCTGCCAGCGCTGCCCCCTGAAGCTGCAGGTGCTGGGAAAAAGAGCTGTGCGAGCTGAGGCCTGTGCTAGAACCTGTGAGCATCCGCTGCTGCTGCTGTTGGAGATGCTGCTGCTGCATGCTCAGCTGTCGCTGCATGCTCAGGTGACGTGGCAGGTATGGATTGGCTGGTTCCGGAGGCAGAGCGAGGCCAGTCATCCACGAGGAGCAATTGGCAGTGGAAGCAGCATAACCACCATTGGCCCCATGGCTGCTGCTGTTGCCATAAGCAACATTGCGATTGCTAGTGTTGCCAGAGCCAATATTTCCAGGCGTGATATTACCATTGCTGTTATGCGCGAGACTGGAGCCAGCCACACCGCTACCGCCAGACAGCAGCACATTACCCGACAGGAGAGATCGGTGGGACGGCAAAGGGACAGGCATGGGCAGAGGAGCGCTACCAGACAGGAGGGCACTGCTCCTGCTGTTGAAATCACCTGACCAGTCACCTGACCAGGCGAGGTGTTGAAAGTGAGGAACCTGGGGGATCTGCCTGAGAAAGGACTCGTCCAGAGAGGCGCATGAACCCAGGGGAGGGAGGTGGGGGGCGGACGGGGGGAGAGTGGCTCCTGTAAGAATCGCTGGAGAATCTTGGGCGGCCTGTCTTGGCTTCTTCCGTCCCTCACCCCACCCGTCCTGCTGCTGCTGCGGCAGCATCAGCTCTCCACCCTGCCACCCATAATTCGTCTGCCCGTTCTGCCCGTTGTTCTGCCCGTTGGTCTGCCCGCTCTGCTGGTTGTTCTGCCCATTGTTCTGCAAGTTTTCCTGGTTGCTCAGCAGCTTCTGCTGGGATTGCTCCTGCAGCGCTGGTGGTGGAAGCTGCTGCTGCTGCTGCTGTTGCTCCTGCTGTTGCTGCTCCTGCTGCTGCTGCTGCTGTTGCTGCTCCTGCTGCTGCTGCTGCTGCTGCTGTTGCTGTTGCTGCTGCTGCTGCTCCTGCTGCTCAAACTGAATACTCCCACGTCTCTGTAGCTTCCCATGCTGCTGCTGCTGCTGCCGCTGCTGCTGCTGTAGTATCTGTTGCTCCTGCTGCTGCATCCACTGTTGCTGTTGCTGCTGCATCTGAAGCTGCTGGCGCTGCAGCAACAGCAGCTGCTGCTGTTGCCGTTCCTGCTGCTGCTCCTGATGCTGCTGCTGCCACTGCTGCTCGTCCTGCTGCTGCAGCAGCAGCATGCCAGAGCGAATGCTGGGTTCAGACTGCACTCTCCTGTGCTCCAATGGGCCACTTTTCTGATCCAAGCCGCTGGCTGCGTGCTGGAGAACGCTGGAGCGGGCTTGGAAAGCGTGGGCTGCCTTGTGCTGCTGCAAGCGCTGCGCCATGAGGTTGAATTCCCGGATGTCGTCTGCGTACTGTGAGAGTGGGGGTGGAAGGCAGCAACAAGACACAGGGAACAGATTGGCCTTCCAGCAACGCAGGCAGCACTGCGGGCTTGAAACGCTTGCACTGCCTTGTGCTGTTGCAGGCACTGCGCCATCAGGTTGAATTCCTGGATGTCGTCCGCATACAGTGGGAGCGGGGTGGGAGAGAAGCAACAAATAGCAGAATGGGCTTCCAGCAAGGCAGGCATCGCTGCGGGCTTGAAGTCACTTGTGCTTTGGCAGGCGCTGTGGCATGAGGTGGAGCTCATGGATGTTATTCGCGATCTGGAAGTGTGGGGAAGAAACAAGTGCAGAATGGGCTTCCCATTCTGTTCAGCGCGAACGGAATGGGCTTCCGGGCAGTGTAGCAGTGCCGCAGTGTGGCAGTGCCGCAGTGTAGCAGTGCCGCAGTGTAGCAGTGCCGCAGTGCGGCTCACGAGCATGTGCTGCTGTTCGCACATGTTTGTGAGAACAGAAGGGGCTTCCGGGCAGTGCGGCTCATGAGCATGTGCTGCTGTTCGCGCTGCGCCATGAGGTGGAGCTCATGGAGGTCATCCGCTCTGCATACTGCGCGAGAGGGGTGGAAAGAAGTTAAAGAAGGCAGACAACGACTTTTGAGGCGCCTCAAAAGTCCTCTGCATACTGCGCGAGAGGGGTGGAAAGAAGTTACAGAAGGCAGACAACGACTTTTGAGGCGCCTCAAAAGTCCTCTGCATACTGCGCGAGAGGGGTGGAAAGAAGTTACAGAAGGCAGACAACGACTTTTGAGGCGCCTCAAAAGTCCTCTGCATACTGCGCGAGAGGGGTGGAAAGAAGTTACAGAAGGCAGACAACGACTTTTGAGGCGCCTCAAAAGTCCTCTGCATACTGCGCGAGAGGGGTGGAAAGAAGTTACAGAAGGCAGACAACGACTTTTGAGGCGCCTCAAAAGTCCTCTGCATACTGCGCGAGAGGGCTGGAAAGAAGTTACAGAAGGCAGACAACGACTTTTGAGGCGCCTCAAAAGTCCTCTGCATACTGCGCGAGAGGGCTGGAAAGAAGTTACAGAAGGCAGACAACGACTTTTGAGGCGCCTCAAAAGTCCTCTGTATACTGCGCGAGAGGGGTGGAAAGAAGTCACAGAAGGCAGACAACGAAATGGGCCTCCAACAAGGCAGCCCAAGAACGTGTGCCGCAGGCGCCGTGCCAGAAAAGGAGATGGTGACATTCACAAAAGGTGTATTTTGAGTCAACTCAAAATACACCAGGCGCCGTGCCAGCAAATACCTTTGTTACCATATGTTGAAAAAGGCCATGATTTTGCAGGGTGTTCTTGAAACTTCTTGAAAACAGCCGGCGTGCAGAATGTCATAGATTTGTTATCATTTGTTGAAAAAGGCCATGCGCAACACACGCTTACCATGGCCAGATCGAAGGTAGTCCCTGTGCCTGTTTTTGAGGCGCCTAATGAAACGGGCCCCTATGCCTGCTTTTTGAGGCGCCAAGTATGCCATGCACAGCACACGCTTACCATGGCCAGATCGAAGTTGGTTACTGCCTGCTGACCCCTCTGCCTGTAAATCATCCATCACAGGGATAGGGAGGCGGGGAAGAGGGCAGGAGGTGAGGAGGAGGGTGGCAGGGGGCTTGGCAAATTACGCGATGCCATATACCAGTATACGAGGTGTTACGGATGGAACAGTGCATAGGATACATCAGTGGCGCAGGTCAGTTATGGGGGAAACGGGTCAAGGTGAAGAAAACGTTTACAAACGGATAGCTGTCCTGTTGGAACTGAGTGGTGCTCACCTCACAGCAGCCCTGTCGTACGCCATGGCAGCCTGCTCCTGAGTGTCGAACAGCCCCAGGTAATCATACCGCTTGCCCTCCACATGCCCTATCCTAGCCTCCCACCGACCCTGAGAGTGCCCGACAGAGGACGTATGGGAGGGGGGGAGATAGGGGGGAGCAGGGTCTGACAACGCAGCTGCACGGACAAAGCGGGCGCAGCAGACTGACAAAGCCAGTAACCCAATCAACACTACGGTTTGAACAACAACGATCTTACCACGTTCAACGACTCCATTGTGTCCCCACTCCCTCCCCTACCTTCTGGTGCTTGGTGACCCCTCGGTACTTGGAGGTCCCCCGAGCAAAGCCCTTGCTGTGGCGCCGCAGCAGGAGAATGAGCTCCTCCTTGGGAACGGCCTCTGGTGTGTGATGTGAACAGTATGAGGAAGACGAAGAGGAGGACGAACAGGGAGGCACAAGGATAAGAAAGTGACTCTAAGGCTACCTGTGGGCCCGCAGCAGGAGAAGGAGCTCCTCCTTTGGGACAACCTCCGGTGGGCACGGCATGAGGAAGAGGGGGATGGGCAGGAGGCACAAGGATAAGAAAGGGTTTTGTGAAGTGCCTGTGGCGCCGCAGCAGGAGGTTGAGCTCCTCCTTGGGAACAGCCTCTGGTCGGCACGGCATGACGAAGAGGGGGACAAATAGGAGGCACAAGCTTTTTTGTTTTTGCTCTTGTTCTTGTTCTTTTTTTTCCGTCAACTGCTTGTGGCGCCACAGCAGGAGGATGAGCTCCTCCTTGGGGAAGAGAGAGGGTCCAGATGGCATGGCATGGCATGCCTTGACGATCAGGAGAGGCATCTAAACAACAGGGGGACAGACTCATTCCAGACTCGCCTATTTCCTTGGTGTACTTGGTGTACTCCTCAGGTGGGAGGTTGGTCTGCGCGTCCTCTCCCCTGCAGAAAAGAAACGAAGAATAGTCGGTGTCAGCATTGCAGCACGAGTCAGCACTGCGGCTTGAGTCAGCGCGTGGCAGCACAGTGCAGGTAAGTGAAAGCACAGTGCAGGTAAGTGAGCAAGCAATAGAAAGGGAAAACATGCCTCATCGCACGGCGGAGTAGGCGGTCATGGCTCCTGACTGAGGTGCCACGCACAAGTCAGGTGACAGAGATGCAGACAAGTGGAATCCCCTACAGTGAACGTGCCTGACCTCATCTTGAGTGCAGCTATGTCGTACATCAGAGCTGCCTGTTTCTCCGAATCAAATCCCCCCAGATACACCTGCCGCCCCTCCTCCCTGGACAAGTCAGGGCATGGCCACACGACACACATGGAACAGACAAGATAAAGACAAGCACTCTTGAGTCTTTCAACAGCCCTTATACCCGGCACTTCCATACCTCATACGACCATAGGCTCACATGGTTACATGGAAAGCACTACATGTGAAAAGCTCGCCCCTCACCATATGTGGGCCTCCCACAGCCATGTGCGGCAGAGGTGCGTCACCCCTCGGAACTCGGACGTGCTGTTGGCTCTGCCCCGCTGCCCTACCTGTGCCTGTATGCCGTACATCTGTCTCATCTCGTCTCAAACTACCCGTGCGAACAAGACCCAACTCACCATATGTGGGCCTCCCACCGCCCTGTGCGGCAGTGGTGCGTCACGCCTCGGAACTTGGACGTGCTGTTGGCTGGCCGCTTCCTCTGCACCACCCGCCGCGCCTTGCCCTTGCCGGGGTCTGCATAACAGAGAAAAGCAACGCGGGACAGGAGGCATTGGAGAGATCAGCAGGGGTGCATCACCCCTCCGAACTAGCGTGCTGTTGGCCAGCCGCTTCCCCTGCACCACCCGCCGCGCCTTGCCCTTGCCGGGGTCTGCACAGAACAGAACAAGGGGAGGTAGGACGAATGAGGAAGGACCACTAGGTGCACACGAAGCGTCTAAAGCACCTAGTGGTGCTGGCAGGTGCAGCTGCTCGTGCTTCGGAGATTGCTTCGGAAATGTCAGACAGGATCGGATCGGGCGCTTACCACGCTTGAGAGCCCCGGAATCGCTTGGAGTGATTGCACCCTCACTGCTTGACACTCTGAGAGTCGTTGGGGGAGAGCGGGGGGTAGGGAAGGGTGGGGATACATATTTTTGAGGCGCCTCAAAAAACACTCTGAGAGTCGTTTGGGGAGAGCGGGGGGTAGGGAAGGGTGGGGATACATCCGTAATGCGCCAAACATAACACGAGCAACGCGGGACAGATCTCAAGTCACTTCGCACAGAGCTCACTGTGAGTCAAGCGCCCTCTTACACCTGGCTGTCCTGTCTTGCAATTGTTGAAGACTCCCAGGCTCTCAGTCACGCACGCGCTCGCTAAAGGCTTCTCACAGCAACTCCGCTACATCACAAAGAATATCTACTCTTCCACAATAGCCACCCCCACTTACAACTGGCTGTCCTGTCTGGCAGTTGAGGACGACTCCCATCCCATCCACGCACGAGCTCGCTTGGGGTGTCTCAGGGGCATTCCCTTATGCAATCATAGCAACACGAATTCTATTATATGGGAGAAGAACCACTCACATCTGGCTGTCCTGTCTGGCGATTGAAGAAGACTCCCCATCCACGCACGAGCTCGCCTGGGGCTTCTCAATCTCCGCCTCGATCCGACCGATCAGATCGTCCCACTCCAGCTCCTGGGGCTTCTCAGCCGTTGGATGCGCCAGCAGCAAGCCGTGGCTTGCAGAAGCCATGACCCCAGCTTGCCCCTCGTGACCTGCGACAGTGGAAGTCAGCGAGAATGAGAGGAGAGGCTTGAGAATGAGAGGTAGAGACTTGAGAATGAGGGGGAGAGGCTTGAGAATGAGAGGAGAGGCTTGAGAATGCGCCTTGTTCTCACTCTTCGGAATGAACCAGTTTTGGTTTATCATCCGTAACAGCCTGGTTTGAGCCAACACCCTCAGGGGTCCCCATCCCAACTTCCAGGGAACTCAAGAAATCGTTCTTCATGGCCACTTGCCCCACGCACTCACCCTGTTCCGTGTAGCCGTTGAAGGGCTCGGGCCGCACGGACTGCAGCATGTGCAGTGGCGGCTGAGCCAGCACCCTCAGCGCGTCCCCATCCCCGCCAGCTCTTGCAAATTCACGCCATCTTTCCCCCTGGACACTTACTTGCCCCCCCCACGCACTCACCCTGTTCACTGTAGCCGTTGAAGGGCTCGGGCCGCACGGACTGCAGCATGTGCAGCGGCGGCTGAGCCAGCACCCTCAGCGCGTCCCCATCCCCGCCAGCTCTACCCAACTCCCCTCCTCCTCCCCCACCTCCCAGGCCTGTTCTCGTTGAATCTTCTTCCCCTCCTCCATCTGATCCTCCCACTGTGTCTGCTCCGCCCAGGCCATACACACCACCACCGTTCTCTACCCCTCCTGCCCCTCCTCCTCCCTCCGCTCCTGCTCCTCCTTCCCTCTGCTGCTCCTCCGCAGGCTCGTCACAGCTGCAGCTGCTCTCTCTCCCATGCATGTTTGAATTCTCCATCTCTCTGCCCACCACCGGCAACCCTTGCCACGCCTCCAAGCCAGACTGAGTCGGCTCAGGAAACCCAGTCACCGGCCCCACAGCAGGCTGAGTCAGCAGGGGGGTAGCATTCATGGGGAAACCATTCAGAGAGGCACCGGCAGAGGCACCAGCAGAGGCACCAGCAGAGGCACCAGCAGAGGCACCACCAGTAGCATCACCATCATCACCACCACCAGCAGCGACACTGTGCCTCCCGACCTCCTCTGCCTCCATGAGAGGCCGGCACACAGATACACTGCTTCCTGCCACCAAATACACTCCTCCCAGCCGCCAGATACGCTCGCTCCGAGGAGACGAGGCGTTACACCACAATTCACTTCACGCCCAGTCGTGCCTGGAGAACGGAGAGTCCCAGGAGAGGCAACGAGGTGGGCGTGTGGAAGGGCCGAGGGACGACGAGCTAAGGCGGGGAGGGAGACTTGAGTGCTGACGGGGGGACTACCACCAGAGGGAACCCAGGGAAGCAAGTTCCGAGGAGCAGATGTTAGTTCCGAGGCCGAGACAAGCACCTAAAAGGCTGTAGGCTGTTGATCAGTGCCGAGGCAGGTGGAGCATCACGTGCAGCACAGACGCGCCTCACGGCTTCTTGACGATTGCCCGAGATGGACGGCTGCTGGCTTGACGGCTCTCGTGAAATGGGGGTTACCGGAGCCCCGAGACTGAATCCGTCAAATGACTGAACCTCGGACAGTCGACCGTCGACAATGGACGAACGGCAAGAGGCAGTTGTCGATTGAGCTAGTCCAACCACCTGAACGAAGAGGCAAGAGGGAACTGACGGCCAGTCTTGTTGCCTTGGGTTGAGGAGCGATCAATCACCGTGCTCCCATTGATAGATCGAACTCGCCTGCAGCGCGTCGGCGGTGTGTCCGTGCCGCCGATTCGTGGTTCCGATGAAGAGCAACCAGCGATCAGCGCAAGCGCCGATGGTCGACACGGCCCGACGAGCCCGAGGAACCTTCGCACGTGCTGCCGAAAAAACAGCGATGCAAGGGTGAAGCACGCATGCTTCTCGTTCCCGTACTCCCGGCCACAGAATCCGGAGCCCAGGTGCGTGAAGCGAGCGAATGCGAGCGGAGGGAATGCAACGTGGCTGCATGCAGGCGATCGCACGTGAATCTCTTTCCTTGTTGGTCTCAGAAGGTAACTCGGAAGGAAGCTCGAAGTCGGGAATCTCGCAGTCGGGATCGGAATCTCCGCCCATTGCCACTACTACCCGCACGAGGAACCTTCGTCCAATCAGGAAACCTCGACCAATTACAGTCCGTACGGCCAGGGACGGCTTCCTGACGACCGGCTAATTGACCGGCTGACGTCAAGTCTGACCGAAGGCTGACAGTGCCACCCGGATCTGACGGTGTAGTCGGTGTGGCCTCGACTGCTGGTAACGAATGGTTAGCGGTACAGGTGGATTGTTGAGGCGCCTCGATAACTGGCCTTGGCTGGCTGGGAGTCCGAATGGCCGACTCTAGCTGTAACTCGCATCGAGCTCGCGGCATGCACGCTCCTAATCGAAAGCTGCGGGCGTCGCGGGCTCGAGAGCGAGGTGCGAGCCTTGGAGGTGTCGACAGGAGGACGCTGGAGCGAGGGCTACAGCTGGGGAAAGGGACAACTCGGGAAGCCGAATTAGCTGGCGGCATTGCGTTGGCTGGCTCCCACGCTACTAATCGAGAGCTACGGGTTTCGATTCAATTCCGAAAGATAGGAAATATCTGCTCAGTTGCCGACTCGATTGAAGCGACGCGTTTATGGATCAAACGAGCTGAGAATCCGATACTGTAATGAAAGACTGAACAGTCGTTCTCCGAACTAGAAAGCCCGATATGGCCTGCATAAGACGGTAAATGACCTGTAATAGGCACTGCAATGCCATGCAATGCCGATTCAGTTGGCTCAATCAGCATCCTTTGCAGCAAAGCGGAAAACAATACAGTAGAAAGGAGGAATGGGGTGGTCGTTCTAAAAGCAGTCTCCCTAATCTCAACCCATCTCTCCTCGTACACCTGTCCGTCTGTCAGCGACCCTTATCCTTTCGCACGATCCCGATCTTGATCCGAATCCCGAGGTTCCCCTTATCTGCGGGAGGCTAGTCTAGCGGGCAAGAGAGCGGACCAGGGCTCGCTGCAACTAGGACGGACTAATCGAGGATTGATCCAGGGATCGAGCGAGGCGGCGCGGTACGGGGCTAGTAGTGCTTGGCCGTTTGAAAGAGCTGTTGGCTTGGAAGATCCCAAGGGTGGGAAAAGAGAATTGTTCTCTTTTGAAGGCGCCTCGCTTTATGAGAGCATAAGCTACCAAGACACTGTATACCGCTAGAGCCAACTACTTTTCAAACTCACGTACAGCATGGTTGATGTATTAGCACTTCGGAAGATGCAGTAGTTCGCACACATTCTGCGAGAGTAAGGGGCATTGTTCTTCGCCCTTCTATTGCTTCTTTACCTATCTATATCTGCTGAACGTGTACTGTAGACTGGTACCGCAACAAACCACCTACAACAAAGCTCATAGAAAACCTTATAAATACACTTCTAACTCGCAACCCTAAACCCTGCTGCCATACATCTCCTTGAGCTCATCTGGTGGTTCGTACACAACACCATTTAAGGTGTTGTTCATATCAAGACTGTACACATGTCTGACCATGTCAAATGTCTCCTGAAAGGATGACAAAAGGGGGGGTAAGGATGAGCATTGGCATCAACGTGCTGACGGGAGATCTCAAGACATTTAATCCAAATGAAACGACCTCGCAACCAACAGCGCACCTTCTTGGCAAACATCTCTCTCATGCGCCCCTTGGACTTAGTCTTCTGGAGCTTCTTTCCAAAGCTGAACGCATCGCCCGGCTCCCGGCCAAACCGTTTCATCAGAGTCATAACATCCTCATCCATGCTCTCGAATCGCCCCACGAAGTCATACTTTATCCGGTCCAGTGCACACAGCAATGTCTGTGGCACAATGTGCACATCTAGGTGGTATCGGCCCTCCATCTCCCACGCATCTCCTAGCAGCCCTACGAACTCCTCGAATGAAATCACAGCCCCTGTCTGCAGGCGAAACGTCTCCCAAACGCTCCGCAGCCGGGCAGTTCCAGGGCCTGACCGGAACCTTATGGCGTCCCACAGCGAGTAGTAAAACAGCTGCCCGAAAAAGGTCTGCTCCCAGAACCGCGTGCCGAGATCGTCTGGCCCTCCGCCGCGCACCATCTTGTCTAGATACGCCGACAGCACACGGGTATACGGGTTTCGAAGGAAGACGAACCGAGTGAAGTCGCGGCGTGTGAGGGCACGAATGGCATCGGGCTCTGTTAAAGAGTACCAGACGGCAGTCACGTTGGTGAAGTAGGCGGTGTGGGCGGAGTGGAAGGATTTGGGGAAGGGGTGGTGGTGCTGCTCCCTCAGCCAGAACTTCCAGCTCGTGCAGCCGGCCTTCTGCACGTAGCAGTACACCATGCCCACCCCCTCATCTACAATGAGTTGTCTCCCAATGCGGTGCTCTGTCACAGGCACTATCCTCGTTGCGTCACACAGCCCCCTCTCCTCCTCAAACACACTCCCTCCACCCCCCCCACCCCCCTCACTCCCCTCACTCCCCCCTCTCCCCTCCACCCCTCTCCCTATCCCTGGTGGAGCCACTCCCCGGGGGAAGCTGTCTGGCGCCACCAGCACATCGCGCATGCGGGGGGTGCTGCCCCTGGCGGCGGCCTGGGCGCGGACGAAATCCGCCTGGGGGGAGTGCTGCAGGTGAATGAGCCCCTGGGCCGACGCGAGGGTGAACAGCTCCGCTGCCTCCAGTTGCGCGCACTCCACCCATGCCGCTGCTTCGGGTGATGCTGCTGCTGGCAGTGCTGCTTCGGATGCTGGTCGTTCTGGGTATGTTTGACCCAGCCTACGCCTGCTCGTGCTACTGCTGCTGCTGCTGCTAGTTCCTCCCCCACCCCCTGTACCAGTGGTGTAGTAGTCTTTGCCATCCCCCAGACCAATCCACCACATCCACCTGGCAGTCTGCTGCCTCAGAGTGAGCCCATGGGGAATGATAGGCGGTGCAGCATACCCACCCCCCATGCGGTTACCACCTTCCATGCGGTTACTGCTTCCCTTGCGGTTACCAACCTCACATTGCTGCGCACGGCGTCGTGTGGATTCTAGCAAATGCGGCTGGCGGTTCTGGTGGAAAGTTTCAGCTACATCTACAGCCTGAGACGGCCAGAAACCCGCAACTGTCGCATCCCCTTCGGGCTGCCCGAGAAAAAACCACATGAGGCGGCGGGTCGTGCAGTTGACCGCAAATTTCGGGTCGCAGCTTGAGCAAGGGTAGGAGGAGGGGAGGGGGAGGGAGATAGGCTCCAGGTACACTGCTGTGCTCTGCCTGACACGTGTCATGTTCTCCTTGGCTATCAGCTCCTGCACCAATGTGGACGGCTGTAGCAGGCTGTAGCAGCGCTGCAGGGAGGTGTGGAGGTGGGAGTTGTCCACGTCAGCAAGGGCGGAGGCCACGGAAGGGAGGGAGGAGGAGAGAAAGAAGTTAACGTGCAGGTGGCGAGAAGGATGGGAGGAGGGAAGGGAGTGGGAGGAGGAGGAGGAGGAGGAGGAGGAGGAGGAGGAGGAGGAGGAGGAGGAGGAGGAGGAGGAGGAAGAGGACGTTTCAGACTGCTTCTCTTGCTGTTGCTGCTGCTGCTGCTCTTGGGAAGTCGGCTGGGGGATTTTCGAGTTGAGGGTCTGTTGAGAGATATGCAGGAATACGGGGCAAAGAAACACGTGGAAGGCACGTGGTGAACACACGCGCCCAACACACAACCACCCACGTGGCATATGACAGCAAGAAAGGAGAAGAAAGAGTAAGACCAGGAGGTAATGCAGCATACAAGCGCCCTCAGACGCGTTGCTACAGACACAAGTGGAGAAGTGCCTACCCCGTAGGTGTAGAGCGGCGAGTTGAGCCAGCTCGGATGGCGCTGCAGCACGAGCGTCTCATCAGACGCATCTGCTTGGAACGACGACTCCTGCTGCTGTTGCCGTTCCCCTTCTTGCTGCTGAGAGCCTTTTGGGGAGGAGAGCGCGCTGGGGGAAGGCAGAGGCCCGAGCACGTGGTTGAGCATGGCGTGCGGCATGGCTTGATCCGGCAGCCACAGCACAGCCAGCCGCAACGGCGGCTGCTGTGGCGATTGCGGTAGTTGTGGTTGTGGTTGTTCTACTGAGAGAGAACCAGAGGAGTCATTTGGGACGGCGAGTGAAAGCCTGGACGATAGGAGGTAATGCAGCGCGTACCCCGCACACACCGCCTCCAACCGCTCGTGCAGCAGACCCTAGATGAGGGGAGAAGGGGAGGGAACATGGGATCTGAGAGGAGCGAACAAGGAGCGGTGCCGCAGGGCGTATCCCGCACTCACCGCCTCCAACCGCTCGTGCAGCAGACCCTGGGAATGGGGAAAAGGAGACGAGAGACGGAAAGACGAGAGACGGAAGACAAGAGAAGGAAGACAAGAAAAGGAAGACGAGAGACGGAAGATGAGAGACGGAAGACGAGAGAAGGAAGACGAGAGACGGAAGATGAGAGACGGAAGACGAGAGAAGGAAGACGAGAGACGGAAGAAGACGAGAGACGGGCTTAGTAGTCATACGACTGCCAAGCGACAGATGTGTGCTCAGAAAAACAGGTCAGAAGTTGGGCAAAACTGGCCATGTCTTCCAGTAAACAGCATATCCACACTAGCAGCATTCCCAAGCCGTGGTAAAATCTTTGGTGGATTCTCAATAACCATTTCAGTAGCACGATGTTAACGAACCCTTTTTTTAGGCGCCTCAAAAATAGATTCATTTCATCTTCAGTAACATGATGACAAGAGACGGTCAGAATTTACCAAACTGGCCATGTCTGTCAGTAAAATGATGCAGCTCCATGTGTAATGAGTCGACTAAAAAATCGACTCATTACACACAAACTGGCCATGTCTTTCAGTAACATGATGCAGCTCCATGACCAACCTTGGCCCAGACCACGACGTCTGGATGCGGGGCAGCGTTGCTCGCGCTCCAATCCTCCTCCTCCATTCCATGGCCTATTCTCTCCGTCAACGGTCGAGATAAGAACGAGACGGTCGTACCGGCTTCCATGGCTGTCATGCGAGCTTCGCGAGTCAGAAGCACAATGACGACGAATGTAACCAGAAGTATCCAATTCGACGTTTTTCGCCATGTCCCGTACTTTGAGCAAATGTCTGGGAATATAGACCTAGTATCTGAAGAGTCTCCACGACGGAGAGTGGCCGGTGCTCTGAAGTACCGGAGGGGGTGTTTGCTCGGGCTCGGAATGAGCGTAGCGTTCTGTTTCCTCGTAGAAAGGCTATGGGGATCGAGACTCGCAGTATTCACGTTCTTCGCCATCGGGAATCGAGTCGGAATCTCGTATCAGTCTATACGACCGGTCTACGCGGAGGATATAACCATCCCAATCCCGACTACAATGTGAAGTCTTCGTTGCAATCCGGGCGCCTCGTGACCAATGCTTACAGATTAGGATTGCAAGAGCTCTAAGGAATTTACTTTAGAGGCTAAGCTGCGGTGCTGCGAAATTCTATTACCCGGAGACAGGACAGGGCAAGAGCCTGAAACGCATTCAGCTTTCCATTCCTAGTTTTCCAATCACGGACAAGAAAAGAGAATCACTGGCCCTCACGCAGAGCTTCGGTGGCGGCCTAAACTCCCACCTCCCTACCGTACCTCCACGATCCCGCCTTCCCAAGTCTCGACATAGTCGCCTGGCCGAGACATGGACCTTGGCGTCTCCTCTTCTTGTCTCAAGCTCAGGTCGAACCTGTTTTGGCAACCGAATCGGTGAGACTGGTGTAGCCCGGGTTTGGTCTGGTTAGGGGCAACCTTTCCCGAACCACCTCACCTCACCCCCACCACCGATCCGAGCCACATCTTCAGTGAAGGTATTGAGCGGAAATGTACCGTTGTTACCGTTGAGGGCGCCTGCCCAGCCTGGGATAGGAGGGGTGTGGATGGATGGGGTGGAAACGACATCCGTCAGCTTCCGTCGTAGGCTAAGGGCGGTATTTTAAGCTTTTAGAACGGTAACAAAAGTATACAGCTCGGTGGCTCCATCTGTCTCTCGACGGATCGCGTGAGCAGAGACGAACCCTGATTGGTGGAGTTGTGGTGTCAGTGGTTTGCGTCAGGTCTGCACTCTACATAATGATAGGGGTTACATACATTGCTACTTGTAAGGAATTATTATAATTCCTTTATTGTTGGCTTTCTACATCGCATACATAGATAGAAACCTCATGAAGCTACACTTCGAGCCGGAATTCTTGATCCGAACTTCACACAATTTTATATTCTTCCTGAACCATCTCCTCTCCTCCCCTCTCCTCCATTCTCTCGCTGAAGCCTGTAACGAATACCAGTGCAAGATTCCTTCATAACCCTCCGCACTTATCCTTAGCTGCTCCTTTCACCTGTGCATTAGCAGGGCTCCTTCCTCGTGCTTCCTCCAGGCTTCACATTACACCAGGTCCTTAGCCGATTAACAGATTATTAGGACCGCTATCGCCTTATACCGGTACCTCCTTTTCTGTGTAAGGCGAAGTTTTCTTAAGAAGTTCTGTTAAGAATATTTTTTAACTCCGTTCGCGAAGATGAGGCCGCTTTTGATGAAGGGTCACGAGAGGCCTCTCACCTTCCTCAAGTACAACCGCGACGGCGATCTGCTCTTCTCGTGCGCCAAGGACCACCAGCCGACCGTGTGGTACACGGACAACGGCGAGCGCGTCGGCACGTACAAGGGCCACAACGGCGCCGTATGGACGTGCGACGTCTCTCGTGAGTGTTCAGGTTCCTTAGACCTTGTGCACTTGAGTCGATTTGAAGAAGGCAAGGTTAACGGTGCGAGGGTTGGAACGAGCGCGTCGGCACGGTTAGCTGGCGAGAGGGCTGTGACGGGTCTGTATGGCACTGCGATGTGTTTCATAAGTGGTCACGAAGGCCGTCGGCCATTAGCGATCGGACTTTCATTCAAAGTATTCTGAAAACGAAACGGCCTTTAGGTGTTAGCCATTGCGATCCGGCTACTTTGTCGGAGGATGGTTTTCGAACCAGCAATCCTCCGATCGGTGCGAGAATTGCGGCCGGTGATCTCGAGTTCCGAACGTAGTGCCATTTCCGATCTTTTCCTCAGGGTTATAACGGCGCTGTGCGTGGCTGAGGACTCTGCGGTAATTCACAATTCACGCGGCGTTGCGAATTACGCCGCGAGTAACGCCCTTGAAGCTGTCTTCCTAATTCTACGCCAGTTTCGAGCGCTTATGAGATGTGCTCTTCGATAGCCTGTTCGGGTTCGCATTCAAACGCGTTGTATTCGAGTGCCTCGGCATTCGTTTAGGTTACTTCGTGGCTGGCAAGGAGTGAGTCAGGAGCGCATATGTTCGCTACTAGTCATTAGGAAAAGAGCGAATTCGTTGTTTAAGCTGACGGAGGCGGCTCAGTGGTCGTGTGGCTAAACAACCCGTGAGACAGTATGGCAGAAGCTATGAGAGGGGTTAGGCAGGGTTTAACGGGTCTTTGGCTGACCAGAATATATTGCTCCTTCGCCGTCGGTTCCTCCCGCTCCATTTTCACGTTTGGAAGAGCGTGCCTGTACCGCACCTTGAAAATGAGGTGACTTTTTAGTCGACTCAAAAGTCACCTCGTGCTTGTATCGCACCTTGCTTGTATCGCACCTTGATATTGGCGAGGGCACCATGGTCCCGCCTTTCGCTGATCGCTCCTCCCTCTTCCTCCCCTCCCATCCCCCCTGCGCTGCCCTCTTCCTCCCTCCTTGCTTATCCCCGTTACATGCGACTCCAAGATGCTTATAACGGCGTCGGCGAACCAGAGCGCGAAGCTGTGGGAGGTGGAGACGGGCGCGCCGTACTACACCTTCTCCATGGACGGCCCTGCGCGCTCCCTTTCAACCCCTCTTATCCCCGCTTATCCCCGTTATAGGCGACTTCAGGACGTCTCTAACAGCCGTGCCCTACCAAACCTTCGCCATGGACGGCCCCGCTCATCCCCATCCGCCCCTCCCACTACCCCTATCCCCGTTACAGGCGACTCCAAGATGCTTATAACGGCGTCGGCGGACCAGAGCGTGAAGCTGTGGGAGGTGGAGACGGGCGTGCCGTACTACACCTTCTCTATGGACGGACCTGCGCGCTCCGTCACGCTCGCCGAGGGCGAGCAGCTGGCGGCGATCACGGTGGACCCCTTTATGGGCAGCGTGCCGGCTGTTCACGTCAAGCGCATCAAGGAGGGCAGCCGAGAACGTGAGTGTCCATCTTTCCCCCCTTCTCCCCTGTGTTGGGTTGGGACCCCACTACTAAACCTTTTCCCTGGACGGCCCTTCGCGCTCCATCACGCTGGCAGAGGGCGAGCAGCTAACGGATATTACAGTCGATCCCTCTTCATGGGCAGCGCGCCGGCCATCCACGTCAAGAGCATAAAGGAGGGCAGCCGAGAACGTGAGTATGGTTTGTTTCTTTTTCGCCCCACGTGTTATCCTGCCCCCTCCGCATCCTCCCCCCTCCGCATCCTCCCCCCTCCGCATCCTCCCCCCTCGACTATCCCTCTACCATGGTCATCATGAGAGGGAGGAGTCAGTGCAGCACATCACCGGGCCTCAGGGTCGCATCATGCTCTTTGTGCGCCCCCCTCCCTTCCCCTTTCTCTCACCCCTTTCTCTCACCCCTTTCTCTCACCCCTTTCTCTCACCCCTTTCTCTCACCCCTTTCTCTCACCCCTTTCTCTCACCCCTTTCTCTCACCCCTTTCTCTCACCCCTTTCTCTTCCCTTTCTCCTCCTCCTCCCTTACACAACCTTTCTCTCACCCCTTCCTCCTCCCCTTCCTCTCACCCCTTCCTCCTCCCCTTTCTCTCACCCCTTCCTCCTCCCCTTTCTCTCACCCCTTCCTCCTCCCCTTTCTCTCACCCCTTTCTCTTCCCTTTCTCCTCCTCCTCCCTTACACAACCTTTCTCTCACCCCTTCCTCCTCCCCTTCCTCTCACCCCTTCCTCCTCCCCTTTCTCTCACCCCTTCCTCCTCCCCTTTCTCTCACCCCTTCCTCCTCCCCTTTCTCTCACCCCTTCCTCCTCCCCTTTCTCTCACCCCTTCCTCCTCCCCTTTCTCTCACCCCTTCCTCCTCCCCTTTCTCTTCCCCCTTTCTCTTCCTTCCCCCTCCCCGATACAACCCGTGGCTGTGCTTAAACCCATCAGAGGAGGGGGAGGCAGTGCAGCACATCACCGGGCCCCAGGGTCGCATCATGCGCTGTGTGTGGGGGGCTGCTTAACATTCCTTGTCTCGCTGTGCCCTGTGCCCTGTGCTCTGTGCTCTGTGCTCTGTGCTCTGTGCTCTGTGGCTATTCCATTCCCTCTGTCTCTATTCTGTTCCCCATCGACAGAGGAGGAGGAGTCAGTGCTGCACATCACCGGGCCCCAGGGCCGCATCATGCGCGATGTGTGTCTCTTGTCAGTAACTCCCGTCCGTGCTCCCATCCGTGCTCCCGTCCGTGCTCCCTCCATGTGTGCGCCATGTCTCACTTCCCTAACCGTGTCCCTTCACCTCCATCAGAGGAGGAGGAGTCAGTGCTGCACATCACAGGACCCCAGGGCCGCATCATGCGTTGCGTGTGGGGCCCACTCAACCAGACGCTGATTGGAGCAGGAGAGGACTGCATCATCCGCATGTGGGATGCCGAGGTGAGGCGGAGGGGTATCACGTGGCACTGGTAGGTGTTGATGGTATAGGCAGTCTGCCACTAGACGGCGTGTGGGGTGGGGCCCACCCACTCAACCGGACGCTCATAGGCGCAGGCGAGGACTGCATCATCCGCATGTGGGACGCCGAGGTGAGCTCGAGGACTGTTGGGGTAAATGGTAGGCGTGCTGCCACTAGAGTGCGTGTGGGACCCACCCACTCAACCGGACGCTCATAGGCGCGGGGGAGGACTGCATTATTCGCATGGGGCATGCCGAGGTAGGGTTGCGGGGTATGACGTGTCAATGGTAGGTGTTAGTGGGATAGGCAGTCTGTTCTGCCCCTATACTGCTTGTGGGGCCCACCCACTCAACCGGGCGCTCATAGGCGCGGGGGAGGACTGCATCATTCTCATGTGGAACGCCGAGGTAATGACCGTAGATATTTGCACGCGTGGATGAGGGGGGGGGTGGGGATGGGGGGGTGGTGGGGGTGGGGATAATGCTCAAAGCTTGCTGTCACTGTGCCGTTCGTTCGCCACAATCCGCGCCTCTTCGCCTCCATTCCCCAGTGCCCCTCTAACCCCTCCGCTTGCTCCCCCGCCACCACTACTACCCTCTTCTCCCCCCCACCTTCCACCGGCTCCTCAACACGGGCCAGTTGCTGCAAGAAAGAGAGTCTGACGTGGCAAGACCGTGACATCTTTGGGGCGCCTAAAAAATACAACCGCCCACCCCCCAACCACCACCCCCTCCTCCACGGGCTAGTTGCTGCAATATTTAGAGCCTGATGTCGCAACACAGTGACACCCCCCCCTTCACCCCCCTCCCCCCCCCCCCACCCCCACCCCCCTCCCCCGCCCTCATTCCCCGGCTTTCCCTCTTCCTCACCCCCCCTCTCAGGCGGGCAAGCTGCTGTGGGAGACAGAGCCTAGCATGCATACACTCACATTCACCGCCCTTATGCTCATCCCCTCCCCTCCGTCCAACCCAACCCCCCCACCCCCTCCCTCCCCTCCCCTCCCAGACGGGCAAGTTGTTGCGAGAGACAGAGCCTGAAGTGGCACACAGCAAGACGGTGACGTCACTGTCCAAGTCAGCAGACGGATCTCACTTTATGACAGGGTCGCTGGATAAGTGCGCCAAGGTGAGAAGGATGGGAATGTTACACAAGGTAACTGTAAGGGTAGATGAAGTAGAAGTACAGAGTTCCTGTTAGGTGACAAGGTTACAAGTCAGGTTACAAGTCAGGTTACATTCAGCAGACGGGTTGCACTTCATGGCATGTCACTCGATAACTGCGCCAAGGTGGAAACAATAAGAATGCCAAAGCGGAAGTAATTACTACTACAAGGTGTGTATCATTAAGGCGCCAAGGTGAGAAGGGTTGGAATGCAAAATATGAAGCAATTACCTCGAGGTAATTGCCAGTCGCCGAGGTAATATCACAAGGTACTTGCTAGGCGCGAAAATAATAATTACAATATACTTGCTAGGCGCCAAGATATTAGTTACAAGGTAACTTTAAAGCGGCAAGATTACCAAGTCAGCAGACAGGTCACGCTTCATGACAGGGTCCCTGGATAAGTGTGCCAAGGTGAGATACATTAGAAGTGCTATGAGGTAGTAATAGCTGCTCCAAACCAAGCAACAAGTCGTTTAAGACCTACCAGACAGCAACGTGTTTAGGGACATCTCAACATTGCTTGCCCCTCCTCCCTCCTCCCTCGTCCCTTTTCCCTCGTCCCTCCTCCCTCGTCCCTCCTCCGTCCTCTCCTGTCTTCTCAGCTGTGGGACATCCGCACGCTGCGCCTGCTCAAGACGTACCAGACGGAGCGGCCCATCAACGCCGTCGACGTCTCGCCCCTCTTCGACCATGTCAGTACCGCTCGGTAACTCCTCACGCTGTACTGTTTGTATGCTTTTTTACTTGTCTCTTGATTAGCTCACCCGCCTTTCAATTGAGTATTGAGTTCCCCTCCCCATACCTTATCTCTCCTATTATCATCCCTGCAGGTGGTGCTGGGAGGAGGCCAGGATGCGGCATCTGTCACCACCACATCGTCACGAGCAGGCAAATTCGAAGCTGTCTTCTACCATAAGGTGCATTACTTCCCCTGCTCCATTTGCACTCTCTGGTCTCTCTGCCCCCTCTGCTTTCCCTGTTCCCTCTGCTTTCTCCTTCATAAGGTGTTGTGTCCCGTTGAATGCCCTTGCTTTCGGCCCATTGAATGCTTCCCCCTCCCCTCTCCTCTCCTCCTCTTCCCCTCCGCTCGCTCTCCCCATCTCTCCTCTGGCAGGTGCTAGAGGAGGAGATTGGCCGAGTGAAGGGGCATTTCGGCCCGTTGAACGCTCTCGCTTTCGGCCCAGATGGTCGAAGGTAAGCTTACAGGATTCTAGTGGAGCTTCTTGGCGTTTTGGTTTCCGTATTATAAAAAGTCATCAGGGCTCATTGTTGTTTTTGCATGTCCTATGCAGCTTTACGAGTGGAGGAGAGGATGGTTATGTACGCCTTCATCACTTCGACAATGATTACTTTCATATTCGGGTCTAGATAGATATCGTGTTTTAGCTTTCTTTGAAAGATCACGTGCGTGTTCGTGTTTTTGTGGGTAGTTGCAATGTTGACTAGCTTCCGTTTTGGAAGTGCTGTATTGTTGAGGCTACAACATGCACCCTCTACATGATTATGTTGGCGTTTTCTCCTATTTGAACCATCTATATACGAGCTGACAAACAACATAAAGAACGGGTAGTTGTTCTTTGATTTTGCCACAGTGTTCAGATTCCACGTGTCGGCCCCTCAGATGTTGAAGCACCTGTGACTCCCAGTTTCTCGAATCCTCCCCTCCAGCCAATCATGTCCCATCTTCTGCTTCCTCTGCTATCAAGCCCTATCAAGTCCTATCCTCCTTACAGCCACGCATTATCCCGCTGGAACCTCGATATTGGCTGGGAGTTATCCCAACCTTTGGTTTGTCCCTCATTAAAATCACTTCTGCCAAAGGCTCATTTTCAGGCTCTTCTGCTTCACAGAGGAAGTTCTGTGCCTGTCGTTTTCCATTCAATATAGGACCAGTCTTAGAAGACTTAGCGCTTCAGTTGACCAGCTTGCTTTATTTCCAGTAGTATTCGGAAACTAGCCTCCCCTGCAGTTTAGGACAGAGGAGGATTAGGGTAATCGTGGTTTTCTCGTGTCGTCCGCCGCGTTCAGACAGTGTCAGGCCAGAAATTCTGTCCTGGAAGGCGACTATAAGGGGGCGGATCGTTCTAGCATTTGGGGCTCCAGATCGGCTGCTAGGCGTCAGAAATGTCAGACGATTGGGGTAAGTCCGCTGGCTGCCTGTTCTGGTGTGGTGTGAGCGCGTCTTCGGTACGTGGCGCCACACGGCGAGTCCAGATGACTGGCTGCTCCGATGTTTGGTGTGTGCGGCGTCGCACCGAGTCGAGTCTCGTGGCTGGCGCAGACTCAGATATTCCGATGACGTGGATTTGATGTTTGATTCAAGTTTGATGCGTCGAGAGCAGTCTCGGCTGATTGCCAGCGCATCTGGAACCTTTGTGCTAGTGCCTGGCAGCGTCGTTATCGTCACAGAAATAGACTCTTTTGTGCTACTGCCTGGCACCAGGTGTCATCGCAGCTCGTTCGACGTCGTTCACGAGTTCAGTCTCGATGATTTGACGACTTCGCGATTCAGTTCTCCAGGACCGGTCGTCTAGGAGTCTAGGTTTGAGGTGCCTCAAAACTAGACTTTTTTCACGTGACTCAGTGCTCCAGGACCAATCGTCCAGGGCGTTGTTTGAACGTTCAATTCAAGCGTTCAAGCCAATTGAACGTTCAAGCCACGCCCAGGTCCTTGGGCAATCTGTCTAAGAATGTGCATGATTCGTTTCATCGGAGGGTTACTTAGAGTCGAATAATCGAGTATACCCCCTCGGTTTTCCGTTTCTGTCTAGATAACTTCTCGATTTTTCGAATTCCCGCTCGTTCTGCAACATCGGTATAACTTGATTGATAGCTTTTCCTAAACCCTGCTGGTTTTGAGCCCCCTAGGTGGTGGTAGCGGGAGGTCCCTTCAAAATCGAAATGCCTATCGTCTCCAATGCACACTTGCTCTCTTCAGTCGCTCCCCTCGTTCCCCTCCCCCCCCCCTCCCCTTCTTCCGTCGCGTACTCCTCCCCTGCCCCGTCCCCCACCCCCTTCTCCCCCTCCCTTTTTCCCTCCCCCAAACCCATACCCGCTTTCCCCGCAGATGCTGAGAACTTGCAGCCGCCGCCAATGTTGGTGACTCAGGAGCCAGTGAAGGCATCATGGGTTCGCATCCCCCCCCTCATTTGATCCCCCTTTCGTTTTCTCCCTTCGTACCCTTCCCTTTCCTCGCGTACTCCTCCCCCCTCCCCCGCCCCCTCCCCTGCCCCTTCCCCTGTCCCCTTCCCCCTCTCCCCCTCCCTTTCCCCCTCCCCCACCCCATTCCCCCCTTCCTCGCAGATGCTGAGGACTTCGAGCCGCCGCCAGTGGTGGTGGCGAAGGAGCCAGTGAAGTCGTCATGGGAGGACGAGGAGGAGGAAGAGGAAGCACCGCCGCCCTCCACCACCACCGCCGCAGTAAGTTTTTGAGTCGACTCAAAAGTCTTCTCGGAGCCAGTGAAGTCGTCATGGGAGGACGAGGAGGAGGAGGAGGAGGAAGAGGAAGCTCCGGCGCCGTCCATCACCACCGGCGCAGTCAGTTCCCCTTGCCTTGGACCCCTCCGCACCTTCAGCTTCCGTACTTCCCTTTCTTCCTGCTACCCTGTCCTGCCTCTCCGCGTGATAGGAGTCTAGTTTTGAGGCGCCTCAAAACTAGACTCCTTTCTTCCTGCTACCCTCTCCTGCCTCTCCTTGTCTCCCCACTCCGAGCTTCTCGCTCTGTTGTCATGTAACCCGCCTTTTCTCTCCCCCACTCGAAGTTTCCTTCCGTGTTGTTTCCGTCTTTCCGTCACGTTCTCCCTTCCCGTGGTTTGTTCGAAAGTTGTTGAGAGAAGTTTGCATCAGCAGGCAATAGATCCCACTTTGCGAATGTAGCATTTTTTTAGTCGACTCAGTCAAGTTTTGAGTCGACTCAAATGTCATCCCCTTTCACTGGCTGATGAAGATCATGCGCCCTGTCCCTCTGGTTTTGTCATCCCCCGGGCTGGTTGGTGGTGCTGTTGGTGGTGGTGCTGGCGGTGGTGCTGGTGATGCTGGTGGTGCCGGTGATGCTGGTGGTGGTGGCTTGCAGGCGAAGCCCAAGGGAGAGAAGAAGAAGAAGAAGGCGGAGGAGAAGGGCAAGGAGAAGGTGGAGGAGGTGGACGACGAGGTGCTCTCGGACCCTCTAGCGGAGAAGCTAAGACAGCAACGGTGAGAGGGGGAGAGAGAAAGAGCGTGTGTGTTGGCTGGGGGGGGGGAGAGAGAGAATGAGCGTGTGTCTTGCAAGGGGGGTGGGAGAGGGATGGGAGGGGGAAGGGAGTGCATGGGTTGCGGGGAGGGGGGAACAGTGGGGGGAAGGAGAAGGAGGAGGCGTTGAATGATGGCCTTCTCGCGGTCCCTCTAGCGGAGAAGCTAAGACAGCAATGGTGAGAGCGGAAAAGGAGAGTGTGTGTCTGTGGGCGTGTATGTGGGTGGGTGGGGGTGGGTGGGGGTGGGGAAGGGTGGGGGGGGAGGGAGGGGGGAGAGGAGGAGGAGGTGTTGGATGTCACGTGTGGAATGATCTTTGAAGTGCCGAATTGTCGCTTCCTGTCGCTTAGTCGTATATCCGTTTACTCTCTCCATTCAGGCTCGTGGTAAACCTTGCTTTATGTCCCCCCTCCCGCTTTCCCTTGTCCCCATTCCCCCCTCGTCCCCCCTCTCCCCCCCCCCTCCCCCTCCCCGCCCCCCTCGCGTATACATATAGGCTCGTGGTAAACCATGCTTCATGTTCCCCCTCCCACTTTCTTTCGTTCCCATCCCCACCCCTCCCCCCCCCCCTCTCGTCCCCATCCCTCCCACCCAACCCCACTGCATTTACATACAGGCTGGTGGAGGAAAGCGATTTCAAAGCAACAAAAGAGCTTTTTGGGAAGAAAAAGGAGGCAGAACGGTCACTGGACGACTTCCTACCCAAAAGCGAGGCGGACTTTAACGAGTTTGCAGATTTGATTGCCGCCAGAATCACTCCCCACTCGGTAAGTGGTGGCTATTTGCAATCTTCGACCATTTCTCACCATTTCTCATAATTTCTCATAATTTCTCACCATTTCCCATCACCTGCAAAAGACTGTTCACTACGAGGCACATTTCAAGAACGCTATTTGGACAACCCTTACCTGCCCCTCACCCTATGGCCCCTCCTTTGTTCTCCTAATCCGCTCTCCTCCAATTGGCAGAAGACGTGGCAAAAGAACATTATTAGGACAACTCAACCTCTCCCCACTTCCGCTCTCTCCTCCCCCCCTCCCCCCCCCCACCCCCCTCGTATTGGTTCATTTCGATCCTGTTTCCTCGAGTACGGAAGATCTTTCACTACGTGGCGCTGATCAAGAGCATCCTGAGAAAGGTGGAGGCGCCATTCGTGGGCAAGGATGTCAAGGAAGTCAGCGCTGCTCTGATTCCCCCTTCTCCCCCCCTTCTCCCCCCTTCTCCCCCTTCTCCCCCCTTCTCCCCCCTTCTTTCTCCCCCCTTCTCCCCCCTTCTCCCCCCTTCTCCCCCCTTCTCCCCCCTTCTCCCCCCTTCTCCCCCCTTCTCCCCCTTCTCCCCCTTCTCCCCCCTTCTCCCCCCTTCTCCCCCCTTCTCCCCCTTCTCCCCCCTTCTCCCCCCTTCTCCCCCCTTCTCCCCCCTTCTCCCCCCTTCTCCCCCCTTCTCCCCCTTCTCCCCCCTTCTCCCCCCTTCTCCCCCTTCTCCCCCCTTCTCCCCCCTTCTCCCCCTTCTCCCCCCTTCTCCCCCTTCTCCCCCCTTCTCCCCCTTCTCCCCCTTCTCCCTCTTCTCCCCTCTTCTCCCCTCTTCTCCCCTCTTCTCCCCTCTTCTCCCCTCTTCTCCCCTCTTCTCCCCCCCCCCTTTCTCCGTGTGCCCCCCTTCTCGTGTGTGTCTTTCTCAGCCCCTCTTCCATCAAGCGCAGAAGAGCTTTCACTACGTGGCGCTGATCAAGAACATTCTGAGAAAGGTGGAGGCGCCCCTGGTGGGCAAGGACGCCAAGGAGATCAGCGCTGCTCGCGTGTCCTCCCCATCTCTCCTCCAACACCACCCCCCCTCCCGCCCGCCGCTACCTTCCCCCTTGTGCTCGCCTCTCCTGTGTGTTCCTCCCGTTTCTTCGAGTGCAGAAGAGCTTCCACTGCGTGGCGCTGATCAAGAGGATCCTCAGAAAGGTGGAGCGCCCCTGGTGGCCAAGGACGTCAAGGAGATGAGCTCTGCTCTTGTGTGCCACCCGCCCGCCCTCCTCTTGCATCCCCTCTGCATCCATGCAGAAGAGCTTTCACTACGTGGCGCTGATCAAAAACATTCTGAGAAAGGTGGAGGCGCCCCTGGTGGGCAAGGATGCCAAGGAGGTCAGCGCTGCTGCAGCTGTGATCGCAAATGAGAAGCTCAAGGCAGAGAAGGAGGCGGAGAAGGGGAAGAAAAAGGGAGGTGAGTGGGAAGAGAGAGGAAGGGAGGTGAGTGGGAAGAGAGAAGGGAGGTGAGTGGGAAGAGAGAGGAAGGGAGGTGAGTGGGAGGAAGAGAGAGGAAGGGAGGTGAGTGGGAAGAGATTGGAAGGGAGGTGAGTGGGAAGAGAGAGGAAGGGAGGTGAGTGGGAAGAGAGAGGAAGGGAGGCGAGTGGGAAGAGAGAGGAAGGGAGGTGAGTGGGAGGAAGAGAGAGGAAGGGAGGTGAGTGGGAAGAGAGAGGAAGGGAGGTGAGTGGGAAGAGAGGAAGGGAGGTGAGTGGGAAGAGAGAGGAAGGGAGGTGAGTGGGAAGAGAGAGGAAGGGAGGCGAGTGGGAAGAGAGAGGAAAGGAGGTGAGTGATGCAAAGAAGGGAGGTGAGTGATGCAAAGAAGGGAGGTGAGTGGAAGAAAGTTGACGAGACACGGGTTTGGGCACACAAGTGCGCTTTGGGAAGGTGTGGGGAGGTTTGGGGGTGGTAATGGGTGTGTACATGTGTACTGGGTGTGTACATGTGTACTGGGTGTGTACATGTGTACTGGATGTGTACATGTGTACTGGGTGTGTACATGTGTACTGGGTGTGTACATGTGTACTGGGTGTGTACATGTGTACTGGGTGTGTACATGTGTACTGGGTGTGTACATGTGTACTGGATGTGTACATGTGTACTGGGTGTGTACATGTGTACTACTGGGTGTGTACATGTGTACTGGGTGTGTACATGTGTACTGGGTGTGTACATGTGTACTGGGTGTGTGCATGTGTACTGGGTGTGTACATGTGTACTGGGTGTGTACATGTGTACTGGGTGTGTACATGTGTACTGGGTGTGTACATGTGTACTGGGTGTGTACATGTGTACTGGGTGTGTACATGTGTACTGGGTGTGTACATGTGTACTGGGTGTGTACATGTGTACTGGGTGTGTACATGTGTACTGGGTGTGTACATGTGTACTGGGTGTGTACATGTGTACTGGGTGTGTACATGTGTACTGGGTGTGTACATGTGTACTGGGTGTGTACATGTGTACTGGGTGTGTACATGTGTACTGGGTGTGTACATGTGTACTGGGTGTGTACATGTGTACTGGGTGTGTACATGTGTACTGGGTGTGTACATGTGTACTGGGTGTGTACATGTGTACTGGGTGTGTACATGTGTACTGGGTGTGTACATGTGTACTGGGTGTGTACATGTGTACTGGGTGTGTACATGTGTACTGGGTGTGTACATGTGTACTGGGTGTGTACATGTGAAACGGGTGTGTCTGCATGGTCATGGATGTGTGTACATGCGTAATGGGTGTGTGTGCATGGTAATGGGTGTCCTTCTGAATGGGTGTGCAGCATTGATGATTCGTTTTCGTCCTTCGGATTATTTGTGCTGTAACGGATGTCCCTCTGCTGTAATCCATGGCCATGCTGCTGACCCAGAGTTGGCATATATACCGTCTTGTGTATGCGGACTCAATCGCCTGTATGTATGATTGTGTGTGCCTATGATTGCAGCCAAGAAGCAACAGTTGACTGTGGATCGGCCAGAGGACGATGAGTATAAAGGATCTTACGGTGGCCCCGATGACGAATACGACTTCATGTGAAGTGTGCCAATTCACTAGCCCCACTAGCGTCCATTCAGTTACAGTATTTAGACTGGTTTGGCCATGTTGAAGGATGCTTGATCTGAGGTTCCACCATCCTGGCCCCTCTATTGAGTGTAGTTACTGCAATAGGCTACAAGGAGATCTCTATGAAGGATCGCCTAGTGGCCTTGCTAAGGACTACGATTTCATGTGACAGTAGCAAATCTCCCTAGTGCTTCGTTAGATACCAACTGTTATTCAGGGTGGCACGGCAGATACTAAGGCAAGTCATCCTTGCACTGTGGATGGTAGACATGCCTGGATGCGTTTGTGTCTAAGGCCTAGGGAATTGGTACCATACCATACCATGCCTGTCGCTCTGAATCCGAACCTGACAGTATGCTATAGACTAGAAACATTAGCTTTGGCAAGATTTGTGTATGGAGATAGAATATACATCAAAACAGAAAGCATTTGGAACTGGAAATAACAAAACCGCTAGGCTTGGCTCCTAGTCAGGCTGTGCGTGCTGTACAATGCTGCTAGTGGGTCTTGGCATCCCTAGAACCATGCACCGTGCGTGACTCCCCAGCAAGTCACTACATACGACACGTCCGCCTCGCGTGCTGACGCCATCACTGTGCCGCCGAATGCGGTGCTCGCCGCAGATCCCTGCTTCCGCTCGTTAACGCTTTTGTTTTTGTTTTCAGTGAACGGACACTACAGATACGCATCTTGAAAGGCCACTTGATCCTTGCGGTTTTTTCACATCGGCACAATAGCACTTCTGATAGAAGCACAGCACAAGGTGCGCCACCGTCAGTGAACGCGCGTCTCGGCTGTCCAATCCCCATGCGTACGGGCTTCCACTTCCGGTTCCGTCGCCGCTAAAGCCGCTGTTGCTAATACTGGCAGGAGAGCGCGCTTCGGGACTTTCGGATCCGTCCTCGTGTTGACTTCCATACGCGTTATAAGTGTCCCCTCGAGATTCACAAGCATCAGACGATCGTGTAGCATTTGCAGCGGCGTAGAACCGGTTTTGGCGGATCTCCCTGTGGAGCGACTTCGCATCGTCGCCGTTGCGGAGATGCACGAGAAAATCTTGGCCATCCGTCACTTCGAGCAGCCCAATCGCCGCCGATTTTTTAATCTCTACGCGAAACCCTAACGCGGTCAGCTTCTGCTGCAGCTGCGCTAAAAGCTTCACCTTGACCATGATCGCTTTGAAAGAAAGGTTCGCGACGGAGTCGAAATAAGGGCCGTAGAGAATTGCGAGAGTAGGAGGTTCTCTGGGGGAATTGACCGCGATATCCGTAATATCAGCGACAGCCATAACTGTCAGTAATAGCAGCCTGTAGAAAAAGACTGGGAGAAGGGGTATGAGCTTTCGAATGCTAGGAGTAAATGGAGTGGAGTAGGCGCTCAAAACTCTTCTCTGAAGCTCTCAACCTCAACCCCTGTCGCGAACTTGCTCACAGAGTGCAAGAGAGAAACCATTTCTCATCTCATCCCATGTTCCATAGCAGGTCAATCCGCGGTCCACAGACTATGCCAGACCAGGTGGAGCCAAAACGTGCCATCGTTGTGTTGCGATGTGATGGCCAACAGATTTTTACACATCACATCACAACACAACATGGCATGGCAGCACCCATGGCTGGCATCTTCATGAGAGGATGAAGCCTAGGAGGAGAGTGGACTGTGATGGTGGAGGCGAACAGTAAACAGCCTGACGAGACTAAATGCTTCTTGGATGGAAGCGGAAAAGGGAGGAATTACACGTAGTCAGGGTCTATTTTTAGAAGGCTCGTGTCTGCCATTTGGTGTCATTTAGACAACTCCGAACCGAATCTTTCACATCAGCACTTCCCCTCGTTGTAGCTGTGGAGGCTGTGTCACCAGGTGTCAAAACGAGACCTGCTTTTGTTTGAATATCCGATGGTATGGGTCGACAAGGCACAGCGCAACAAAAGTGGCCGTCCAGTAACGCGCTGCGCAGCGTGAGGCGTGGCAGGGCTCATGATAAATTCGGCCAACAATCATCTTCCACCCGTGAGTTTCAAGTTTGGGAAATGATCAGAAAGGGTCCTTGCTCTGCCAGCAGAGGAACGAGCAAAAATGGTCCATCTACATCCAAACCTAAAATACACTCCGTTTTATTTTTAGTACTTACTATTAAACGTCTATCAACGAAAAGGCAAAAACATAAAACCCATTTGGAACCGAATTCCGTTCGAGATGGCATCGACCCTAAACACGCAGCTCTTTTGCGATTTTAGGGCTGATGCCACCCCGAGTCTCATGTGAGGTCCCTACGGCTTTTAATTTTTTTAATGCCCTAAAACACTGTTCGTATAAATGTCCCACCTCACAGGGCCACAATACGAAAAATACTTTTCGCGAACAAAAAATATTTACGTGTTGTACGACAAAGGCAATGTATCACAGGTTCAGAGACAAGGTCTCGGGGCAGAAAGCTGCCGGACCTTTTTTGCTTATGCCTCTGGCGGGACGAGGACCCTTTTTATCATTTCCCTTCAAGTTTCAGCCAAAAGCTCCAACTGGGACAAAATGAGAAGCAAGGCTTTTTTTTCAAGGGTTTTTGCCCTGAATTTGAGTCAAATAAATAGCATTTTTCCAATTGGCCCCACAAATTAAGGGTTGGGATTTTATGAACCCGTTTCATTAAAGGTTTATGCAAAGTACGACCCTAAGATTAAGGGTATATTATTTTCGTACCCTAAGTGTATACTACTAGTGGTGGAAGGGCAACAGGGGGGTCTCCTTAAGAGGAACAACTCCCTTAGAAGATTTCTGTTGTTCTCCCCTCACAGCACGTACTCACACATCGAAGTCATAGATGGGAGACAACTACCTTGGAATATCTTTGTTGTTCTTCCCTCTCATCACGTACTCACACCAAGTGACAAACAGAGGGGAGATAACTTCTAAGATTTTCGTTCGTCTACCCTCACAGCACGTTATTTACACCTCGTAGTCACAAACAAAGGGGAGACAACTTAGTAGATTTTTGTTCTTCTCCCATTACAACACGTTACTCACACCTCGTCGTAGTCACAAACAGAGAGGAGACAACCCCCTTAGTGGAATTTCGTTATTCTCCAATCACAGCCCCGTACACATTACTCACACCCTTCACGTAGTGCCCACACATCTCCTGGCAGTGAAAGGGTATTGTGTAAATGAACCCTACTGATTAAGGGTATCCTTCCGATGGACCGTGCAAATTAATGATAGAAGCTCAGGGAGCCTAATTTTTTTACGGTGACTAGACACCAAAAGTAAGCCCTGATGGGAAGGGAGCTGGTCGCGTTCTGCAAGCGAAGTGAATGACGAGCCACTCGATTCGATGACGTGCCACTTCCTACAATTCACACATTTTTTGGGGTGCTTCAGGAGGATGTAGAAGGCATCCGGTTCGCAATATCATTTCCACCCGTCTAAAGGTACTATTAATCACCACGTTGCATCTTTCCGAACCGTATTCTATTCTTGAATGGATGATGGGTGATCTTCCACAAATTGTTCAGGGTTTAGGGTTCGTCAATCACACAAATTGTTCGGTTTTTTTATAGCCCAAATCAGGAGCATCTGAAAGGAGGAAAATGAGAGGACATTATTGAGGGGGAGATGAGAAGACTAAGGGGATTAACGCTGATTTGCATGGTAATCGTCGGTGTGTGCATGGTAATCAGTGCCTTTGCCTGAGTATTATTAGGTACGCAAATTTCAACGTTGGACTTGTGCAAGCGAATTGGCCCAACTGTGTTGTCTATACACATGTGAGGAGACTTCTCATTTGTACGATTTGCTGTGGCTGGTGCAGTTTCTACAATCGATCCCGCTCTGCATCCTGCAAGGGTTTTAACTTTTAACCCTTGGCGATACGATGGGTGTAGATCTGTATAGAGGATGCAGCAGCCCTGTATCTTGGAAATGTTACAGTAGAATGTGGTTGCTGCCATATGCAGATGAGATGAGATTAGTTGTTGGTCCCCAGCTTTTCCTCTGAGATGAGCTTAGCTCAGCGCATGTGGCTTTAACTCGCCGCTAATTCTGCTGATGCTGCGTGAGCCACTGATGCCGCGAGTGCCGCGGATGCGACTGTGGTCATGGCATGATGTTGCCGGGTAGCCTAGCCGCTACGCGCCCAGCCTTTTCACCTCCGTTAGTGAACGGACACAATCGATCCGCTTCTTCAAAGGCCGATTCTTGGCCCCTGCGATGTTGTCTTATCGGTACAGTACCACTTCTGATAGAAGCACAGCACTAGATGCGCCACAGTAAGCCAACGCGCGTCTCGGCTATCCAGCCCCTACGCATACGCGCTTGCGCTTGGGCTTGCGCTTATGTTCCCGCACCCCCTGCTAAAGAAGCCTCTGGTGAACGTCGTGGTCGGAGATCCCGCAGCTGAGCTTTCTAGCGGTCCATGCGCGTTATAAGAGCCCTCTCAAGGTTCGGAAGCATTGTGGGATCAAGTAGCACGTGCCGCCGCGTAAAACCGATTTTGGCGGATTTCCCTGTATAGCAACTTCGCACCATCGCTGTTGCGGAGATGCACGAGGAAATCTTGGCCGCCCGTCACTTCTAGCAGCCCCGTCGCCGTGGATTTCTTGATTTCGGTGCGAAACCCTAATGTCGTCAGCTTCTGCTGCAGCTGTGTTAACAGCTTCACCTTAATCGTAATCGCTTTGAAAGAAAGGAAACAAACTCGTACAACAAATTCCTACACTCCACGCAACAGTTATTGTTGCGATACGAACCTTCAATTCGTAATGTAATAAATATTTAGAACACGCCCCTAACATTTGGGAGTGAAAAGAGACTCCAAATCCTTCGCCACGTTTCATCGAGTATAAAAAGGAGCAAACTAAACTACAGAAACTCACTCAACATCCTACTCGCCAACCACCAATCTGGTGCCACACCAGGGAAGCTCACTCTCGCTTGAAAGCGTCAAAACTTAACACAGGGTAACTGCGTGAACAATGGCTCGCCAAAATAAGTCGCTCAAGCCTACCCTGCTAAACTTCAAAATGGTAACCTTCGTTCCCGTTCGAAAGGCCCACATGCCCGTGACGATGCCGTGCGAAACCTCTGCGCATTTTTGTCTACCAGCACCCTGAAAAGTTGTGCACCCTGAAAAGTTGTGCTCCTATGTCAGGCTCAAGGTGTATACCAAAACCTTGCTAGCCGATCTTGGGGCGATTTTGGAGGGAGGTAGAGTTTTGTTTGGGATGGATGCATGCCAGGAGAGAAGGCTCTGTGTGTGGTGTGGTGTGGTATGGTGTGGTGGAGAAGAGTGGAACCAAAACCTGTCATGTGATGTGGTGGACGGATTGCGGAAGGCGAGAAGGATGACGCCAAGGAGAACGAGTGGGCGGAATGGTGGGGAGCGGTGTATTGTATGAGTCCGCCATAAATAGGCCTCGGGACTATTTTCCCTCGCTGGAAGCGGGTGGCCCGGAAGATGGGGGTGGTGAGAGTGGAGGGAAGGGTAGTGGTTGAGGGTTTCCATGAATCACGACGTGACATAGGGCGTGCCCTCGACTCGTCATTGGATGCCCCGCATTTGTTTGGGTGACCGGATGGATGACGGTCGAAAATGCTGGGTTGAAGAGTGGCCAGCAGAATTGCTGCCCAGTAGGGTACAGTACTTTGTCTTTTTTTGGCTGGGTGTAAGTGGCCCTTGTCTGGAAGATCCAGGTGCGCTCCCACCCAGATCGCATGGCATGTCGCCTCTCCAGCGCAGCAAAAAGGCGGTCCAGTGCGGGGTCATGCGTGACAAGGACAATGATGGAACCGGCCGATGGGAGCATCTGGCAGCTTTCTGCAAGAGTGCGGCGAACCTTGTTCTAGCGTGCCACTGCCACGTTCTGTTTCAACGCAAAATCCAGCTCCATCCAGACCAGACAAAGCTTGAAAGTTCTGTATGACATTCGGGCAGAGAAGGTGAAAAGGGTAACAATCTGGTTTCCTTTGTCAAAACCAGCAAGGACGGTACAGAACAGTCAAGATCGGTGATAAATGTACTGTATACCTCACTGATGAGGGTGGGTCTAGTCCAACTAATTCATGCCATTTCAGAAGCAACCTTACCATCTCATAAAATATACGCAAACCAATTTGATAAGCATTTTGAAGTGTTATTTCAACTCTTGGGGGGCACGAGTCAAGGATGTGACGTTCGATTCGCCAAATTTATCCACCAATGAATCAGGAGGTTCAAAGTGTATTCCGTTCAGGGGTATCTCCATGTCCATTGCATATAGCAGCGAGCCCTCCTTGAACGATTGCTGCATGGCATTAGTCATGGCAATTGGGATGGAAGGAGTGGGTGAATGAGGGGTGGGGAAAAGCTTGGAGCTAGTTGATGCGAATAAGCATGTGACACAAAGCAAGATTTAGCACCCACATGGACACAAGTCACTCACCTCATAATACAACTCCAACAGCTTGTTCCCAGCGTTGGTCGGATGCGTGCCCTTTGAGATCTCGAACACGCTCGATGCACCAACCGTGCGATCGAACCTCGCTAGCACCCACATGGAGCCAGGTCACTAACCTCATCATACAGCTCCAACAGCTTATTCCCAGCATTGGTCGGATGCGCGCCCTTTGAGATCTCGAACGCGCTCGATGCACCAACCGTGCGATCGAACCTCGCTAACACCCACATGGACCCAGGTCACTCACCTCATCATACAACTCCAACAGCTTGTTCCCAGCGTTGGTCGGATGCGCGCCCTTTGAGATCTTGAACGCGCTGGATGCACCAACCATGCGATCGAACCCCGCTAACACCCACATGGACCCAGGTCATTCACCTCACAATACAACTCCGACGGCTTGTTCCCAGCGTTGGTCGGATGCGCGCCCTTTGAGATCTCGAACGAGTTCGATGCACCAACCGTGCGATCGAACCCCGCTAACACCCACATGGACCCAGGTCACTCACCTCATCATGCAACTCCAGCAGCTTGCTCCCACATGGCACTCCTTTGATATCTTGATCGCACTCGATGCACCAACCGTGCGATTCAGCCTGTGCAGCACCTTCCCCACGTCCCCACCCACCCACCCACCCACTCACTCACAAAGACCCAACACTCACACTCACCTCGTCATACAACTCAAGGAGCCTGCTCCCAGCACTGGTCGGATCCGCGTCCTTGGAGATCACAAACTAGGTCGACGCCCCCGTGCAACCTAGCCACTTCCCCACGTTCTCCCCCGTTCACATCGACCCAGCAGCCCTCACCTCATCATACAGCTCTAGGAGCTTGGCCCCAGCGTTGGTCGGATGCGCGTCCTTTGAAATCTTGAATGCGCCCGACGCCCCCACCGTGCGATTCAGCCTCTGCAGCACCTTCCCCACATCCTCCGCTAGATTCTCAAACCGCCCCACGAAATCAAATCGGATCTTGTTGAACCGGCAGACGTCGTTCTGGGGCTGCACGTGCGACTCCATGCGACCCCTCCTCTGCTCGCCCATCTGCCTCAGCAGCCACGCGAACTCCCCAAAGGTGAACAGGTCCTCGCCCTTCTTGGCTTTCACCAGGCGTCGAAACGGGATGAACTTGCGAAAGAACATCTGAGCAGGAAAGGGGGGGGGGAGGGGAGGGAGGGGGGGGAGGGGGGCAGGAAAAGGGGGGAGGGGGGCAGGAAAAGGGGGGGAGGGGGGCAGGAAAGAGGGACAGAGGAGGGTTGGGGTAGAAAAACGGAAAGGGCAGTTGCGTGGCTGTACACGAGGGCTGAATGTTGGACTACACGTGGGGCTGCATGCGCCCTCTCCGCTGCTCGCGCATCTGCCGCAGCAGCCACGCAAACTCCCCAAAGGTGAACGGGTCCTCCCCTTTTTTCGCCGTTACTAGGCGTCGAAACAGTATGAACTTGCGAAAGAGCATCTGACGGGCTGGGGCGCAATGGAGAAGCGAGGGGAAGGTGGTTGATAGAGCGAGGGATGGGAGTGGGCGTCGGCCGACTGTCCTGTTTGAAGCCATGTACGGGTTGTGCAAAAACGCACACTGTCCCTCCCATTCTCTCTTCCCTCTCCCCAGCACACCACCCACCTTGTTCCAAAACTGCCGGGAGTAAGGAGGCCCCCCACCAACGTGCTTGTTCAAATACACCGAGGCCAGCCGCGAGTACGGGTTGCGCACAAACGAGAACTTGAAGAAGTCCGGGCGGGTCAGCAGCTCGATCACCCGGTGCTCTGGGAAGTGGTACGCCAGGATGCGGAGGCCCGACCGCGCCTTGTCGTGGGTCAGGAAGACATCTGACACGTTGCTCTGCCCCTGCTGCTCTCTGAACCACGTCTTCCACCCCGTGCAAGCGACCTTGGGGACGAAGCAGTAGATGGTCTTGAGATTTTCTAGAAGAGAAGGGGTGTTGTAGGGGGGAAAGGGGGGCGGGGGGAATGGGTGACGGGGAAGAGACGAGAGAGATTGACGATGTGAGTGAGACATAAAGGGAGGAGTGGCCTAGCAGCTCGGTCACCCGGTGCTCTGGGAAGTGGTACGCCAGGATGCGGAGGCCCCACCGCGCCTTGTCGTGGGTGAGGAAGACATTGAAAACGTTGCTCTGCCCCTACTGCTCTCTGAACCACGTCTTCCATCACGTGCAAGCGACTTTGGGGACGAAGCAGGTGGGGGGGATGAGGAGGGGGGATGAGGGAGAGACGGAGAGCGTTGCTCGGCCCCTACTGCTCCCGGAGCCACGTATTCTACCCCGTGCAGACCACCTTGGGGACAAAGCAATGAATGGTCCTGAGGTTCTCTGCAGGTGGAGGGATGAGTAGATGATGGGATGGGAGTGGGTACAGTGCCTAGACCCGGCACACCATCCTGTATGGATTGCCGCAGGGGGCCCCAGTCCCTCGGATCCTGTATCGAGTAGAGCCTCCCTGGGTTCCAGGGCCGGGAACCGCGGTTCCTGTAGGGATTGCCGAGTTCCTGTAGGGATTGCCGCAGGAACCGCGCCTGGTTGAACATGATCGCCCTGGGAGCCTCAATTTTGCTAAGGGCTATGCTGTATCACACAGCGACACACACCGCCCCCCCCCCCCAATCCCCCCCCCCTCTCCCCACCAGCCACGTCCCTCTCACCAACCACTATGAACTGCCGCATGAGCCGCTCCTGGCTGCAACTAACCGCCCTGGGAGCCTCGACTCTGCAAGGGGCACTGCTGTATCCCACAGCAGCACACAGACCCACGGACACACAACCACGCACCAACCCAGCAGCCACACCCCTCCCACCATCCTCTATGAAATGTTGCAGGAACCGTGCCTGGCTGAACGGGAATGTCCTGGGGGTTTCGCTAAGGCACGGGGCGAGGGTGAGGCACGGGCCGAGGGTGTATTGCACACATGTACACACATCCATGGACACACATCCATGGACACACATCCATGGAAACACATCCATGGACACACATCCATGAACACACATCCATGGAAACACATCCATGGACACACATCCATGAACACACATCCATGGACACACATCCATGTACACACATCCATGGACACACATCCATGGACACACATCCATGGACACACATCCATGTACACACATCCATGGACACGCAGCCCCACCAACCCACCAACCCAGCACACCCCCATCACCATCCACTATGAGCTGCCACAGAAACCGCTCCTGGCTGAACAAGGCTGCAATGCAATGGGAGCCCAATTAGGGCACGGGTTGAGGCTGCATGGCACACGAATGCAACCACTCTCACGCTTTTGAGTCGACTCAAAAGCCACTCTCACGAACACTCCCATGCGTGAGGAGTCGATTTTTGAGGCGCCTAAAAAATCGACTCGGCACACGAATGCAACCACTCTCACGCACACTCCCAACCACCCGACCACCAGCCACACCCCTCGCACTCGCCACCAGCCACACCCCTCGCACTCACTCTCCACTACGAATTGCCGCAGGAACCGCTCCTGGCTGAAAGTGACTGCCCTGCCCTGCCCTGGGATTTTCGGGGCAACACTGTAAAACACACAGATACACACAGCCCCCCACCCCCCACCACACCCCTCGCTCTCACCATCCACTATGAAATGCCTCAGGAGCCGCTCCTGGCTGAACGTGACCGCCTTGGGAGTGGCATGGGGTGCCCACACATACACACAACATGCCCCCCCCCCCCCCCCCTTACCACACCCCTCTCTCTCACCATCCACTATAAATTGCCGCAAAAACCGCTCCCGGTTGAACGAGACCGCCTTGGGAGCCTCACAGACAGTCGGCGCCACAGTGAACGGCACTGGCCGCACAGAGAAAGCCCCTCTCTCAGCACTAGGTACATTCCCCACAGCCTGCGATTCCGCTCCTCCCTTTGTCCCCCCCCTGTCCCCTCCTCCCTTTCTTCCCTCTGCCCCGTCTGCTCCTCCTGCTTCTCCCCTCCCCCCCACCCCTCCCAAGTCTTCCCCCCCCAGCCCGAGCATGCGCGTGGCGGTGGCGGCGGTGGCCTGGGCGGCGATGAAGCGGGCCTCCAGAGATGCGCGTGTGTGGATCAGCGCCGCTGCTGCTGACACCACCCACGCCTCCGCCACCTGCAGCTGCGCACACCGCGTTGCGTTGATACCCGAGCCCTCCTCTTCCTCCTCCTCCTTGGACTCCTCCTCTCCTTTCTTTCCCCTTGTCTCCTCTAACAACCTCCTCGTTCCCTGCTGCGTCGTACCTGCTTCTACCAGCTGTCTCCCCTCCTCTCCTCCTCCGTCTTCGCCTCCTGAACCCCCATCGACCCCTCCTCCTGCTCCCGCCTTACGCCCTCCTCCGACCTTCTCGCCCTTCCCACCAGCCTCGCCACTCCGCCCTTCCCCTTCCCTAACCCCACCTGCCTCCCCACCCGCCTCCCCACCCGCCTCCCCACCCGCCTCCCCATCCCCTTCCACCTCCTCACCCCCTTCACTCCGCTCAATCTCCCCCATCTCGCCCTCCCCATCTCCACCCCCCTGTTCCCCCTCCCCATGTTCCCCGCCCCTCTGTTCCCCCTCCACATCGTTCCCCCGTCCCCCCTCCCCGCCCCCTCCCGCCCTGGCGGCCCTAGGGGAGGGGCAGGCCTGCAGGCGGGAGAGGGTAACATCCAGCAGCAGGGGGGCGCGGAGGGGGTGGAAGGTGCGCACTACAGCCGCCGCATCTGCCGCCCAGAACGCACTCATGATGAAGTCAACTCGGCCCCCCGCTGCTACAGAACTGCCTCCACCAGAAGACACCTCCCCCTCTGCTACGGAAGACACCTCCCCTTGTGCCACAGAAGATGCCTCCCCCAGGTACTGCCACGCCAGGGTGCGCAGAGTGCAGTCTACAAGGGGGTCCTCTGGACAGCCTGGACAGGTGCCAGGTGGCAGATCCTCATTGGCCTGGAGGGCGGGTCATGGGTGGGTACATGGGAAGGGAAGGGGATTCGAATATGAGAATAATGGTCTAAGGCAGACCTACCTGGAGATTACGACACACAAACCTGGAGATTACAACACACCTGGAGAGTACGATGCACCTGGAATGTACAACGCGGATTGAAGGAAGTAGCAAGTTGCCCTCACCCAATTAGCATGAGATGATGGTTGGTTTTTCCACCATCTTTTGAGTCGACTCAAAAGTCATGATGGTTAGTTTTCCACCATCTCACATCGACATACACGGAAGTAGATTGCCCCCCTCCTCTCCCACCTCGAGGTACACAGCAGTGGAGCGTTGGAGCCTGGAGAGGACGGAGGCGGGGTGGGCGAGCATGATGGCAGCAACGGCTGGGGAAGGCTGCAGGCCGCCCAGACAGGCGGCTTCTAGGCGCCGTGCGATGCAAGCCTCCTGGGGTGACTGGTGGTGGGAGGGGAGAGCAGAATGAGCGACGAGAGGTAGCTTAAAGGCTGCAGGCCGTCCAGACAGGCTGCTTCTGACCACTGTGAGACGCAGGCCTCCTGGGGGGACTGGTTGGTGACAGAAGAGGGAAAATAACCAGTTTTGCCCCTAGGGTATTTACCAGAAGAGGGAAAATAACCAGTTTTGCCCCTAGGTTATTTACCAGAAGAGGGCAAAACAATGGAGCTTCCAATCACCGTGTGACGCATGAGTCAACTCAAAATGCTCACTCTAGGGGCTGGGTCAAAAGAGATCACTCGTAATCGCAGTGATTTGACACACTCCACTTACCAGGGACTGGAAAGCGAGGCTCCACAATGCACTGGGAACCAGAAGAGGCACAACAGTGTCGCTCTCCGTCACAAGCCCCTCTGTGCGCCTGCCACCGTCACTGTTACTGTCAACGTTACTGTTACCGTCACTGTTGCCAACAGTGCCCCTGTCACTGGCGCTGGCAGCACTGGAGGCGCAAGGTGGTAGTGAGACCTGGGAAGAACGTAGAGCAGCATGGGGGGGGGGGAGGCATGAGGGGGGAGCACGTGGAGAGCGGGAGGAGGGGAAGAATATTAGCATGAGTGGCTTGAGACAACATGAGTGGCTTGAGCTGCAGCAAAGGACAGGGTTATCGGAGTCAGCTGCAGTGCTCTCCTCACATTGAGCCATCGGAGGGATGTTAGAGGCGGGTCGGCGAGCATATCTCCTAGTTTAAGACGCTTCAAACCCTGAAGCCCGAGGCACCTGCTCTATCCCCGTAGCCCCTTGGCGCTCTCCTCACATTGATCCATCGGACGGATGTGAGAGGCGGGTCGGCGGGCATATCTCCTAGTTTAAGACGCTTCAAACCCTGAAGCCCGAGGCACCTGCTCTATCCCCGTAGCCCCTTGGCCCTCTCCTCACATTGATCCATCTGAGGGATTCGAGAGGCGGGTCGGTGGGCATAGCTCCTCGCACTGCAACGTCCGGCCAGGCGACCATCAGACTCAGCAGCAATGCTGCATCTCCTGCTGATCCGCCTGCCGCTTCTGCTCCTGCTGCTGCTGCTCCTGCTGCTGCTGCTCCTACTGCTGCTGCTGCTGCTGCTGCTCCTTCTGCCGAACCTACAGCCGCTCCAGCAGGAGCAGGCTCGGAGTCCGCCAGGATCACTCTTCTCACACTCTCCCTGTCAGGAGGGCCAGCAAAGAGAGCGTCAAACGGCGCATGAGGGATCAAATCACTCGCACTGCTGCTGCTGCTGCTGCCTCCAGTGGTGGTCGTGCTGCTGCCTCCGCTTCCTCCGTCACTCGCCGCACGTCCCTTCCTCCATACGATTGTGACCAGGCCTCTGTCACGAGCGTTAACAGAATTGACGGAGCTAACGGAGCTCTCACTGTCTCTGGCCGTCTCCGTCACCCCCTCTGACTGCAACCTCCTGGCCAATACGGTGGCGACAGCTGGCGCCAGGCAGAGCGTCTGAAGCTGTGACATTGTCCCACCCTGCCACGTAGCATCACATGGGGGGATAACAGGATATCCGTTACTGTCTAAATGCTATAATCTCTCGCTCACGAATATTCCCGTTTTACCAGCAAGTTAATCAAGAGGGTGTACCCGAGGATGGAGCTGATAAGATCTTAAAGCAGATCCAAGTAACAGAACGAAACATCGAACACGGAAATTACAGGTTAGCAGCACGTACCTCCGCCAGAGCAATGGCTCTGAACGGCGGCGGTATGAGTGGTCCGCTGTTCGCGCTGCTTGTTCCAGCGACAACAGAACTTCTGCTGCTAGCAGCATCGACGCTTCCTTTCGCACCTACAACAACCGCGCCTTCAGCATCCGAGTTTTCTCCAGGAACTGGGCTCTGACGCGCCTGCGCTTCGCTATTGTGAGACGCGCTATCGTGAGACGTCTCTAACGGAGCCTGACGGACTGGCACTAATTCGCTCTCTAAAGTCACCAGAACCGGACCGAGATGGCCGGACGCGTCGTCCAAAGCAGGGGAGTCGCTAGAATTCCAGGCATTACTGCCTTCTTGCATGGACCAATAGAAGTGTAGGAGTCTTCCTAAAGCCGCTACACCGAGAAAGATTAGTATCAGGACAACGAGCCAGATGAGGGTTGCGTATATCGAAGTGACAGTAACGAATCCGGCGGCGGCACGCTTCGCCTTCGCCTTTTTGTCTTTCCCTGAGCGGCGTTTGGAGGAGTGAACCCCACCGGACCCTAAGATTCTGAAGCTGGATGCGAATTTCCGGCCGATTGCTTGCAGCGACGACTGGAGCCATGAACTGGGAAGATTATTGGGAAGTAACGATGAATGGGAGGAATAAGGATGAGAGGAATGGGTATCCGCGCTGGGTGATAGTAGGAGAGTGGATTCGGCTGCTTCGTCTGAGGCTGTTGGCGTGTGAAGGCTCTCGGTTCCTGGGAGATTATCGGCATGTAATCGGTCGTGTTGAAGAGCTTGAGGCTTATCTAAGACCGCGTCGTCCATACTCGAGGCTGATGTGTCCGTCATCTTACGTCGCCGGAAGATGGAACCGACGGGGTGAAGGGAAGTGACGAACAGCTAAGCTACAAGCTCTTGGATTCAGAGATCCTGACATGGAGGGAGGAGTGTGAGGGGGTTACTACACAAGGCCTTCTGCCAAATAAAATAACGCTGGGATGATGGCCGTCAGGATGCTCAGGAATTAGGCATGTCTGGCAAAATAATGAGCAGCATCTGACTGGGCTGTCCCTATCAAATGAATGTCATTACAACTGAATGAGACGTTCACTTGTCGATCAATCATGGTATATTTTACCTCGTTTTGCGTGTAACAACCTCACTACCGTAGCGAAGCACCTCACGACGAAGTATGTGCACGTCGCATTGTTGTGCGCCTGACACATTTCGGTGTCAGCAGACAGGTGCTGCCGACCGACGAATGGGATAACTTCGCGGGATCCTCCTTGCACCATCCCTGCACAAGGCTCCTTGGCAGCCGCTCTGTAAACATGTCATCTGCGTCGCGTTCGGTCATCACTTGCCACAGATCTACGGTCCATCACGATTTTCGAAGTGAAGCCGCCAGATTGGGCCTTCCTGATTCGCCCACAAGTCCGATCGACTCTGCTCCCTCCGGGTGAGACGCTGCGAGCCGCGCAATGTTCCATCTTCGCGTCGCTAACCCAAATTCCCTCACTCATCCCGCCTCGCCCCTTACCCCTTGCTTGAATAAGGGCGTGTCCCGGGCGTACGTTCGGTTACGGTTTTGTGCGGTGCGTGTTGTTCAATAGCGTTATAAAATGGTTGAGTAGGGTATTGAAAAAAACCTACACGCGGCACACGCCCTAAAAACTCACCTATGAGTGACCATCTCTTCCCCTTTTCTCAACCCAAAGTTGTCTGCTGGACTGATGACGAGCACCTCCCTCACTCCTTCCTTCCATCCCTCCTTCCCTCCGGCCAGTCACATGATACTGGGCGGAGTGGAACCGTCAACGCAGCATGACACTCGATCAGACCGCCCTTTTCTGACAGAAGAGCCCTCTGAACGCCGCTCGGCCCAGCTCTTTCTGCCAATAACGCAGAGGCCCGGGCTTCCCGGGTTCCCACCTTCCGATAGCTCACCAGCCCACATCCGCTCGCCAGACGTCCCTTCATCAACCATTCTCTGTCCATACAATCCCTCCCTTTGCGCATGGATCGCCTGGTTTCGCCTTTTCGTCGATCCCTTCCCCAGATTCACCCTTTCCTTCCGCGGTAACACGTATTCTTCCTCTTAGTCCGATTAGTTGCCTCAGGATCGACAAATCTCCACCGTCCAATCTCCGCCGCATATACCCGTCCGCCGTCCAATCTCCGCCGCATTCCGTCCCCTCGGTGCCTCGCATTTGCGAACGGCTTTACTTCACACTCCCCTCGATTCACGTCGCACCTCCTCCCCATACGGCCGACAATCGAGGGGCCGACAGGCGGTAGTAACAGCCGAGGCTCATTGGCCAATACCTGGTCTTTACTTTCGAGGCGCCTTAGCAACAGCTAGTAGCAGTGGGGCTTGTTGTTCCATACCAATCCTTCACCTCGTAAGCTCCCGTGTCGGCGCCGCGCCTGCTCCGGCTCTAACTAAGGATCCGCGCTTGCAAATCTCGTGCTGTCGAGCTATTTGAGCTGAACCTCACCTTACCTTACTCTCCGTTCCTGATTCTGCAGGGTGTTTTTGAGAATTCTCAAAAATACTCTCCGTTCCCTTCGTTTCCCGGAACTCAATCCGTTGCGCTGATCAGCGCCTGCTTCACGCCCAGGCCGCCATAGCTCGTGGTTCGTCTGTTGCTTTCGAGGCGGGTGGATAGTAGCAGTCGCGTCTGAGAATCTCGCTTAAACCTTCGCTCGCTTCCCGCAGTTCGCTCGCTTCCCGCAGTTCGCTCGCTTCCCGCAGTTCGCTCGCTTCCCGCAGTTCGCTCGCAACGGATTTCGAGTGAGGGGGATTTTCCTTTCATCTTTCTGCCGCCGCAGCCTAAGCGGGTCGCTCGCCCGCCCGTTTGTTCGCATAGCCAGAAACCAGCGGGTTACCTCTTCGCTTGCTTCGCGAAGGACAGTTAGCGATAGGCTATACGAGCAAGCCCCGCGTACGAACTTCATCTGGATCAACGACGCGTTGAAACCGTCTCACGTGCGACGAGTGCTCGGCCGCTCGGCCGTCGCACGCTTCCCTCGTGTTGTCACCAGCGCTACTGGATCCGCTCATGGCGACAGCGTCCGAAACTGGTGACGGTGTGCGACTCTCGCCAACCGGCGAAAAGCTGATTCCGGTTACCACTCGTGCGGCAACCCCCCGCTCCGCGTTCGCGGACCCATGGGGGCTGCTGCGGTGGGGGAAGTACTGCGGAAATGGCGGCGGGGAATTGACGCGGGTCGCGCTTCATACGCTGCCGTTCGTCTTACTCTTGGCTTTAATCGCCGTCGCGTCGACTTTCGTTCTAGGCGGGTTTTCGCAACAGCCGTTTCGCCAGAGCCTCATAGTGCCTCTGTCTGTTTCTAAAATGTCGTCCCCCACCCCCACCGCCGCAACCCTCGCCGCGTCCTCCGCCGGGGATCCCGCCGCGTTTGACGGAGAATCCAGCAGGCTTGCAGTCGACGGAGGGTCCGTTTTCGGTGAATTCGCGGATCCTGGGGCTTCCGCGGAGTCCGCCCAGCGAGCGGAAGTGGCGGAAGCGGAGTCCGCGGAAACGGGGGTGGCGGAAGTTTCCGCGCGAGAAGCGGCGGAGGGTTCCCCGGAGGATGAACGAGTAGGGAGTGCAGCGGATGTGACAGTAAGGAAAGAGAAGGAGAAAGGCACGGGCAGACCAGGAAAGGGGAACCGGGGGAGAGGAAAGGAGAAGGCCACTAAACGCCCGAGTGATAATAACGAAGGGGGGATTCGGGAGTCCGCCGAAGTTAGAGCGGCCCCGATAATGGAACCGTCAATTGAGTTACCATCTGATTCGTTTGAGTCACATTCGGAAGATTCACCGGAGCAGGAGAAACAGGGAGCAGAGGGCAAGAGACCCGCCAAGCCTGCAGCTGAAGGGTTTGGTTCTAGTAACGAGGGATTGAAGGGAGTGGACGCAGACGAAAGTGATTCTAGCGAAGCTTCTTCAAGTGAGAGTGTTTCTGTGGACGGATCGACCAATGGGAGCTTGGTGGCGACTGAAGCGAATCAGAATGTGGCACGCGAAGGTCCAACCAGTCAGGAGGAGACTCAGGAGTCGAGTAGCGATGACGTGGCGGCTGCATCGACGGTGGAGAAGGCACCAAACGAGACGGCATCAACGGCGGGGGTGGCATCCACGGGGGAATCAACAGGGGACGCGTCGACGGTGGAGATCACGCCAGTGCAGAAATCAACGGTGGGGGAGGCGCGGACGGGGGCGGCGGGAGAAGAACAGGCGGAGGAAGCGGAGGAGGCGGAGCGGGGAGAGGGTACCCTCTCCGTCACCGGTGCCCGCAAGGCTGCTCTTGCGGCGAGCGCGTTCGTCGCTGTGACGGACGGCGACCTCCCGTCGCGCCTCGGCACCCTCTGCGCCGCGCCGTCAGTTGCGGCGGTCCTCGCGGCGAGAAACGCGGCGCAGCAGGGGCAGAAGGGGCAGGCGGAGCAGGCGGGGCGGGAGGCGAGGCAAGGAATGGCGGTTCTGTGGAAAGGCGGGGACGAACTCTTTGGGAGGCTGCCCGGGAAAGACGAGATCTGGAAGGCGGCGGCAGGGGGGCCGGCGAAGCGAAGGGGGAAGGAGCAGCTGCTGCTTCTCCAGGCGGCGGTGGGCGCATGGCCGGAGCTGCGGCTGGGAAACGAGGCGAACGAGAGGAGTGAAATCGACATGGGCGGCATGGTGGACGTCGAGGTGAGCTGTGCTTTCTCCTGTGCGGAGCCTGTCAGAAGGTATGCCGGTGCTGCTGCTGCAGGCAGTGGTGGGAGCATGGTTCGAGCTAAAACTGGGAGACGAGGCGACTATGGGAGGCGACATGGGCGGCATGGTGGACATCGAGGGGAGATGCTCTCTCCCTTGAGCCTCGTCTTCCTTCCTCTCGTGCTCCCCCCTTCTTCTGTTCCTCACTTGAGGGCCAACCGCCTCAAACCGCTGTGCACCCATCCACCACCACTTCCTGCCCCCATGCACCACCAGCAGCAGTGGCAAGCAGCCCTCGTCCGCCCTCGAACTGTGAGCGCTCTCTTTTCTACTCTCACCATACCTCCTACGTTCCGCCTCTTCGTCCTCCCTTGTTCCTCCCCCCCCCAACCCCCTGTCTCTAACCAATGCAGGTAGCAGTGCAGCCATGCGCCAGCAGCAGCAGCAGCAGCAGCAGCAAGCAGGGGCCTTCATCTCTCAAGCTGTGGGCGCGCGAAGAGTTGAGGTTAGGGGCGGACGACGGAAGTGGGAAGGTTGAACTGGTAAGTCCGCATTGTCTCTGACTGCCTCTGACTGCCTCTGACTGCCTCTGACTGCCTCTGACTGCCGCATGGCATCGTTGCTAGCGGCCTGTGTGTGGCCTGTCTCTTAACGTTAACTCTTTCTCAGCTGAACCCTTCCCTCGGTGCTCTCAAGAGCCCTGCCTCGTAGCATCGCTGCAAGCGACCTGTCTGGAATGTGAAATCTCCCTGTTCCGGTTTCCCCCCCCCACCCCCTATCCCCTGCTGTCCCTGTGCATCGCTGAGATCTCTCCCTCAAAAATAGCGACCTGTCTGGATTATGAAATCCGCCTGTTCCGCTTTGAGGAGTCTACTCTTGAGGCGCCTCAAAAATAGCGACCTGTCTGGAATGTGAAATCTCCCTGTTCCGGTTTCCCCCCCCCATCCCCCGACCACACCCCCTCCAAGTCCTGTCGCAAGATATCGCTGCAACAGCCTGTCCGGCCAGCCCGATTCAACCACTTTCTTCTCCTTTCTGCCCTCTGCTCCATCCTCTTTTTGAGGCGTCTCACAAATAGACTGTCCCCTGCTCCATCCTCTCCCCCCATCAGTCCCCCCAAGAGTCCTGCCTCGTGGCATCGTTGGAAGCAGCCTGTCTGGGCGGCCTGCAGCCCTCCCCAGCCGTTGCTGCCATCATGCGCGCCCACCCTGCCTCCGCCCTCTCCGCCCTCCCCCACTCCACCGCCGTCTACCTAGAAGCCGACGCAGCCAGAGCAGGAGCCCACCCCGGGGGGGGCTGCCAGGGGGATTCCCCCAGGAATTACACACTGAGGACTCTTGCCTGGAGGTACCTGCATGCTGGCTCCCCTTCCGCTGCTTCCCATCCTTCCTCCTCTTCCTCCTCCTCCACTCCCTCCTCTTCTTCCTCCGCTCCCGCAGATTCCTCCCCACTGCCCGATTTCACGATCGCGGCGTACGAGCCGTCGGATGCAGACTTTGTGGCAGCCACGTTCCACCCCCTCCGCGCCCCTCGCATCCTCCCTGTCACTGCCCTCCGCCTCGCCTTCTGCCCCAACCCTGAGTCTGCCGCTTTTGATCCTGCCGCTTCCCCTTCCCCTGCTCCTGCACCTGCGCTTCTCTCTGCCTCTGCCCCTGCTGCTGTTGCTGGAGAGGCCAAGGCTGCTGATGAAGCAGTGCCACGCGAAGCAGCAGCACCTGAGACTTCCACCTCCTCTGAATCTTCAGCCGAACCTTCATCCGAATCTTCACCCGAGTCGCCTGCAGCAGACTCTTCATCTGAGTCGTCATCCCAATCTTCATCGGAATCTTCCCCCGAATCTTCATCTGCTGTTCCAGCTGAACCTTCACCCGAGTCCTCCTCTTCGGCTGAACCTTCACCTGCTGTGGAGGAGTCAAAAGCAGCAGAGGCAGCGGAGGCATGGAACGGAGCCCCGGAAATTAAAGAGGGGAGAGGGGAGGAGGGAAGTGGGGGAGGGGTAGAGCGAAAGCTTTTCTCGGTCAAGAGAGGAGGGAGAAGACTATTGGGTGAAGGGGAGGGTAGTGGGGGGGAGGGTAGTGGGGGGGAGGGTAGTGGGGGGGAGGGTAGTGGGGGGGAGGGTAGTGGAGGGGAGGGTAGTGGGGGGGAGGGTAGTGGGGGGAGGGTAGTGGGGGGGAGGGTAGTGGAGGGGAGGGTAGTGGGGATGAAAGTGGTAACTCGAGCACCGTAGAGAGCCATGCAGAGAGCAATACGGGGCAGTCACAGTCAACCGAGTCAACTGAGTCAGCCGAGTCAGCGGAGTCAGCGCAAGAGACGCCAAGTGAATTCGACCTGAGTGCGATGAAGGGGCGGGTGGAGAGCGGCGAGTGGAGCTGCTTGCAGCTGCAGGTGGCGGAGGCGTGGGTGGTGTCGGCAGCAGCGGCGCTGATCCACACACGCGCATCTCTGGAGGCCCGCTTCATCGCCGCTCAGGCCACCGCCGCCACCGCCAGGCGCATGCTCGGGCTGGGGGGGGGAGAAAGGATAATTGGGGCAGAAGAAGGGGGCAGTGAGGGGGGAAGGGGAGCAGAAGGGGGACGCGGAGGAGCGGGATTAGAGGGAGACGGAGGGGCGGAGGAGAGGAGTGGTTTGAGTGGGGCAGGGACCGCGATAGGCTTGTTCAAGGTGCACCCTGCTGTCTGTGACTCGAAGCCGCCCACGCCTTTCTTCCACCGCCGCTTCCTGCAGCAATTTCTAGTGGATGGTGAGTGGTTCTCATGGTGCGTGGGTGGTTGGTGCGTGGATGGGTGGTGAGTGGCTGGATCGCGAGTGGCTGGGTCGCGAGTGGGCAGACATGCGGCATCTCTATTGCTTCTCCCTTCCCCCTCACCTCCCCCCCCTGTACTCCCTTCAGAGAAACTCCCCATCCTCCCCCATCCTCCCCCATCCTCCCTTCAGAGAAACCTCCCTTCCCCCTCACCTCCCCCCCCTGTAATCCCTTCAGAGAAACTCCCCAATTCCCTTTCCCTCCCATCCTCCCACATTTTCCTTCAACCTGTTGACTCATGTACCCCCTGTAGAGAAGCTCAAAGCAGCAAAACCGGCCCACTCCCTCTGCTACTCTTCCTAACCTCCCTCCCTCCCACCTTACTGCTGGACCCGTTCCCCACCTACCCCCTACAGAGAAGCTGAAGACTGTGTACTGCTTTGTGCCCAAGGCGGGGTGCACGGCATGGAAGGTGCGGTTCCGGGAGCAGCGTCGCCCGTCCCTCGCCCTCCCATTCCTCCTTGAGTCTCCTCGCTTCTCCCTATGTAACCCCTACAGAGAAACTCAAGACTGTGTACTGTTTCGTGCCCAAGGCGGGGTGCACGGGGTGGAAGGTGTGGTTCCGAGAGCAGCAGAACCGCCCGAACGCCACTGACGCTTGGATAGCGCACGATCCGCTGCACTCGGGGCTGGAGCTGCTAGGGAACAACATGCCAGAGCGAGAGGTGTGTGGATGGGTGCAGGCATATGGAGTGGGTTGCATGACATGGGTGCATGACATGGGTGCATGACACGGATGCATGACACGGGTGCATGACACGGGCGCATGGCACGGGCGCATGGCACGGGCGCATGACACGGGCGCATGGCATGGGCGCATGGCACGGGCGCATGGCACGGGCGCATGACACGGATGCATGACATTGGTGCATGACACCGGTGCATGACACAGGCGCATGACATGGGCGCATGACACGGATGCATGACACGGGTGCATGACATGGGTGCATGACATGGGTGCATGACACAGGCGCATGACACGGGTGCATGACATGGGTGCATGACACGGGCGCATGACGCGGGCGCATGACACGGACGCATGACACTGGCGCATGACACGGATGCATGACATGGGCGCATGACACGGGTGCATGACACGGGTGCATGACACGGGTGCATGACACGGGTGCATGACACGGGCGCATGACACGGGCGCATGACACGAGCGCATGTCACGGGCGCATGACACGGGCGCATGACACGGGCGCATGACACGGGCGCATGACACGGGTGCATGACACGGGCGCATGACACGGGCGCATGACACGGGCGCATGATAATGGGCGCATGACTATGGGCGCATGACATGGGCGCATGACACGGGCGCATGACACGGGTGCATGACACGGGTGCATGACATGGGTGCGTGACACGGGTGCGTGACACGGGTGCATGACACGGGTGCATGACATGGGTGCATGACATCGGCTTTTGTGATGCATCCTAGTCCCCTAAACCCTCCAAATCCCCGAATCCCTGCCACCCAACAGGTGATCTGATTCCTGACCCGGCCGGATTACATCAAGTTCACGTTCGTCCGCAACCCCTATACTCGCCTGCCCTTGGCCAACCTGAACAAGCACGTGGGTGGGGGGCCGCCCCATGACCACGCGTATTGGAACGCGCGCTTTTTCCACTCCATGACGCCGTACCACCAGCTGGTGGACCGGCAGCTGGTGGACCGACAGCACCAATGCAGGCTGCTTGTATCTTCAAACCCTCCAAATCCCCGAACCCTGTGTGCCTTCAGGTCATTCGGTTCCTCACTCGGCCTGACTACTTCAAATTTACGTTCGTGCGCAACCCCTACACCCGTCTGCCCTCGGCCTATCTCAACAAGCACGTGGGCGGTGGGCCGCCCCACGATCGAGCCTATTGGAACGCGCGCTTCTTCCACTCCATAGCGCCGTACCGCCAGCTCGTGGACCGCCAGAACGGGTCGGACCTGTTTGACTTTCCGGATTTTGTGGAGCTGACGTGGCACATGGAGAAGAGCCGGCGGTGTATTATGGATCCGCATATTATGCCAGAGGTAAGGGATGGGTTTGACTGGTTTGACATGGTTGATCATTTGACATGGCCCTTGCATCATGGACCCACCCATCAATTGATTATTTTACTTGTGGAGCTGACGTGGCCCATGGAGAGGGGCAGCATGTGCATCATTGACTCGAGAACTACGAGCATGACGTGGCACTAAGCGCACCATCTGTATCCCCCGTCTGATCCCAATGTAGGCTGACGTGTGCGAGCTGCACCGCATCAAGTACGACTATGTGGGGCGGTTTGAGAACTACGAGCATGACGTGGCGGAGGTCATGCGGCGGTTTGGCAAGGATGCCATGGATGCCTTCAGCATTGGCCGAGGAGTACACCCCACTGACGCCTCCGACAAAACCGTTAAGCTGTATAATAAGGTATGTCAATTTCGTTGGCTTTCTCCTCCCCCCTTCCCACTCTCTCCCCTAGCGCCCCCCACAGTTTTCCTTTCCACCCTGACCCATGTTTCAATGTACGAAGATCACCTGCTGATACACTCATCCTTCACATGTATATGTGTGCTTTTTTATTACTTTGTGCTTTGCAGAAAGCGTTGGCTTTGGTGGCAAGCGTGTACAAATCTGACTTGGATATACCATTGAACGGAATACATTATGACGTTCCTACGAACCTGAAGGCTGCATACGTAGACTAGCATGCCTGTTTTCCTCAACTTGCATTTGGGGTGATACTTAGGATTGGGATCGCTGTAAGCAAGGTTACAGTTGATGCCTCCTCGAGAAGCATATGGGGTGATACTTAGGATTGGGATCGCTGTAAGCAAGGTTACAGTTGATGCCTCCTCGAGAAGCATATGGGGCCTGTTGGGCTGAGAAAAGCCCTTAGGATCTTTTCCAGAGACTAAGTCCCAGCTGTAAAGACTTGAGACTTTGAGTAGTGCAGCGGAAGTTGAGGCAGTTGAACCCTTGTACTAGTATGTGAGAACAAGTGATTGATTAAAGAAACAAGCATACAGCAATATATAGAAGATAAGAAAGCAGTTGCAGAGTACAGTTACAGGAATGGTTTATCGAGTCGCATAGCGACTCGATTGCCGCTTCGGTTACCATCCGTGATGCTGTAACGGTCAGTCGCAACCTCCAGTTGCGACCTTTCGGGTCTTTTCGCATTCTTTGTCCGCCCCCTCGTGTAACCTCCGTTGACTCGCGTGCTCCCCTGTAGTCTTCATCGAGTGTAGTGTTACACTTCAGAAACGCTTAAGTTCTTTGAGATATTTCCAACACTCCCCTTCGTTTCTGGAGTGCTGTCATGTTCGGGTCTGGTGACGTTTGTTTGCCCGGTCAGGAGCATGCAGTAGTCGAATTTTGCTTTCGCCAATTTCTTCGTCAGGTAGTCTGCGGCCATTTCTGTCGTCGGGCAGTAACTGAGTTGAAGTCTCCCCTTCGCGATTTCATCCTTGACGAAGAAGTACCGCAGGGCGATGTGCTTGGTTCGGTTGGCGAAGCCGTCCTTGTTTGCGATTTTGATCGCAGATTGGTTGTCGCAGAGGAGTGAGAAGGCGGGCAGGGTCGCAATCTTCGCTTCCTCGAGTAACTCTCGTAGATAGAGTCCTTCCTTGGTCGCAGTACAAAGGGCGATATACTCTGCTTCGGCCGAGGATAGTGCGATTAACTCCTGTTTGCTCGACTGCCAGGAGATAGTTCCGATAGGTTCTAGTCGGTAGATGTAGCCCGTCCTAGACCGTCGATTTTCGCTGTCTCCCGCGTGGTCGGCGTCGACGTATCCGAGTAGTCGTACGGACGGTGTTGTGGCCTTGCTGTAGGTGAGCCCGATCGTCGGCGTGGAGACGAAGTAGAGTAGCGCTCGATTGAGTTCCTCGAGATCTTCCTGTTTCGGCTGCTTCAGATGTGTCGCCAACTGACTCGCACTATAGGACAGGTCGGGTCGGCAGGTTACTGATGCGAATAGTAGGCAGCCGAGCTTCTGTTGATACTCCTGGATTTGTTTCGCGGGGAGTTTTGTAGAGGCGCTGCTGTTGTTCCCGTAGCGGTAGGGAGTTGGGACCGCAGTCGGTGTTAGACCGAATTTCTTCGCGACGGTGCTTGAGTACTTTCCAGCGTGTAGGTAGAACGCCGTGTCGTCTTCGACGACGTTCAGTCCTAGGTACTGCGTAACTTCGTCGGACACCGTGAGAGTTAAATCTTATTTCAGCTCCCCTTCGAACCAGGTGGCGATGTCGGTAGTGGAGCCGATGTAGAGCAGGTCGTCGACGTAGACGATGAGCAGAACATACTCTCTTCCCTTCTGCAGTCGGTACATCCCTTGGTCATGCGGCAGCTGTAGGAAGCCGATTTTTACGAGACGGCTGTGAAGATGCTGCTGCCAGAGCCGCGGGGCTTGCTTGATCCCGTATAGGGATTTTGTCAGTCGGCATATTTTCGTGGGGTCGTCGATGAATCCGTGGGGTTGTTCGACGAAGATCTCAGCGTCCACAGGTGCGTATAGGAACGCATTCGCGACATCGATTTGGCGTAGTGGTAGTGTTTTTGTGGCCGCGACGGCGAGTAGGATGCGTAATGAGGTGTGACGGGAGACTGGAGCGAAGGTTTCTGTGTAGTCGGTTCCGTATCGTTGATCGAAGCCTCGTACGACCCATCGAGCTTTGAATCGTTCGATGGAGCCGTCTGAGTTGGTCTTGATGCGGTACACCCATTTCCCCGAGAGAACGTTCTTCCCGTTGATGCTCGTTGCAGGTACCAGTTTCCATGTTTCTCGGTCTTGCAGAGCTTTTAACTCCTTTTCCATCGCTTCTTTCCATTTTGCCTTATGTTCCCCCCCCAGAGCCTGCGACAAGGTTGAAGGCTCACGCGTAGAAGGCGGCGGCGGATGCTGGACGGAGACCCAGAGGCCTAGAATCTGGAGTCCCGTGGGTGTGTGTCGAGGGGAATTGTCATTCCCGGAATAAGCTGCTTCGTCACCGTCTTCGGGGTCAGGTAAGAAATTGGGGCCGATGCGTTCCGAAATATTCGTGTCGACGGGGTGAGGTGTAGCGTAACCTTGGTCGGCGAAGTGGTAAAAGGTGTCGAGGTTGTTGCTATCGAGGGGATTATCTTAATCGAGTGGAACAGGTACGGAACAGAATGGGAGTGGCCCGGCAGCTTCCGAGGCTCCAGGTACGTCTTCTTTCGGCTGCGTCAGCTTCGGTAGCACGATCGGCGAAGGAACGAAGTCCCGAGAGGCCGTCGGTGGGGTCTTGTGTGTTGGCAAGGTTGTCCAGGTAATGCTGCAGAGTCAGTCGTTCGTAGAAGATAACGTCTCGTGATGCCACCGTGTTTTTGTCTTGTATGTCGAGAATTTTCCACGCGTGAAAATGTTTCGCGATGCCGAGGTGGAGTCCCCACCGAGCTCGTTGTGTGAAGCGTCCTGCTCGGGCTGTGTGGGGTCTGTACTGTACCATGCAGCCAAAGACTCTGAGTAATTTTGTGCTGCCCCTTTTTCTTGTCCACAATAGGTGCGGTGATGCGTTGTTGGGAAGTGATGACGAGGACAGCAGGTTGTGCAGTTGAACAGCATGTGTCATCGCGTCTGGCCACAGTGTGGTTGGCAGTCGCATCCCCTGAAGCAGTTTTCGCATCGTCGTCTGCAAGGTCCGATTCATGCGTTCTGCTACCCCCTGCTGTTGGTGAGCATAGGGCAGGGACACCAGGCGTCTGATTCCCCTTTCCGCCAGATAGGTCCTGAAGCGTTGTGACTGGTATTCCAGTGCACCGTCTGACTGGAAGCTCTTGAGTTTGAGTCCTGATTCTCGTTCGGCGATGGGGAGCCATGTTGTGAAGGCTTCGAAGGCTTGGTCGCGCGTTTTGAGATTGAAGTGCCAGACATATCTGGTTGCGGCGTCGATGAAAGTTATGACGTAGTTAAAGTCGGCTTCGGCGTCGTCTCGAGGCATGTTTAAAATATCGCTGTAGACTTTTTCCATCGGAGCGTAAGTAGGTGCGCTCGGATTGTGATGGGATGGAAAAGGTTGATGAGGAAGATCTGCTTCGGGGCATGTGAAGCACCGTGCGCGTGGTCGTCGAAGTTCTTGACCGCTCGTCGTCAGAAGGGCGTTGCGTTCTAACACTTCTGCTTGGATTGTTTGAAGTATTGTGCTGTTTGCAGGGTGTCCGAGGCGTTGGTGCCAGATGTCGTCGGGAGCACGGTGACCGGGCGAGCGGTGGTAGATGTCGGCGTTGGAGAAGAACGCGACGACTGAGGCGGGACTTCGACAAGCTTCTCGTGTGGCGGGCATAAGTTGGTCTGCTTCCGTTGGCGGTCCTCGTGTTGATGGTGGTGGTACTCGGCTGGGTCCTGCTGCCGATACTGCAGGTGATGGTTTTGTTGGGACACTTGCGGGTACTTGTCTTTCTTGTCTGATAACTGCTAATGCTCGTGTTCTCTCTGCTGCAGGTATGGTGTTGGAGTGCCAGAAGCCGTCACTGTCGAAGTCGGGATCAAGATCCGGCGGGTGAGTCCAGGCGGCGAACGATACGATGCCATCGCTGTCGGCAGTTCCGCGGTCGGGGACGAAGTCCAACACGAAGACACCGGACTTCAGGAGGGCACGACCGATGAAGAGGCCGCCCTTCCCGTGGTAAAGCCGGAACTCGTTGGAGTAAGAGTCGCACTCCAGGTGAATCCCTTTGGCCATTAGTTGGCTTACGCTTAGTAGATTGTATCCCAGGTTGTCGACAATGAGCACTTTGTTGAGCTGCAGTATTACGTTTGTTTCCATGGATTGTAACTGAACCACGCCTTGTCTGTTTGTCTTCAGGTTTTCGTTGTTGGCGACTGTGATGACGACGTCGCGGTTGAGTCGTTTCTCCTGTTGCACGAAGCGTCCCGAGGAGCACATGTGTTGACCGCATCAGCTATCCAAGAACCAGGTGTTTCGCCCGGTGGGTTCGGCGTTGGCGACTGCAGCGTATGTCGGGTTGACCTGAAGTCCTTGCGAGCGCGGCGGCGGGAATTCCTCTTCGTCTGGTGCGTAAGTGGGTGGTGAACCGGGTGCGCAGTTGTCGATGTGTACCATGCAGTTGATGATGTTTGGTGTTTGTTGTGCAGATGTTGAAGAGCGCCTTGGGGGACTTGCTTGGGTTGAGGCGACTTGTGGGTCTGCTGGACGGTAAACGCGAGGGCGGTTGCAGTTGACCTTGGAGTGCCCGGAAGTCTGACAGTTGTGGCAGAACGGCGGCACGAAGGTAGTCCCTCTGTTGTCGTGCTCTTGCTTGCCGCGTCGGTTGTGGTTGTTGTCATTTCTTCGTTGAGTGTAGAAGACTAACTGCTGTTGCTTCCTTGGTTGTCTTTCCTCGAACAGATCCATCTCCTGTTGTTCAGCATGGAGCTCGGCGCAGAGGTGCATCTCCGAAATTCTTCCGTGGGCGCGAAGAAGTGATCGTGTGGTTCTCCATTCTGGCCCGAGCCCGGCGAGGACAAGTGTCACGAAGCTTTCTTCAGTGATTGTTCCTCCGCACCGAAGCAGGCGGTTGCGGAGAGTCTGGCAGCGACTCATATATTGCATTGCCTTTTCCCCGGTCTTCATCTGTATTGTTGTCAGTTGTTGCATGAGTCTGCTTTGCGTCACGCTGTCGTTTGCTTGATAAAGGCACTTGAGATGATGCCATGCGAGTTCCGCGGAGTTCCCATAGCTCCGATATGTTCTGATGCTCTGCTGCTCTTGTGGTGACAGGTTCCGCAGGAGGACTGTATACGCCAGTAGCGACTGATACGTGAAGATCTCTTGTTCCTTTCCAGTGCCGTTGCTTGGGAATGGCAGGGACCCGTTGAAGTATCCCAGAAGATGCGCGGCCTCCATCAGTAGCTCGAACTCGAAGCTCCAGCTAAAGAAGTCGTGTCCGTTGAACGGTGAGGATGTTTGTAACTTGATGACGTGTGAGAATTGAGCCTGAAGACTGAGAATCTCGTTTGGTGTTTGTTGTGATGCAGCTGCTGTTGGTTGGGCGCGGGGCGGCATGAACTCGAACGTCCCCGGTGAAGAGTGATAAGGCGCAAAAGTAGGTGCTTGATTGTGTCGCCCGAAGGATGAGTTGTCGAGGCTCATCGGCGCTAATCCCATATTCCCTCCATTGCTCTGTGTTGAGTGCGCAGGTGTCCTTGTCTGCTGCTGCTGGTCGAAGTGTGACATGAAGCTGAAGAATCTCTCCATGAGATTCGGGTCCACACTTGAAGAGGGAGACGGAGTCACCATCTCAGGTGCTCTTCCCGTTGTTTCTTGAGCAGTCCCGGTCTCTGTCTGCAGTCCTGAGGTGTGCAGACCAGAGTTGCCGTGTTGAGTTTCTTGGGCGCTGGGTGAGCCCGTAGAGACTTTCTTGCCCTTGCTGTCCATGTCTTGTAATCAATGAAGTCGTTGAATTGAGTTGAGTTGCAGGTCGTTGATGGAGCGTAGTTGCTGGGAGTTTGGTCTCTGACCAGCTCTCATACCATGTTGGGCTGAGAAAAGCCCTTAGGATCTTTTCCAGAGACTAAGTCCCAGCTGTAAAGACTTGAGACTTTGAGTAGTGCAGCGGAAGTTGAGGCAGTTGAACCCTTGTACTAGTATGTGAGAACAAGTGGTTGATTAAAGAAACAAGCATACAGCAATATATAGAAGATAAGAAAGCAGTTGCAGAGTACAGTTACAGGAACGGTTTATCGAGTCGCATAGCGACTCGATTGCCGCTTCGGTTACCATCCGTGATGCTGTAACGGTCAGTCGCAACCTCCAGTTGCGACCTTTCGGGTCTTTTCGCATTCTTTGTCCGCCCCCTCGTGTAACCTCCGTTGACTCGCGTGCTCCCCTGTAGTCTTCATCGAGTGTAGTGTTACACTTCAGAAACGCTTAAGTTCTTTGAGATATTTCCAACAGGGCCTCTACAGGTTTTTTTTTCGCTCCATCCCCAAACCACAGTACAGTGATTGGACAAGGGCGACCGCCTAGCAAGTGTCATCCCACTTCGGGTAAAAAGATCGACAGTCGGGATCAGCAAACGCCAGCAATTGTGCTGATGTGTAAAACACAAAGTGTCGAGAGAGCATGACACATGCTAGGAATTGCCCTTAAAGTTCGCAATTCGAAGGTTACCTCAAAATGGGCAACCCTCGAAGCACCCCTCATTTCTAGGCAAAAACCTCTTAAAAATGTGATTGTGAAAGTTCATGACCCATGATTATATTGAGGTTTCGTTGGGGGACGAGGCTTGCGAGATGGCCTCGAGCCTACCACTCAATGGTATACAATATGATGTTTTTATGACCCCGAAGGCTGGATACCTAATTTGTTTTGTCTACGAATTAGTGCTTTGGAATATCGTGTAGATAGTTGTATAGCATATCGGAGTTCCTATAATCATGATGGATTCGCTGATCATGTAGGGCCGCTCACGACCCTGTTTTCCAGAGTTGCGGGCCCTCGAGGTCGGGGATTACAGGGGTTTCAAAGAGATTTTCGTAGGCTATTGAGTTTTTCAGTACGGTAAAACGTCCATTCGTCGACCCTGGAAAAGGGGTCGTGTACTGCGGCGTTGTTTGTACTGAACTGTAGAATAGAACATCTTTGAGGGCCTGACCCGCGCGTACGTCTGATTGCGGTTGGGAAGATTTTATGGTGAGGAACGTACCCGCGGGACGCCCTGATACTGTATGGTAGCGACGCCCTTCACTGCTTTGGTCGGTGGACTGTCGGCCCTCTACCCCTGACCGACTGTGATGTTGCTCCAGCAGACCCGAGCGTCGGGAAGAAAAATATCGAAACCTAATAAAACACCGCATTTGTGTAATACACAATGCATTTGTGTACATTCGAAACGAATGATATGGTTGAGTCGTAAGGATGTGTCGAAATGCTGTGACTCGAAATGCGTGTTCCCAACCTCCTTTTTTCGTTTGCCCGAAGTGAAAGCCTGCCTTCTGCTCTCGCCATCCGCCTTGGACCACGCGCTTCTCTCCACCCCAACCCCTTCCGCGTGCCTGTGGACGAGTGGGAGGGAGGGGGGAAACTCCGTGGCGACTTATCGAGACAGTCAGAAGTGCTGAATTGTAGCAGTTGCTGGGTTGCTTGATTTGTTTGTGCCTCGAATTTCTGGCAGCCCTTCCTTATTGGGTGGATGCCCGTTTGGCGCGCCACTGACCAGGTGTCACGTGATGCGTTTCCGCAATTGGCTGCTCCGCACCTCTCGGCGCCTTTTTTGTCTATCCTCTGACAAATTTGTTTTTACGGGCAACGTGTCTTGTCGTTTTGCATTTCTTTCACGCGCTCTTTCTTGCCCTAGCGGAATTCTCCCCGTGTTTCTCATCTCCCCCCATGGGACAAACCGCCGCCAAATCTCCTCTGCTCGCCTTACCTCCCCCTTCTGCTCGTTCCCCCAAACCAAGCATCACCCACTTGTTCCCCCCCAACCTTTCCGCAATCCCCCCAATCTTTCGCGATTCCCTCCCAGGGTTTCGCAATTCACTCCCAGCGTTTCGCAATCCCCCCCAGCCTTTCGCAAGCACCCCCCATATCCCCTCCCCCAGTCCTCCCCCCCGAACCCTCTCCCCCCCCCGTCTCTGCGTCTGCCCACCCCGCTGTCCCACCCGCCATCAGCATCAACGCGCCAAGCATCGCCCCTGCCACTGCAGTGAGAAATGAGGAGCAAGCCTTGTCCCGAAGGGACCCTTGCACTCTCTTTCTGCTCGCTCGCCCTTTCATGTCCACTCATGGCTTGCCTTGCATCCGTCCTGTCCTTGCGACCAGGTGCTCGCTAGGTTTTTCGCCATCTCGGACGATCCGGGACCCTCGAGAAATCGCCTTGTAAAATCCGTCCCCGTAATAAAATTACCCTGATTCTTCAGGGTCCGTGCTAAAAATGGCCTGATAGGTTATAACTCATCTTTGCTGAACAAGATAGTGAGGGTGCCAGTTGGTGACTTCCGGGTGGGAAACCCGCCCCCTCGCCGGCACCTATGCTGCAGATGAATCACGCATGTGAGGTCATTTCGGCCGAGGGGCTGGGAAGAAAGGGGGTTTGGTGGGAGGGATGGGGCGAGTTTGAGTGGCGTGAACAATTGTTCCAGGCAGCTCATTTTAAAACTACCGCTAAACTAAGGGTAGGATGGGAAGAGTGGGGCTAAGGGTTAAAGGGAAGGACGGGGAGTTTGACAGATTCCTAAACCCCTGGAGGCTAACTAGACGTCCGGCCCCCCTCAAAATCCCCCGGGACTCCTACGGGCCGATAGATAAATCCCCCTGATTCTCTCAGGGATGGCTTGAGAAAAGTTCTGGAAAACAGGGTCAGCCTAAACAATTACCCTGTTAACTTGTGCCCTGCTTGCCATGTGCCTCTTGCCCCGCCCTGCCCTGCCTCCAGCCATGGCGTTTTTCTGGCGAGCCCCAGCTAGCATTTTGAGTCGTCGTCCTGACATCGTAAGTCGTGGCATGTTTGCAAGCAAGGTGTACGACGTGCCAAAGTGTGTCCACGTTCTCTCCCTGCTCCCTGCGTGTGTGTTTCTTAGGGCAGTGTGACTTGGCACCAAGATAATGTAAGACTCTTTACGCGCTCCTTCTCGCGTCTCCCCTCTACCACACTCCGCTTCTTCCACCATCGGAGCTCCTACGAACCTATGGTAGCTTCCGTTCTTCGAGGCGCCTTAGAACGATCGATGCCACTCTTCGCGAGCCTCGGTGTTGCTCCTCCGGCTTAAATACATTTATGTACGTTCCATAGTTCGTAGCTCCAGAAGGCCCCAGTATATAGCAGGATACTCGGAGCTCCGAGCCGTAATTCCGCCGGTCTGGTGGGTTCCAAGTGAATTATTTCACCCGTCCCTGTGCCGGCAGGCATCCGATAATATAATTTTAAGACGCCTCAGATCTAGCGAGAGGGCTGAAATAGCAGTAGGCCGCACTCCAGCAGTTGCGCGTATATAAAAATTGCACCCGCCCGCGTGTAGAATATCACCCACCGGTGGCTGCAGGGCCGCCATAACCATGTCGGTAATCCCGATGTCGCCGTCGACGACGGTGGCTGTGCCGTCCGCTGCCGTGTCGCTTGCGCCTCCGAAGTCGTCCAAGCCGGTCGTCGCACCCTCTGCGTCGCTGGTGTCGCAAAGGTCGTCGCTGGCGTCGCAGAAGGCGTCGCTGGCGGCGGACGTGGTGGGCGACGTGTGGAAGGCGGATTGGTACGTGGCGCACTGCTACAAGATCCCCGCCATGGCGCAACTCAACCTCGTGCTCTCGCAGGTGAGGCTTCATCGCAGGACGAAGGATGGAATCACGAGGTAAGCAAACTGACTTTTGAGTCGGCTCACAAGTCGCTTCGTCGCAGGACGAAGACTGCAATTACTATGAGAGGAAGAGAATCACGTGCAGGTTGGCAGGTGGTGATGGTACGTGGCGCACTGCTTCAAGATCCCCGCCATCGCCACGCGTGTGTCGCTTGCAGAGCAAGCTGTGTCCAAACGGACCGGCGCAACTGAACCTCGTGCTAACGAACCTCGTGCCGTCGGTGACGGTGAAGAAAAGGCTTTGCGCGAATAGGCTTTGCGTGAAGAAAAGGGAGGCGCTTTGCGCGATGCAAAGCCCATCCGACGCAAACCAGCCGACTGGTGCGTCAAATAGACTGGTCCTTCTTCCATTCATCACTTACCTCGTCTCCGCTTCCGCCGTATCCGCTTCCCCCCCTCTTCCCCCCTCCCCTAGGTGGCGCAAGCACCCACGCGGAGCGACATAAGCCTCCCCAGCAGCGGCACCGCCGACCTAAAGCGCTTTCACCGCGACCTGGCGGAGTTAATCTCCTCGGCGGAGTTCGCGGGGAAGCAGATGAGCGTCTTTCTGCACGCCGTGCAGTCCACCGCGTCGGGCCTTCAGAAGGACATCGCGAAGCGCCTCGCGAACGAGAATCCGTCCGTGTTGCGAAATTCGCGAAGGTGGTTTCCGAGATTTCCCTCGGGGGGAGTAGACGAGTCGACTGTAGCTGCAGCGCTAGCGACGTCGGGGGGGGTTGCTTCTGCGGTTTCAGGTGCGGCGGCCAGCGGACGGGAGTCGGCGGACGTTAGGGGTCATGATGACGGAAAGGGTGGCGTGCTCGCGAGCCAAACGGACCGTACCGTCGTCGTTCCCGGCGATAGTACTGCTCAAACCGCTGGACACAGTGACAGTAGCGAAGCTATCCGGAATCTTCGTCTTTGGGCCGAATCGAACCGGGAATGCTTCAGCGCTACTTTCGCGTCCGCGCATCCGCCGTCGTCCGACCGTCAGACGTTGGCCAAGTCGCCGTCTAAACGGACGTTCGCGGCTCGGCTGCGCTCCCGGTCGATGAGCGGAGTGACGGCGGCGGCGGCTCTGTTCCGCTCCCCCGAGAACGCGGTTGCGCGCAGCAAAGATTCCGCCTCTGCGCGGGGAGCGGGAGGAGCAGCGGAAGCGGGGGAGACAATGGAGCCGGCGGAGGGGGTAGGCGCAAGAAACGAAGTCCGCAGTTCGAGTCCCTTCTCCTTCCGCGTCTCCCCGCCGTCCCCGCTCCTAGTGGGGGAAGCGGAGGCGGAAGCGGAAGGGGACGAAAGGGGGGGTTTACGGGGAGGAAGGGAGGGGGGGGGAGCGGGAGGGGCGGGGGGAGCGGGGGCTCTCCGCGGGTTCTTGCTGTGCAGGCGGGGAATGCGGAGTGATAGCGAATCGGGGACAAGCAGCAGCTGCCCCGAGGGGGAAACGGGAGAGGGGGAAGCGGGTCAAGACGGGGGGAAGCGGGAGGTTGGGGAGCGAGACGACTGGAAAGGGGAAGGCGCGGAAAGGGGAGCGCGGGGAAAGATGGCAGGGGGAATTGCGGGAAGCGGAAGTGCGGAGGAGGCGGGGAGAGAGCATGGGGGAACAGGGGCGGAGAGTTCAAGGGGAGATTTAAACAGTACCAGGGAATTGGATTCGCTAAAGGATACCCAATCAGATACCAATGTTTTCCGGGCAGCAGAAACAAACAGCGTTGCTTCCCGCCATGACCGCGGCAGCATGTCTCTGCCACGTGCTGTCACGTCAGCAGAGGCGCTCTTCCCGTCATCCACGTCAGCAGCAGTCTCTGCCACGTCATCAGGAAGAGGGGGGGGCGCGGGAGGTAGAGCAGGGGACGTCTACGGTCCGCGCTTAACTAAGAGCCGGTCGGTAGCAGTAGAACGTAACAGACACAGTTACAGCAGCGCCAGCAGCAGGGGGGAAGGGGGAAAGAAAGGGGGACGGGAGAAGGGGGAAGGCGGAGCGGAAGGGAGAGTGGGAGGGGAAGGCGGGAAAAGGGCGGGAAAACCGCCCCCTAAGAGCAGTCACGAGCGCTTACAGGAGATTCTAAAGAATGTGACTATAGGGGGTACTAGAGGAGGGCCGTTACAGATGGCGCGAGGGGCTATAGCGAGGGGGGGAGCTGGGGGGAGCTTACTGGGGGGAACGGGGGGGGGCTGGGCGTCTGCAGGGGGGATGGGGAGTCCGCGCGTGTGGGAGGGAATGGACGGCCAGGATCGCATCTCGAGATTCCCCAGGGGAATGTCAGTGGTAGAGAGAGGGGAGAGGGGGGAGGGGGCGGAAGGAGAAAGGGGGGCTGCAGGGGGCGGCGGAAGGGGGGCCGCAGGGGGAGCCAGGCGGATGATGCCCACGTCTCTCTCTGTGGTGTCGCGGAGAGGGAGTGAGTGGGGGGAGGAGGAGATGGGGGAGGGGTGGGCGGAAGGGGAAGAGGAGCAGGAGGAAGGGGGAGGGGAGGGGGGAGGGGGGAGCAGTGCCAGTAGCCAGTCACCGCGGCCCCTTGTGTCCCCCTCTGGTCCTGCTGTGTCCCCCAAGCGCCCGGCACTGTCGCGGGCGAAGCTACAGCAGGAGGAGCTGCTGCTACAGCTGCTGCGGTCCACACCCCCCATTCGGTGGACTCTGGCCAGTGAGGGAAAGCCAGGGGGAAATGCAGGAAAAGGCTGAGGGGACCTGAAGCTATGTCAGCAGGAGAAGCTGCTTCTGCTACAGCTGCTGCGCTCAACACCCCCCTTACGGTGGTCTCTCGCTCCAGAAGGGAGTGCTACAGAACGGACCGGGGGGGGGGTCTGAGTGTTTCAAAAAGACAGCAGGAGCAGCTGCTGCTACGGCTGCTGCTACATGCAGTCAACACCACCCTTACGGTGGACTCTCGCCCCAAAAGGGGGTTCTCTGGGGAGGGGGCAGACGCCAGGCGGGGGACAGGGAGGGGGTGAGAAGCCGCAGCAGCAGGAGTAGCTGCTACAGCTGCTGCGGTCCACACCCCCCCTTCGGTGGACTCTGGCCAGTGAGGGAAAGACGGGGGGAAATGCAGGAAGAAATGCAGAGAAAGGCTGAGAGGCTTTGAAACTACAGCAGGAGGAGCTGCTGCTACAGCTGCTGCGGTCAACACCCCGGTACAGTGGCCTCGTGGTAGAGGGAAAGATTGGAGAAAATGCAGGGAAAGGAATCCATTTTGGAGGCGTCCGAAAAATGGAGTGCTGCACCTGCTGTGCCCTTCACCCGTCATACGGTAGCCTCGTGGCAGAGGGAACGATTGGGGAAAATGCAGGGAAAGGTTGAAGGGCCTCTAAGCTGCTGCTACAACAGCTACTACAGCTGCTACAGCTGCTACTACAGCTGCTACTACAGCTGTTGCTGTAGCTCCAAACCCCCCACTTGGTGACTCTTATCTAATGGCAGTCTACACCAATGCTCACACAGATGTACCAATATGCATGTGCTGCGCGCATTGGCAGGGAGTTTAGGCAGGCCGCCTGAATGCTTATGGCTTCCAAACCAAGCCAAGCAGCGTATCAATACTGTTACAAAGGAGGGGACGGTCTTGTACCGTAGGGTGCATCCATCCACCAGACGAGAGTACCATGGTGTGGTGATCGTAGAATCTGTGAACAGTACAACATGTTAAATTAGGAACTGGGACGCCATGAAAGTGACATGAGGTTTTAGCTAGGAGCTAGGCGAGAGAGAGTTGACGAGAGAAAAGAGAGTTGGACAAGAAAGAGAGGGATACAGGGAGGGGATTGCACCCTCTACAGTTGAGTCCGGTAACCTACCAAGCCTAACAATTATATAACACATTGAGAAAGTTCGCTACTTGTAGTGCAAATGGCATCGTTCTCATTCCACTGGCATCAAGTACAAAGAGTTCCCAATATATTCATATATCAGCATAAGCTTTCTACACTAGGAAGAACATGATGATGATCCACCGAAGCGGTGCTTGTTGTCGAGGGTAGACGAAGCGGGTTGTGTCAAACATGTGTATTTGTCATGTTTGTATAGACTGTATAGGGTCGCCTCTTAGAGGATACAACACTTAGGTATATCTGTTTGTACTCTCACTCTATTATCATTCACTTCTTCAATTTCTGATATGGTATCACGCGTAGGTAGGATCCCCCCCACCTACCGCTTCCGCTCGCCCCCCCCTAGCCCCGTCGCGACCCCCCCTAGCCCCGTCGCGCCCCTCCCTGGGCCCCGTCGCGCCCCTTCCCGGGCCCCGTCGCGCCCCTCCCAGGCCCCGTCGTGCCCCTCCTGGGCCCCGTCGCGCTCCTCCTAGGCCCCGTACCGCCCCTCCTGGGCCTCGTCGCGCCACTCCTGGGCTCCGTAGCGCCCCTCCTGGGCCTCGTCGCGCCCCTCCCAGGCCCCGTAGCGCCCCTCCTGGGCCCCGTAGCGCCCCTCCTGGGCCCCGTCGCGCCCTTTCTGGGTCCTGTAGCGCCCCTCCTGGGCCCCGTCGCGCCCCTCCCAGGCCCCGTAGCGCCCCTCCTGGGTCCCGTCGCGCCCCTCCGAGGCCCCGTAGCGCCCCTCCTGGGCCCCGTCGCGCCCCTCCCAGGCCCCGTAGCGCCCCTCCTGGGCCCCGTCGCGCCCCTCCTGGGCCCCGTAGCGCCCCTCCTGGGCCCCGTCGCGCCCCTCCCAGGCCCCGTAACGCCCCTCCTGGGCCCCGTAGCGCCCCTCCTGGGCCCCGTCGCGCCCTTTCTGGGTCCTGTAGCGCCCCTCCTGGGCCCCGTTGCGCCCCTCCCAGGCCCCGTAGCGCCCCTCCTGGGTCCCGTCGCGCCCCTCCCAGGCCCCCGTCTGTTCCGGCCTCGTGCCTTGACGCCCTGGTCGCTGCTGTCGCTGACTTCGCCTCTTCCCGCCGCCTTGACTACGTCTCCGCTCTGGTCTCTGACCCTGCCTGTCCTCCGTCTGTCAGGGGTGCTCCTGCCCTTGGCAGTGACGTCCTGGAGGACCGCCAGTTCGAGCTTGCCTTCCTCTCCGAGGCTGCTCCCCATCTCTGTTCCATGCTGCTAGTCCCTGAGGGTGACCCAGACGCTTTTGACATCCTGACCCCTCGCACTTACGCTGAGGCGACCTCGGGACCCTGGGTGTCACAGGATCGAATGTGTCGAGGAAAGGTTGCACTATCGATCGGTACAAGGCGCTTTTATACTTCCAGAGTACATCAGGTAACCAGGTTTATCTTATCCTAAGGGAATAGACCCTTCTAGAAGATAGAATCACCCTGCGTATAGCCACGTGAGGCTATTGGCTTTAAGGGATTACGGCAGGATTACGCTGGATAACGTCTCTAGTACATTCCATGCCTGGTCGGTGATATAATTATAATAAAGGAAGAGACCAAAGGATAATGGAAAATGGAAAATAGGAAACCAAATGAGATGCGGTAAAACGAGAAATGAAAAGGGAAGGAAATAAGAAAAGGCCAAGTGGTGTAACGGGGTCGTACTCTCACACGTCCCCCCCTCAAAGCTGGGTGGTAGAAGTAACACCCTGCTTGACAAGGTAGTCATGCAGAGGACGACGGGCGTTACCCATGTCGGACTCAGGTACCCAGCTGTCCTCAGAAGGATCATAACCCTTCCAACGGATAAGAAGCTCCACGGTGCCATTCCGACGACGGCGGTGTGCGAGCACGGACTCGAATGTCAAGGAGGCGCTTATGGGTCCGATCCCAAAGTTGATGCATGGTTGTAATGAAATCATGTGCGGGTTGGACGGTAGGTGATGCTGTCGGTTTTTGTGGTGTGAGTGGGTGGCGTCCGTAGCAGAGGAAGAACGGCGTCTGTCCAGTAGCGGCATGTGTGGCATTGTTGTAAGCAAACTCGAGTACGGGCAGGTGCAAGTCCCATTTGGAGATGTCGTCCTTGCAGGCTGCTCGGAGGAGTTGCTCAACAATTTGGTTGAGGCGCTCGGTCTGTCCGTCTGTCTGCGGATGGTATGCGGATGACATGGCGAGTTTGGTGCCGAGCAGAGACATAAGTTCCTTCCAGAACTTGCTAGTGAACTTGGGGTCTCGGTCGGAGATGAGTGTAGTTGGGATGCCATGCTGTGAGATGATGTGACGAACGAAGAGCTGTGCTGTCTCCTCGGTGCGTGCCGTCGTGTGTGTCGGGATGAAGTGTCCCATTTTGGAGAACTTGTCAATGACGACAAGGATGGCGTCATGACCGCTGGAGGTAGGTGGTAACCCGGTAATGAAGTCCAGGCTAACCACTTGCCATGGTTGTTCTGGGACAGGAAGAGGCTGCAGTAGTCCCGCCTTTTTCTGCTTGCTGCTCTTCATCCGCTGACATGTATCACACGAGGTGACGAATTTCTGGACGTCGTCTGCCATATGGGGCCAGTAGTAGTGTTTGGCGATACCGGTGAGCGTCTTGTTGCTACCGAAGTGTCCGGCGTACAGGACGTCGTGGTATTCTTCGAGTAGTAACTGGCGCAAAGGAGGGTAATTGGGTACCCAGATTTTTGTTGATCCTTTCCGGTACGCGATGTCACTGTCCCACTGTAGCAGATGTCGCTTTTCTGCCAAGGAAATTTCGGGGTCGATGGCGTACCCGTGGGTGAAGAGTCCCTTGAGTAGTGGATTCATCCCTTCGACCTGAATCGCGGCAACGTGTGCAAGCCGGCTGAGAGCGTCTGCTTTGTTCTTGTGGCCGGGCTTGTACACGATGTCGTAGTGGAAGTGTGTCTCGAGGAAGTCGATCCACCGGACCTGCCGCCTGGAAAGGTTGGGTTGTGTCTTTAAATATTTCAGGCTGCAGTGGTCGGTGTAGACGGTCGTTCTTCGTCCTTCGAGATAGCATCTCCACGCTTTGAAGGCGATGATGATAGCAAGAGCCTCTTTGTCGTGTATCGGGTAGTTGAGTTCTGCCCCGTGCAGTTTCTTGCTGAGGTAGGCAATTGGTTGCAGTCCATTCCCCTGGTCTTGCATCAAGACTGCACCCACGGCCTGATCACTGGCGTCTGCTTCAATGACGTAGTCACGTTCGGGATATGGCAAGATGAGCACCGGTGCGGACGTTAGTGCTTGTTTCAGCTGCTCCACGGCTTCCTGGTGCTTTGTCTCCCATTTGTAGGGCGTGTTCTTCTTCAGCAGATTCGTGAGTGGTGTCGCGAGTTTCGCATACTGTGGCACGAACCTGTTGTAGTAATTAGCGAAGCCTAGGAACTGCTGCAACTCCTTCACGTTCTCGGGTGTCTTCCACGTACGTACGGCTTCGACTTTCTTGGGGTCGACGTGAACTCCTTGAGCGCTCACCAAGTGTCCTAGAAATTGGACTTTCTCCAGGGCGAATTCGCTCTTGGACAGTTTGACGTAGAATCGTTCTCGTCGAAGAATTTCGAAGACGCGTCGCAGGTGTTCGACGTGCTGCTTCATGTCGCGCGAGTAGATGAGTATGTCGTCCAGGTACACCACCACGCATTCGTCCAGAAGTGGTCGTAGAATGTGGTTCATTTCGGCTTGGAACGTTGCCGGCGCGTTGGTGAGTCCGAACGGCATGACCAAATACTCGTACGATCCGTACCGAGTTCGAAAAGCAGTTTTGTGGATAGAGTTGTCCGCCATCCGTATCTGCCAGTATCCGGACCGCAGATCCAGTTTGGAAAATACCGTAGCTCCCCGAAGCTGGTCAAGCAGGTCATCGATTCGCGGTATCGGATATTTATTCTTGATGGTCTGCTTGTTAAGAGCTCGGTAGTCGATGCACATGCGCAGGCTTCCGTCCGGTTTCGGTGTGAAGAGTACTGGGGCACCGTATGGCGAAGTAGATGGTCGGATGAGTCCTTTGGCTAGGAGATACTCGATCTGCTTCTTCATGTCGGTCAGCTCCGTAGGGCTGAGCCGGTATGGTGCTCGGAAGGTCGGCTTCGAACCCGGTTCCTCCACGATCTCGTGTTGATGCGTTCGGTATGGCGGTAGCTCGTTCGGAAGATCGTCAGGAAGAATGTCTTGGAACTCCTTCAGTAATTCCTTGATTTTTTCTGGAGTTTCCGAGGCTTTCTCTCCGTCATTCTCCACCTCTGTTGCTATCGCCAGGAACCCGGTGTCGGTCCGCTTCACATCCTTCTCGAATCGTGCGAGTGTCTCCACTGGGATATCTCCTGTATCGTCCCAGTTGGGTAGCTGTACTCTCCGTCCATTGTTGTAGATGCTTGCGGTGCGGTTCACCCAGTTGATCTCGGGGTTGAATTTTTTCAGGAAGTCTCGCCCGAAGATCAAGTCAAGCCCTTTGATGTTGGTGATGGGGAGTGCAGGTCTCCAGCGCAGTGGTCCGATTTGTAGATGTAGCACTGCTTCGCCGTGTACTGGTAACTTGCTGCCGTCCACCATCGTTGCAGAGAATCCTGAAGGCTTGTACTCTTCCCGGAGTCGGTCGATCATTGCCTTGTCGCAGACGGTGTGTGACGCTCCGCTGTCCACGAGTGCTTGGAGGCGTCGTCCTTTGCAGATGACCTCGAGCACGAGGGGCAGTCGTTGCTCGGAGTACCCAAAGATAGTTTCATTGATTGGGTCATAGGGTACATCCCAATATTCCGTACACACCTTTGTGTTGTTGTCTACTCCTGAGCTGGCAGCTGGCCAAGGCTGCTTGGAGAACGGCTCTTCTCCAGGGCCCGGAGTTTCCCTGACAACTGTGCGCGTCACTGATGCCGAAGAACTGGATGCATCCGTAGAAGGAGTTCGGGGTTTGTGCAGCTTCTTGTAGACCCCCAGCTTCCTCTTGAGCTGCTTCAGCTCCACCGACGTCTTCCCTGGGGAGCGGGTAGTCGTTGTGGGCTGGTGTCGGGAGAGGAC